CTTCGGTTAGCCCTTGCATCTGCCGTATGAAGTTATTCTGGTAACAGAATTAACACTCGATCGGGTCCGCTTGGGTAGTTAGCTTACCTCGGTACCAAATGAGATGGGCTTATTCCCATCTTCCATTTGCATGGATCAAGCCACATGGTCCGTACAAGCAATATGCGTTCTCCGTGCTTTTATCACTTCGCAAACAGATTCTGCATCAGGACTAAGACACGCCTTACACTGGCCCATACGCCTATATCCGACTACACAGTGCGGGTTCTTGTCCCCGATAAGCACACGGTAACTTGGAGTAGCGGCAGTGACTCTGTGGAGTACCGGATCTGCATTTCAATAGATCTTGCATCCGACCAGGGTCTACCATTTTACGCGAGTCTCTAGGATCCTTTACCTCAGAAGGATTTGCAACACGAGTAGGGCCGCTTATCACTCACCGTTCCTAGTAAGTTTGAACTGCCACTGAATTAGCGCTGGCCTGGTCCCTACACACCGGAAGCCTAATGCGGAGTTATATCCGTGCATCGTCTCATGTCTTGGCTTCATCGACTTCGCCTGACAGTCACTCAGTCGCCGATATGCTCGTAATTGATCCACTACCATTGCTGGGCCTCAGCCCATCGGTCTTTGTTTCTACCGACCTCACACATCTGCCTAAACGGCGTTAACGATTAGCTTCAAACGATCGTGATCTTGCAAGTTTCTCCTCGTGTGATAGTACGAAGGAGCATTGCTAGGGCGCCTCCACGTCGATCTGACCACCTGGACCACGCGGGTCCAACTGACATGCAGCAATAAGCGAGAAAAAGTCGGTGTCACGGCTAGGAGGGCTGGCTGACTTCGCCCTGGGCAGTACCCATGGCTAAGCACGCACTGCCGCCACCGTCAATGACTTGTACCTGGGGTGTCTATGGGACGAACTTCATATATAATGGGACCTGTACTCTGGTCAGCCCCTGCCTTGCATTGATTAACTTCAGGGCCCATCCATCGTTCATTGGCCTGGTCAGCATCTCTTCATATATACCGACCACAGTTCCGTTCTTTCCTCGCGTTCATATATTGCATTTTATACCACCATGTTGGTTCCTTCATTAGCCTTGTGGCTCTCCTTTGGATCGCTTGCACTCGCTGGTCCACTACGGGCCGAACCGCTCTCAGATGACTTTCCTTCGTATGAACAGATTGTCAAGAGGCAAGACGGGGCTTGCACAAACACAGCACGCACACGAAGCTGCTGGAGCGACGGTTACAGCATTGCCACCGACTTCGATGCTAAGGCCCCTCCGGCCGGAAACACTGTGACCGTAGGTATTTTGCTGCATTGCCACCTAGACGCGTGCTAATTACTTCACAGTACAATTTCGAGATTACCAATGTTACCCAGGCCAATCCAGATGGCAGTGGCACCTCGAAGGAGATGATGTTGGTTAACGGCCAATATCCCGGTCCCACTCTACGAGCAAAGTGGGGTGATACTGTAATCATCAATGTTAAGAACAGCCTCGCGCACAACGGAACCGGTATCCACTGGCATGGCCTTAGGCAACTGAACACTTGCCAGAACGACGGAGTTCCTGGAATCACCGAGTGCCCAATTGCACCCGGAAAAACCCGACAGTACAAATGGAGGGCCACTCAGTTTGGCACATCTTGGTACCACTCTCATTTCTCGGCTCAATACGGCGATGGTGTCGTTGGTCCTATCATCATCGATGGTCCTGCCACTGCCAACTACGATGTTGACCTTGGTGCCCTGCCTATAACCGATTGGTACTACAGGCCAGCTTTTACACTCAACGAGATTGCACAGCATTCTACCCGTGGACCTCCCGAGCCTGACAATCTTCTGGTCAACGGTACCCATGTAAACGCGGCCAACGACAACGGACAGTATGCCAGGATGAACGTAGTCAAGGGAAAGAAATACCGCATCCGCCTCATCAACACAGCCGTAGACAGCACTTTCAGTGTTTCCATGGACGGTCATCCTTTCACCGTCTTGACATCCGACTTTGTGCCTATCAAGCCCTACGTTACCGACCAATTAACCCTGCAGATCGGTCAGCGGTACGATGTAGTCATCACTGCCAATCAAACTGTTGACAACTACTGGTTCCGTGTCGCCGTCGGATCTTGTGGTAGCAATGCCATGACCACGTCTGGCAAGACACTAGGTGCTATCCTCCACTACGACGGCGCGGCCACAACCGGCAACCCCAAGTCTACCACCACAGTCACCATGCGTACGTCGTGCGACGATGAGCTGTCCAGCAACCTTGTTCCCTTTGTTCCCAACACTGTGCCCAGCACCGTCATGGGAGACGTCCAGGGCCACAAGATGGCGATAGATTCCTTTTCCGACCCCGCCAAGAACAACCTCTTCCGCTGGCTCATTGACGGCACACCACACATTGTAGACTGGAACGATCCCTCTCTCGAGACTGCTCTCGCCGGATCCAAAGACTTCGGTCCAAACGGCAATGTCTACACCATGGACGGATCTGGCTGGTACATGTGGTGGATCCAATCTACTTCTCAGATTGCACTTCCTCATCCCATCCATCTCCACGGCCATGACTACTATATTGTTGGCCGCGGCTCTGGTACTTGGGACGGTTCCACCAACGGTCTCAATTTCAACAACCCTACGCGTCGTGACACTGCTGTGTTGCCGGCTGGTGGTTACATGCTTATTGCCTTCCCCGCTGATAACCCCGGCATGTGGATTATGCATTGCCATATCGCGTGGCACGCTAGTCAGGGTCTCAGTCTGCAGTTCGGGGAGCGCATGGGTGAGATCAAGGGCAAGTTGGGCGACACCAGCATACTCAAGAATGGGTGCGATGAATGGGACTCTTACTGGGCAGAGGGATCAGCTCCCGATGCTGACAGGCCGTACAACCAGACTGACTCTGGTATCTGAGATGCGTTCGAGATGAAGAGTTATAATTTCCTTGATGATTAGAGCTTGGCGTTCCCTGGTTGGGCTGCAAGAAATATTCCCGCTTCAGTAGCAAGCTCGGGCTGGTCTTTACATTCGACTTCCTCGTAAATATTACAACGCACGATATTTCAGATTACAATTGCTTGACTTCATTGATGCTATAGGTGACTGTGGGTGTGATGGACTGAGCTCCGTGGAAGTATATTCAAGCTTAGAGCTCATCCTTGTTCTCGTTTTTGTCCTCATCTTTTCCCTCATGCGCCGTCACCTTCGTTCGTGCTTGATCAATAAGGCCCCTCCGTACCATGCTCGTGAGCACCTCGTAAGCGACTTGTGCGGCTGCCATTCCCGTGGTTTCTGCTGAACCATCGTATGCTGGGCTGACTTCAACAATGTCGGCACCAATTACGTTCATCCCTTCAATACCTCGCAGAATGCGAATGAGTTCGCGCGTAGTCCAACCACCCGGTTCTGGCGTGCCGGTGCCTGGTGCTAGCCCGGGGTCGATCACATCGATATCGATACTTAAGTAGACTGGCATCTCGGTCCCCACGCGATTCATGATCGAAGTAATGACTCCCTTGACTCCGATCTCATCGATGTCATCTGTTGCAATGCGAATCCAGCCTTGCTGTGAGTCGTCGGTATAGTCCTCTGGCTCGTCACCCGAAAGCCTTGTCCTTAGTCCTGCATGTACACTCGAGTCGTTTGCAATCAGGCCCTCTGTTGATGCGATCCAGAACATACTGCCGTGGTTGAAGAAAGACTGGGTAGAGGGGTCTTCTTGGTCGATCCAAGCAGATGGGTATTTCGCGGGGTGCCATGTGTCCCTAATGGTTGGTTTTCAAAGTCAGCATATGTTTCATACACACTTAGGGCGGGAAAACGCTTACAAGTGAGCGTCAAAGTGTACTACAGCGATTGGCTGCCCATAAACGTCCTTGAGAGCCCTCAGGGCTGGGAGTGCGATGCTGTGATCCCCACCCAACGTGAGCAGTTTCGGCTTCTTGAGATATTGCGTACCGCTCTCCGTGCTCTTCTCGGTCGCAGGCCTTCTTCCAAGCTCAAGAAAAGCCTCACTCATCTGTTTCAATGCCAGAGTATTGTCGAAAGGTGTGATTGGTATATCTCCACAGTCTACAATCTTGGCCCATGACGTGTAAGGGTTCAGGTTTGCGCGGGGATTGAAACCACGGAAGGATGTCTGACGGCTTGAACCTGCGCGGATTGCACGTGGTCCAAATCGAGCTCCAGGTCGGTAAGACACGGCGGTATCGAAGGGAGCACCGAGGATGGCGATATCGTATGTCGTCTCTGGGTGCGTCAAGCAGCGCGTGTGCGGTAGGTGGGCGAAGGTCGAGATACCAGAGAACCCCCACTGAGAGCACTTGTGAGCCGAATCCAAACGCTGGCGAAGAAGCAACTTACATCTGTGCCCCATTTCCTCTCCAGCTCATCTAAGCGTTCCTGGGAGAAAGCTTGTTCGTCGACATGATGAGTAGCATGTGAAGAGACGCAAGCTGCACTTGCAGCAACCGCTATCCAATTCCACCGCATGATGTCCGTGTAGCACAATCGCAAAGATTGCAGCAAGGGGCCATCGGACTGATGTACATGTGGGCTGGCGTGTAGGGCGGACAATTATGTAAACCGCGTCTTATCGTGCGTCGATGTCATTCCGATCCCGCAGCCGGCGTGTTGCGGGGCATCCCAGAAAGGCAGGTCCATCCTCGTGTGTCTGGGGACGACGGCACTCAGTCGAAATTGCGCTTTAGAAGCTCAGAAGAAATACGTCCATGGTGGGTTGATAGCATCGAAAAGATCCGACAAGGGATGAGGCGGAGAATGAGTGGTGACGTAGCGGGCTTATCCCGTGAGAGCGCGTCTCGCGCTAAGCCTTTGACGCGACACTCAGGGTACTCTCCAGCTCAGCTCAACTCACGACCGCAGTTCCATCGAGTGACGTATTGCCCATCATATCCGAGCTTCTTCATCTTTGCAGTGCATACTCGCGAAACTATACGACAGAGTTTATTCAAGCGTCGACGCCATGCCCGAGGTCAGGACGCGTACCAGTCGCACGCGCATGATGGCTGCTGATACCAAGTAGATCGCAGAAGTTGCGCGCGTTGTTAGCTTCTTGAAGAAACATGCAGTTGGGAAGACTATCGAGGCCGTCAAGGCACAGGAGGACAATGTGCGTTTTTCACATCTGGCTAGAGAAGCTCGACTCACAGTATTCAGATCATCTTTGGAAAGGTCGGCACTTCAGCGACCGCATTCAAGGAGGCCATGACCGGCAAGAAGATAGTTGATGCGCGCCAGCAAGGGAAATACTTTTGGCTGGTCATGGACTCGCCGCCACATCCTCTGATGCACCTTGGAATGGCCGGCTGGATGAAGGTAGGTATCGTGTTTCTCATTCATTGCACCCAAACTGACAACTTAAAAGTTTAGCAACGATGAATCAGCATACTATCGCCCAACAAAGCCCGAAGAAGCAGAATGGCCACCAAAGTACTGGAAGTTCATCTTGCAATTGAAAGACTCCAAAAACGAAGTCGCGTTGGTGGATGCAAGGCGACTTGCTCGTGTCAGATTAGTCGATGCTGCTGCCGAAGATATGAGGACGACTACACCACTAAAAGAGAACGGGCCGGATCCTGTCATCGACAAAGACATTTTGACAGTGGATTGGCTGAGTAAGAAACTACGGAGCAAGAAGGTGCCCGTGAAAGCATTACTTCTTGAGTAAGCATAGACATATCAATTGTTGTACAGACAGACTAACGATCGAAAGTCAAGCGAACATCTCGGGTATAGGAAACTGGGTTGGGTAGGTCAAAAACCGTTGAGAGCTACGTAGCAAGTTCGCTAACCCTTACAGTGACGAGGTCATGTACCAGGCTCGTCTACATCCGGAGCAATACAGCAACACCTTTAGCGACGAGCAGATAAAACGGCTGCACGATGCTATCATGTATGTCTGCGATACCGCTGTAGAGGCCAACGGGGACTCAGATGCCTTTCCCAAAGACTGGTTGATGAAGCACAGGTGGGGCAAAGGCAAAAAGGAAGCACAGAAGCTCCCCACTGGAGAGAAGATTACGTTCCTCAAGGTTGGTGGGCGAACTTCGGCTATCGTACCAAGTGTCCAGAAGAAGACAGCAGCTGTTGCTGGTGATGTATCTGAAAGCGCAGGTGAAGAGGATGCAGAAGAGGAGGCGAAGCCTAAAAAGGGCGGCAAGAGGAAGGCAGAGCCTATGAAGGAGGAAGACGACGAACCCGAGGAGGCACCAGCCGAACCAAAGCGAGGGCGCAAGAGTGCGAAGGAGCAAGTCAAGGAAGAGATTAAGGAAGAATCGTCCAAGGAAGCAGAAGAGGTCCCAGCCAAGGCCAAGCGCGGACGCAAGAATGCCAAAGAGGAGGCAAAAGAGAAGACTGTCGATGCTGCGGAGGAGAAGCTACCAGCAAGAACGAAGCCTAGCAGCAAGAAGGCAAAAGCAGATGTCAAAGAGGTCGACGAGGCAGTCGATGAGGAAGCAGCCGATGTAACGGAGGACATGCAGCCAACGAAGAAACGCAAGACTGCCACGAACGGCACGGCAAAGAAGACCAAGGCTACCGCTAAAGAAGTGACCAAAGGCGAGGAGACGAGTGAAAAGCGGCGATCTGGACGTCTGTCAAAGTAAAGTGTGGGTGGAAGAGTGTCTAGATAATTTCCATAGCTGTATTGTGTGTTTTCAGAATATGTCCCAGCGAAGACGATTTGACAAGTTGATGCAGGCGGGGTGTAGAGATGGGCACGTGCATGACGAGTTGGAGGTGCGGGCTAGCACTCGGACATTGAATTTCAGAGCTCCCCACACACGACGTAGTGCCACATCCACCACCAGCCACCAGTACTACGGCTGCTCATCCAACAATCATTGTCGCGATGACATACTGCACCCAATAAATCATCCTTGTATCAACCTCAAGCCCGCCCTCGACCACGTCCCAATTGCGTCAACTTGTCCATTCCGACCGGAAGTTGTGCGTAATCGGAACCTCGTCCACGCTTCGCGCCTTGCACACAGCCCACCGTCGCGATGCCGCAACCACTCCCCAGCAAGGAGCAGACGCTGTTCCGATCGCTCGTCAAATTCTACGAGGGCAAGCTTTACAAGAAGGGTAGGCGTCAATTACAGGATAGGATACCCGGCCGCTGACCCCGCCAGGCCTGAAAGCTGCCGAGCAGATCTTGAAGAAGCACCCCACACATGGCGACACCCAAGCGATGAAGGCCCTGATCCTCAACTCTCAGGGCCAGGGCGACGAAGCCTTCGCCCTCTGCAAGGAAGCCCTCCGCAATGACATGAAGTCGCACATTTGCTGGCACGTCTACGGTCTATTATGGCGGTCGGTCAAGAACTACCCCGAGGCCATCAAGTCCTACAAGATGGCCCTGCGCCTCGAACCGGGCTCGCTGAACATTCTCCGCGACCTCGCGCTTCTCCAGTGCCAAGTCCGCGACTACGAAGGATACATTGAGAGCCGGCGGAAGATGATGCAGGAGCGACCGCAACTGCGACAGAACTGGACGGCATTGGCAGTAGCTTACCATCTGTCAGGCAACTACGCCGAGGCCGAGAATATCCTCAAGACGTACGAGGAGACCCTCAAGCAGCCCCCGTCCAAGCTGGACCTCGAGCACTCCGAAGCGACCCTCTACAAGAACCAGATAATATACGAGTCCGGCGACGTCGAGCGTGCGCTGAAGCACCTGGACGAGGTGGTGCGTGTCAGTCTGGATCGCTGCGCCGCGTTGGAATTGAAGGCCAAGTACCTCCTACAACTCGGACAGAAAGAGGAGGCTGAGAAGGCCTACAGAATTCTCCTGGGCAGAAACAGCGAGTACCGCGCATACTTCGATGGCTTAGAAAAGTCCCTCGGGCTGGACCGATCCAACGATGCCGATATCGAGAAGCTGAACGAACTGTACCAGTCTTTCGCTAGCAAGAACGAGCGCAACGATGCTGCGAGGCGGATACCCTTGGACTTCCTGAAGGGCAAGGCTTTCAAGACACAAGTAGACCAATATCTCAGGAGGATGCTGAACAAAGGCGTTCCCTCGACCTTCCCCAACATTAAGTCGCTGTACCAGGATGAGGAGAAGAAGGCAGTCATTGAGGAGTTTGTGCTCGGCTATGCTTCGGAAAAACAGACCAACGGCGAGAGCAACGGCGACAACTCTGATCGTTTCGAGCAATCTGTGCTATACTTCCTGGCTCAGCATTACAACTACGTCCAAAGTCGCGACTTGAACAAGGCCATGGAGTACATAGATAAGCTACTGGAGAAGGATCCAAAATCGGTCGACTACAACCAGACAAAGGCCCGGATCTATAAGCACATGGGCGACGTTCAGAAAGCTTCGGAAACGATCAACCATGCGCGAGAGCTTGATGAGAGAGATCGATACATCAACACCAAGTGCGCCAAGTACCAGCTGCGAAACAACGAGAACGAGACAGCACTGAACACTATGAGTAAATTCACTCGCAACGAGACTGTGGGAGGTCCTCTCGGCGACCTCCACGACATGCAGTGCATGTGGTACCTACTCGAAGATGGCGAGGCATACTTGCGACAAGAGAAATATGGCCTTGCTCTCAAGCGCTTCACAGCTATTGCCGATATCTTTGACATTTGGCATGAGGATCAGTTCGACTTCCACAGCTTCTCGCTACGAAAGGGTCAGATTCGTGCTTACATCGATATGGTCAGATGGGAAGATCACCTTCGCGACCATCCTTTCTTCACTAGGGCAGCTACTCAAGCAGTCGAGTTATACATACGTTTGGCAGACAACCCCAAGTTCGCGAATACAGACGAGCTTGATTTGGAGAAACTAGATCCTACAGAGCGCAAGAAAGCTGAAAAGAAGGCTAAGAAGGAGCGCGAGAAGGCTGAGAAGGCTGAGGCCGAACGCAAGGCGGCAGCTGCAGCAAAAGCAACTGCCAAGGGTGACGATGGTGAGACTAAGAAGGAGGATCAAGATCCAAATGGCGAGAAGCTTCTTCAGACGAAGCAACCTCTAGAGGACGCACTACGTTTCCTGCAGCCGATGCTCGAGCTAGCGCCAAAGAACATCGAAGCTCAGAACGTAGGTTTCGAGGTCCACCTCCGACGAAGTAAGTTCTTTATACTCACGAACTACTCGATCAGTATGCTAACAGCTATCTAGACAAGTTTCTGCTCGCGTTGAAATGTCTGCAGGCCGCACGAGAAATCGACCCGGAGAACCCCAAGCTGCACGAGCAGAGCGTTCGCTTCCGTCAGGCTCGTAAGTCGAATTCAAAATGCCCCTCCAGCTACACAGCTAATCGTACAGTCGCCAAACCTGCCGAGCCACTCTCATCCCAAGCCTCAGAGGTCATCAAGGACTCGTTTACCACACCGCCCGCGGATGTAGACCTTAAAGCTTACAACAACGACTTCCTCAAAAAGCACTCACAAAGCGCATCCCATCTGCAGTCGGGATACAATGTCCGATACATCCTGGACAACAGCTCAAAATCTCAGAACGAGCAGGACCTACAGAAGACTCTGGAATTATCGAGCATTACGATAGAAGAAGCCCAGTCTGGACTTGCGTTGCTCAACCAGTGGGGGAGCGAACAGAAGGTCAAGGACGACTACAGGGCGAAGGCCGCAGGTCGTTGGAGCGACGCTACCGCTTTCAAGAACTAAGAGCGATCTTTTAGCTCAAGTGGAACGCTTCTTGGTTGCATGACTGTGTATGTGGTCATGATTTACGCATTCCATCTGATTACACGTCTGGTAGATAACGCGTAGCATATGCATTTGCAAGGCGTCTGAACGCTACACAAAAGCAATAAATAGAAATCAGCAGACCACAACAATGGCAAATGTGAAGTTTAGATCTCCAAAGGATGATCAACAAGATGTCGAGGGTTGCGTCACACGCAAGAAGATCCGAAACGTAAAGGCTTCCGGACGTTCCATCGGCCAATCACAGGTCGCGCAGTACGAAAACTGCCATTCGTGGCTAGCTTCAGGTCCGGTGTGGGGAAGTGTCACAGCTGCACCTTACGAAACATTCAATCTCGAATTCTATGTCCTTTGTACGCTTCAACAGCGTCCCGTATATCGTGTCAGCGTTCGTACTGCCGTATAGACGACCTCAACGTGTCGTAACCTCATCGAGAGCCTTGGCCGCTAACTAAGCGATTACTCCCTACATCTTTTTACGCCACCGTATACACCGTATAGCTACGGGCTTCCGCAGCCGAAAGTCATGGCAACTAGACGATCACACAACAAGACAAGGTTGGGATGTAAGGAGTGTAAGCGGAGGCGTATAAAGGTTAGTAGTCTATACTAGTCTTCTCTTGCATCGTTATGTACACAGGGCCGATAACGCCGGCTTGATGCATCTATACCACGTTACTTGCCCAGTGCCACAGGGTAATCAAGGTGCTTGCCTGGAAGTCATCTCAATATCGACTGGCTTTGAGTTCTTTCGAGAGCTGTGAATTATGGCGCCCCGTAATCTAATAAAGACATGTTACGAGAGGTATTATGGGCTTTCAATGCCGTCATCTAAGTGGGCTAGAGCAAAGACCTACCTGCAAAAAGACCAAGCACACATCGTTCCATCTCTCATAATACTAATTTGGGTTTCAGTGCGACTGTAAGCACCCATCGTGTGGGAATTGCGACAAGAAAGGCGACACATGCAGTTTTCTCATGCTGGCCCCTTCGTCGCGCCTCTCGACAACTTCGACATCACCCGCATCAACACAACAGCTCACCACATCACCATTTCCTACACCAAAGACACCCGAAACCCGAAACGCACCGGCGTATTCGCCGACCAACCTCATCGCATTCAGTAATGAAGTAGCCCTCGCAACGCAAACACCACGTCACACTGAGGTCTTTTTTGATGACTCGCCTCTAGACTTCTCCACCAGCTTAACGACATCTCCTTCCCAACAAGGGTATTTCCCAGAGCTTACTATACCACCTTACCTCCGTTTAGACGATGCCTGGAAAGATGTTCGGGAGCTTCTTCCGCCACCACTGCAAGAGGTCTTGTGTCACTACGAGTTCACGACTTCTCTCACTCTGGCAGGCGATGACCCTGCGAAGGCAGCATGGCAGACCTATATTCCTGAAATGGCGCAAAATCACGACTTCTTAACCAACTGTGTACTTTCAGTCGCCTCTTTACACCTCGGTCGGCTTTACGATCGCAAAGAAGACAAGAAGAGGATGGAAGCTTTGGCAGCAGCACGAATGAACAAAGCTTTAGTAAGGTATAGAACAGAGCTCGAGAATGTAACTCAAGAAAACGCTGCAGCACTCTTTGCAAGTTCGACATTCACAGCCGTGTACCTCTTCCGCACTTCCGCGATAGATATCGAGAATTTACGAGCTTCAATATCGCCAGATACCGTTGTACCGCCACCCGACATAGTAGACAAGATGTTGTCTTGCGCGTTAAGAACGATTTGGGGACTTCGCGGTCCCCTCACTGTTCTTCTGTCGGGCTGGAATTGGGTCGTGAGAAGTAAAATGCAACCAGTCACAGCACGAGAATGGTGGCCAAAAACCTCCGTGCCAGCGACTCCGCGCGCCCTTACAGAAGACCAACGTCTTGAAGCCATCGAAAAGCTGTGGATGGAAAGCGAAGTATTTTCAGAGCCGCACTGCGTCTACCTCTCCCAAGCTCTTCTATATCTTCGCCAAAGCTTCAATCTGATCAGTCAACTTACCTTACCCGAACGCTACCCGCCCATGACAGCAGTACCCTACTCTATCGATGATACTACTATCTCCACACTCACAGACCGTGGTGCTATATTCGTCTGGGCAGCCCGCATATCCCGCGAATTTATTGGTCTTATCGAGGCCAAAAATGCTCATGCTCTTGTCATACTAGCTCATTACGCTGTTTTGCCTGGACGGGTGAGGAACGTATGGTGGTTGGAGGGTCTGGGGGCCGATATCGTGACGGCGGTAGCAATGGCGTTGGGCCGCGAAAACTGGGCATTGATTGAGTGGCCAGCTGGAGTTGTGGGTGTGGACCTGAACTGCGCGTTTGGTTTGGGAAAGAGGAGGGATGAGCTTGAGGGGACGCCTTCTGAGATGCATATGGATGTTATTTGAACGGACTCCCTGGACGGGGTTAGTTCTATGGTATGAGAGCTTTTGTACATTATCGACTAGCGAGTGGATATAAGAAAACGTAACAAACTTTTGGAGGATCTGCAAGATTGATCAAACCCGTCAGCACTCAAGACTATTTTCCATCATGTCCAGGGCTTCGAAGCGTGCTACACTGGGTGGCCATCTTAGGTGACTTTAAGCAATGTACATATTACACAAATGTCCTGGTATAAGTATTGTGTAATGTAATTTGACATTTGAGTACAACGCATGTTAGAATTCCTGGCCACCATAGAAGTATCAAACATCATAGAGGAAAATCTGCTTTTACATGGGAAGAAAAGAGGACTAGGCATTACATTACTCACTTCAACGAAGGCTGCCACGGTACTCCGGCGAGATGCGATGTACATCTGTATGCCTCTCGCTTCATATGCAAATAGAGCCCACTTGCAGGATATGGAACATATTCCGAGCAAGAGTTGCTTAAACTAGCCCCAGTCCATGTCCAGAGCAAGCGAGCAGGCAAGCCGAACATGTCCAAACTAACCTTCCCTCCTTTCAATACATGTCCTCAACCTTTCTCGCTCTACTTTGGCTGCCTTGCTGCGAAAGAAAACGCCCTGCGGTCCAACAGGCGCCTCGAACGATGTTGCATACGATGCGGATGACCATGAAATCTCAAACATGTAAAACAAGCCCCTCGCCGTTCGGCCTGGAGCGTTGGCGTCGCGTTGAGGAAGTTGCCTTCCATCCATCCGCGACCATTGACAGCCAACCAAACAGCTCGAGGTTCTCGTATCCAAGCAGGTAGCGGAAACGAAGGCCGCATACGCGGCCAACATAGGACAGTCCCAAAGCAAGCCCCCAACAGCACAGGTGTGATCGCAGAGTAGGCGTGATTGTGAAACCTGCTTCATGTACGCCACAATGCATGATGTTGTCCGACACTGCACCCTGAAAGAGGGCAGACAGACCGAAAGTTAATGAGGCGCTGGGCTATATGTGAAGAAGCATGTTTGCAATCACCGCATTAATGGCCAGGCCAGGCCCATGCTGTAATGGCGCTCGCTTCGAGTTGGTGTATTCGAAAGACGTGGGTGCCGTGGGGAATGACATATTCTTCGTCTTCGCGAGACATGGCAGCGCAACGCAGGCTCATGGCCTGGAACGGTTGGGGACGGCTAAAATACCATACAACGATCTGGTTCGTTGAACGATCCCGGTCGGCGGCCCGGAGCTGTAACGTTTGACCGGTAGATCTGTGGCACAGTTCATTGAGCAGTGCACTTCAGCTGCAACGTTCATTGGCTTCATCGCATCAGTCCCAAGATACAATTGGAAGGGCGGAATCGGGCGTTAGGCCCTGAGAGGTATATTATATGGCCGCTAAGGGTATACAGATGTTGGATATTAAGAACGCCGACTGCGCGTTGCTGATGAATCATGCCGTGGACACCAGCCTTCTAGAATTCGTTGCGGTGGGGGCATGGACAAATGCGATGAGGGGTTACGAATGCATCACGCACCGAAACCTAAACCACGGACGGTCTCATCATCTCCTAGTGCAAGTCGCACTTCATCTTCACCAACACCAAGCCTCACGCGGCCTACTCGCTCGCCATGTCGGGCCTCTACGCCTATAATGCCTGCCTCTGCTAGCTCAGTGGCTGCAAGTGCAAGACCGAGTGCTCTTGCTCCCTTGAGGTCCGATTGCTTCGAACTAAGGTTAGCAACAGCGTCTCTGTTCTTCGACGGCGTGGTAGACTGCGCTGCGCCGTTCATCATTTCGCTACTGCCGTCTTCAGGGGCGAGTATGTAATCGTGCACAGGCAGCAACTGACTCATGAGCCCCAACCGTTTGGCTTCATCGACAACGTCTCCCAGGATTGCTTCGCCAATGCCCGACCTGCGGATCCGTGCCAAGAGTGCCGCAAGGAATAGCTTGGACGCCAACGGTAGAGCCCGTAGTGCTTGCTGCAGGGGACTGCTCGTGGCCTCATTGATTGCCTGTTTGATCGTCGCCATAGTAACTATACCTTTCCGCCCCGCCCGATCTTTTGACCGACTATCCGGATCTCCGGTACCTTTAATTGACCGAGAATTTTGTGGCAGATTTCCTTTGTTACCCCGACCGGTCCTACTCGGGGTAGCTGGCTGCGCCTCATCGTCCCGGTCCTGAGATATCGTTTCCGTTTCGGCGATTTCTACGGCGCGTCTGCAAATGTCTAACGCGCGTCGCGCATCGCCGCTAACAGCTGCCACTTTGCGTGCAGCAAACTGAACGGCGTCAGGGTGTACAATGTTGCCGGGTACACCTTCAAGTCGGGACTGGATAATTTGCATTAACTGGTCATGTGTATAGCCTGGGAAGGTAATGCGTGTTAAGCCTAGAATATGCGTGTTAGCCCCTGCCTGTCAAATAACGGCCATACCAGGCGATACAAATCGCACCGATACCATCAAATTGATACGCAGGTCGTTCGAAAGCATCGGTGTCCCCGTTTGATATTGAAGCGTTTTGATGATGGAGATCGAAGTCTGCCAAACGCGTGGGGCGTTCCTGAAGGATCGCTATGCTAGCTGGGACATACCTAGGCGACTGCTGATCTTATTGCTCAACGTTCGTTCGGGCAGGTCCATGGTGTTCGCTACGGCGAGGACGATTAACCTGCTGTGCCGCAGGCCGGGCCAGTTGAAGAAGTTGTACATGACGGACTGATTCTTAGTAACGAGTTGGTCGAGCTCGTCCATCAGGACCACGCAAGGTACCCGCCGCGGACTAGGGGTGGAGAACTCCCGTTCTAACAACTCGAGTGCATGTGACGGGCTCACCCGATCGCCGCGCAATGCCTGCCATAGCAGCGAGTATGATTGGTGGGGGTCTGTGACCTTCATGCCATTGATCTCAACAAATATAAAATCGTCCAACTCTTCGGCTTGAACTGAGGCTTGAAGTTGGGCAACGACCTCGCGCACAGTTGCGGTCTTCCCTGTACCAGGCGTGCCCGAGATGTAGATGCAGGAGCCCGAGCCGTCCGTGATGGCCGCGTCCAAATGGCTATAGACGGTAGAGAACTCCTCCTCTCGACAGGGGAGAGCGGCAGGTACCGAGGAGACATGGAGTTGGTTCCGCGCGATCTGGAATGGTGAGTTTAGGGCCGAAGGATCGAGCACGCGTGTGCCAAGCGGTGTGAACTCCAACTGCTTCTTGATGACTATTCTCTTGTGTGTTGGAGTAAGGAACTTCCTAGCAGCCGGGCTCTTCCTGGTCGATGTGGGGGTGGTCGCTTCATTAATTTTCCGGCGCTTCCGTGGAGTCTTTGGTAAGTCATCATCGTCCGAGTCAGGGATCACGAACTGGTCCAAGTCGGGCTGCTGCTGTTGCTTCTTAGGACGACCGGCAGTTCTCCTGGTGGCTTTGGTCTGGGTCTCCACAAGATCGACTACTGCTGGGATGTCCTTGGCATCTTTGTAGACGTCTTCCCATTTGAATTCTGGTGTGTATGTGGTCGTGCGCGTATTGCAGCCCCGCCGACAGACGAAGACCTTGCCGTAGTTTTTCGAGTTCTTCTTGACGCCTGTCGGATACAACTCCTGAAACCGATCCAGGGAGAATACCTTGGCAGTGCCGTTGATCGAGGCTAAGGGGTTGTCGTCGAAAGCGGCGGATATGTAGAGTTCGTTCTGTCGAATGTCAGTGTGCATAACTCTGGAGCACGGCCGAGCGACTTACGGGAAGAAAGTCGGAACGCTTTTTGCTCTGGTTACGGATCTCCTTTTCGGAGGAGAACCACAGGAACTTGGCCATTTTCTCGTCTTCGTCCGGGTCCTCGTGGAAGTCGCAGATAATGCCCACCCATGCCTGGTTGCCCTCTGCCTTGAGGAGCACGGCATCTCCCACTCTGCACTTGAAGCTGCCCATGCGCGCACCGACGATACGTTTTCCTGGCGCCGTGGGCGCAGTCTTTCTCTTTCTTGGCGAGGCATTCTTCTCTGGCTGCGCATCGTCGATGGCCTCCTCATCGTAGATCCATTCCCAGGGGTGGTCTTCGTAGCCAAGCTCGTCGTCCGAGTCTTCGCGGAACACTGCGCCGCCGGCGAGATATTGTCGTGCCTTGTCGACGCGCGAGCGCTTGATGGGAGCCATGTCGGAGTCGTGGTTGTGGTCGCAATCGGGTTTTGTCGCTGACGTTGCCCGCGCGGGTCTGGAAGGCACGACGCGTCGCGACGGGCTTGGCGAAGCACGCGCGGAAAGAGCTATGATCTCACCGCCCATGGCGCTTTCGTCGCGCGGTCACGACTTGCACCTTGCCATCACTGCACATATCATGCACATCCCTCAATACATCGCATCACCTCTCAATCACCAACAAGTCAAGGATATTCGAGTAGATAACAATATTCATTGCTGTACGAGCCTAACACAGGCTCGCACTGGCACTGGGGCTACTTATCATGGCAAGCTTCGTCCCCAGTCATGACAAAACAATCTCAGTTAAGAGATAAGCAACGCCAAACACCAAGTTCCCGTGGTCAAGCGAGGGACCTTTGCTACAAATGAAAACGACCGATCGCTGAAATGCAGAACAACAACTATAAACACAGAAGAGAGAGACAGTGTCTCGCAAAGAAGAGTAGTCAAAGCGCCTTCGCAACCGTCGCTTCTTCACATGGTGGAGAGCGCATGCAACGGAAGTGTCCGTGGTGTCGTTGGTAAGTCGAAAGGCAATGTCGTCTACCGGCGGCCGTCAGCGGTTGCTCGTCTAAGCAGCAGCAGCGAGTGCAAGACTCGGGCGTTCATGCATAGTAGGGCTGGCGGGTAGGGATCCTTACAGAGTCTGCGTAAGGGTTTGGTGGTAGGATGTCGTTCCCGCAAATAGCCGCGTAGCCTACGCCAAAGGGGCTCGTATCTTCGTCGGCGTAGTACTCGTTCTTCATGCTCGGCACAAGGCTTGGTAGGCCAGTCGAGTACGAGGACGAGTGAGGCGGTGGCAGGTAAGTGTAGCTCGGCATTTCCGGTGTGAGGGTGGTTGGTATTGTGTGGTAGGGCGAGGTGGAGTACGGCATTGAGTATGCAACTGCATCTGGTGCTGGGTATGCCGACGAATACGACGCTACGGAGAAGGGAGGTGGTGGGCTAGTGGAAAGCTGGCGTGTGTACTGATGCGAGAACATGCGATCCTCGGCAGGTGGGGTGGTGTACGAGGATTCCGAAGATGACGGAGAAGGAAACTCCTGGCGCGGGGATCGCTGTGGTGGCTGCAGCTCAGCAGGCTTCTGCTCAGGTGAAGCTGAGCTCGAGGCAGCACGACGCTCCTGCAACCCGATTAGTATGCTGTTCCGAGCGGTACGAGGCGTGGTAGCACAAGAACTCACCAAGTCTTCGAGCCTCTTCTTGAGCTTCTTGCGGTAGTTGCGTTGGGCAATGCGGTTCTGTATCCGCCTGCGCTCAGCAAGATCTGAAATCTTGGTCCAGTCTTCGTTGGGGTTTGCTGAAGCAGAGAAGGCTGAGGAGGTGCCCGAGTATCTTGTGGTGGTGGGAGCCGGGTTGGCATATGGGTAGGCAGCGTGTCTGTGCATGGTGATGGTAGATGTGGGAGACATTTACACACGAAGAGATGAGGAATGGAAGAAGGATGACTGTGGAGCGGGATGTCTGGTTATCAGTGGGATGATGAGAGGCTCTAACACTCGGGGAGGACTGTATATTTATCTCGCCGTCTTGTCTACGTCCGCAGTCGTTCTTGTGGAGCACCGACTGGCTAGTGTTGGTCCCCAGCTTCAGGCCCTCGCATGCACCCTGGGCTACGCGATGCGGGCTCGAGCATTTCTCAATTTGGTACGATTTGGAGCAACCCTAGCAGGTGTACTTTCACCGACTGCGGTCTTGTAAATTTAGTATGGGCGCTAGCGCAGACTGGCAGCGGGCCAGTGAGGGACGGGCAGGCTGGCAGCTGAGGGCACGGAAGCGTCGGGCTGGCAGTGTATCGAAACGAAAACTCTCTACTGGGGAGCGGTGTCTTGATCCCATGTCCTCTTTACAGTTCCCTGTCGCATCCCCACCAACCCTGCTACCCTGGCTGCTGGCGCATTGCACATCACAGACAGCCCTATGACCCCGGGGCCTGTCGGTGCCCCGTCACTGAACTCACGCGGCGCCGGGTCTGTCATTATCTCCGTCCCTGCGTGCGGCGTGCGTATGCTCTCCCGCATGCGTCCACGTCTTGCGAGGAGTCGCTATCATCACGCGTCGGCTCTCGTCCGAAGGCCCTCGCGAGCACAAGCTTGGTCCGTTGAGAGTCGCGCCCATGCCAGGCCGTCCCCTCCACTGCGCCGCATGCCCGCCCGCACATAGCATGGGGGCCAAAACCGAGAGCGAGCAGACAAGTGCGAAACCCTCTGCAAACAAATGCAAACGTCGCGCTGTCGTGGGTAAATTGCGCCTTGACCGGCTCACACCAGATCATCACACCCGTTCAGCGCCTGCCGCCATTGGCTGCTCCCCGCTGCGCCGTTGTGCATGCGCAACCTCTCGACGGCCTGGCACACCGCGACTCGTCGCTGTTCCCTAGCATTCCGACAGCTCCGACAGCTGCTTGACACCGACTCTCCGCAGTCCCTCGTAGGAATCAGGAAGCCTGCTGTATCAGGACCATATCCTGCATCCAGCTAGCACAAGGGCAGCAACCCAGCCGTTCCATCCTCTTAGTCTGCTTTGTAACGCAGTACCTAAGTAAAGTACCCTGCTGCGAGAGCGCCACCACTCGTTGAGCCCCAGACGTCTACTTGGAAACAGCATAGTATCCCACCAGCCCTACGCACTGTCCCATACTCTTCCGCAGCCGCATCAGCACCTTACTGCGGTGTCGGTGAAGTGGCAGTCAGCCCAAAGCTTAGCTATGCGTGGTTTCCACCAACGGCGTAAGGAAAAGCCAATCACCATTGGAATTCCATCATCTACAGACACTGCCAGACACACCTTGAACCCGTCTGTTGCTGGTAAAATGCGCTGTTAGTGTCTTGTTGCCGTTATTTCCAACGGTACGCCCTACGCCCGGCGGTCGAGGCTTGAAGGCTTCGCGCCTTCCGCAGCTGCGCCTTCACTGAGCCGCCAGTGCAAGACATCCAAGAATATCTTTATACAACTGCGGTGTCGTTTCAAAACTGCTTCTCATAGTGAATATGCTATACTGGTCGTCGAGGAGTCTTGGATGATTGTTTGGTACTACATAGCGCTATCATGCGGTATACTCTGTTATTCTATCGTCTATCTACGTATCACAGGAGCCTGTTGCAGGCGCCGTGTCTTCGATTGATATGGCGACTGTAGGGGTATCACTAGCCATTTCAAATCATGGTGCCTCATTCTCCGCTCAGAGGTAAAGGTACATCGTCCCGTTGGTCCTTGGTATGTGATGGGCAAACATCAACTATCTTCAGCCCTCACTAGGGGCAGTCCGCGCGCGCGCTATACTGCTTGGTGCTGTCGGTAGCCCTGCCGCTGCACAGAGCATGGAGATTGCGGGGGCCGGTTTACGACCATAGGAGCATCGAATTGACTCGAATTCGGAGAACACGACTGAGACATTCGCGTTGGCTCAACGTAGATCACAGTGGCTCGCTTGCGCTATCCAACAAAAGGGGGAAAAGGGCATGTCAATATACTACACGTGTTGCGACCTCGACCTCAGCTATGGACCATCGCGACTCAGCTGCTCCCGTAGGGCTCCTCGGTTCGATGTTAGTTCCGCTATGTGTGGGGCTTTGAGCTTGTCTAGAGCGACTCGCCTCAAACATTGGAGCCCATATCCCCGCGCTTGAGAGACACTCTCCACTTCGCTATCAGACCTTCAGCTGTAAAAGCCGTCTAGCAGCGTTCAGATATCGACAGGGAACATGTTTGGAGACAGTGCTGCAACTGTTGTCACTCTACGACTTGGCCCAGGAGGTATTGGCATTGCCCATTCGACTCTCCCATTGGGAATGTCTCAACGAACCTACAAGGGGACTGTTTCGGCTTTCCAGGGCAAATGTGTCGGATATATGCAGAATGTACCTTTTACCCCGACCGCGTCAGCAACTCGAACCCAGAAGACAGGCTAACGGTATCGTGGGCCGCTGGAGTCGTCCGTCTGCTCTGATAGCCAGACTAGACAAGCTTTCCTGACATTGTATACTCCCAAGGTTGTGGCACTGGGAGACTCTTCCTTCCCGCATACGCTTGCCAATGTCGATCAGCATCCCAATAGATCGTGTTTACTCACTTGTCGCTTCAAGTAAGATAGAGTGACAGCCGAGGGACAGTCTCGAAGCATTTGAATCATTATGCCGCTGTAGTAGGCACAGTGACACGCCTGCTTCGAAATATTCTCTCGTCTAGCATGGCTGAGTTACGCCCCGATGGCGGAGCTGATCAAACGCGAATCGGTGCTCTGCGCACCAGCAGGCGTCAGGAACCCCAGCTTGGCAGGCATTACGTAGGTGTCTTCTTTTGACCCTATGCACCGAGTTGGCTTGTCGTGATAGCGCACAAACTGAAATGTTCCACACCGTTTGGGACACTACCATGCTACGGTGACAGATGGCACACCGTAGGGATGCCCGATAGCACCTAAACCGCGCAGTGCATAGCCAAGTCCATGATCGGTCCGCGATAGCTGAAACGCATATTCCCTACACGAATGTTCAAGTCGTGTGGAAGCGACACAGAAATCGAAGTCGTTCCGACGGTGAGTCTGTAAGGCGGATAGACCCACGTGTGCCCCCAGACGGCTAGCGGCGTTCGGGACCCCTGCCACCGGTTCTTATCTCGAGCTGTGAGTGGTCAAACAACCACTAGCACAAATCAACTTCCCTTTTGGGGCATTACGCGACCGTTCTATCGGGCGTTCCGTGCGAATCTCACCGCTGTGCGCAATAACTGCCTGAGAGATGTGGATGGCGCGAAAGGTCATGTGATTTCATCTGGAGCCGCAGTGTCGGGTTAACTATCAGCATACCTTGGTACACTGCTGTCCTTGGCCGGGTGTATAGCCAGGAGAGGTATAGGATGAGTTAATCACATTGCGAGTACAGCATCGCATACATGAGCGTATTCCTTGATACCAAAACACACTAACCGGTCAACCGCCGCACACGCTCTCAATGCTATTTCGCTACCTCGATGCCGCTAGATGACGATTCCCAAAGGATATCCACTGTGCTAATGTTGTTCCTTCCATATTTATCGCGAAAAGCAAGATGCATTTGTGAAGCACGCAAGCGATAAGCGCGCTAATTCGTCACAGGAGGAAACGGCCTATATTTAGCGGCCGCTGTGCCAAGTCGAGCCACTTTCCGATCACAGTAACTCATTCACCCTCTATCGCAGCCCTACAGCCCTACGACGCACAGAATCCAGCATCTGAAACACCGTCATTGGTCTAGCAACCATGCAATGCATGAGCCCCTCTCTGTGTACCCGCCGCGACTCTTTTGGCCGTGCGATGAGTTAGCACAAGAGCAAAAGACAGTGATAACTGCCGTTCATCTAGCACACCGAAACTTGGTGAGGGGCACTCTGTATAGGTCCGTGTATGCGGCCATCTCGCAAAGTATCAAGCTCACCGGCAACAGGGCGTAACCGGTAGTAAGGAACGACCAGCGTGGTGGAAAAGCCTACTGCTACTCTTGCCATTTCTCGCTGAATCCACCGAACATCATTTCCACATCCCAACGTGGATAACAAAACCAATGCCGCATTTGTCGCGCGTTGCGCACAATCGAGCATGCTCGCTTAGAGAGTTCCTGTATACCCAAGCGCCCGTTATTATCCAGTACCTTGTTCACCGATAATCATTGGTCGCCTTGCACACGGACGGTGTCGCCAGCGCAGTGCTTCCGCACACGGAGGTCAGACCTCGTGGCAGAATGGCAATAGAAGGTCTCGGCCCTCGAGATTTCCTAAAGCAACGTGTGCAATTATGACACGCGCTCGCTTCCGTCATCATGCAGCTCAAGGCAGACACCCACACTCAGAAAGTGGAGGGTTACAACCAGCCGCAGGATGTCGTCTCAGGTCCTTGGTCGAACACAAGCAATCAGGAGCCAACATCATCTCCACACGCTACGACTCAGTTTTACAGCATTAGTGCATCCGAGACCAGAAAGCTGCGAAGCGACGGTTCTAGCCCTATCGTCGTCAAGGCTTGAAGGCGCTTCCGTGCCAAGAAGGAGACTTGCCTTTCCTGACCGTTCAGCCGCTCTCGCGGGAACGGTAAGATCCCTGAATGAATCCTTCAAGGCCCCCGTTCACGCCCGTATTGCGAGCCGATCGTCGAAGCCCTCGGGCGTAAAGGTATGCCGCAGACCAAGGAAATCTGAGTCGAACAGAACTACAGGAGCGGCATCGGTGCAATGTGCACGATTTGGTATGTCTTCGGCCTGAAGACGTCCGCCCAACATACAGTCTTGTGAAAGCAAACAATTTGAGTTGTGCGTCTTTCCTCGAGAAATGGAAAATCGGCTATGCCGACGTATGGCATCAATCGCTGCCGAGTGGCTTGTTTCAATAGTGGAAGTATCTCCCTTTTAAGTGGGTATGCCGTGATGCCGTAGACATACACAGAAATCATACCATGATCGTCATACGGAGATCCGCTTCCCGACTGCCGCGCAGGGACTTTACCGTTGGACTTTGGCATGGCGCTGACCCTGGCGTATTGCAAACGCAGAACTTGGGGAAATTTGCTCTCCACTACACAGGTCCAGAATGCTGATTCATCTACGGTACGGACAGAGAGCACGAGGATCTTCCAGTATGACTCCTCTTTCGAAGGTATCGACGTAGGCATCATCATTTATCAGCATGTCAGGAGTCGGACTTAAAGTCGCAAAGCCGACCCGAGGGTGCAGCTCGACACACTGCATACACAAAGGGCGCAACCTTCTGGCTTCCCGACAAGGGCTCACCGCATCATAGCCTATCACTGGACGCAACTTTCAAGCGAATAGGTAACGGAACTATCTCGTAAGTACCTGAGTGAATTACTCAGCCCAAGCTGCATTAAATGTGCTTGCTGCTTGCTTCTGCAGTACTTCTAGAATACGTATGCAGTGGGGGCAATGATAGGGCTGACCAAACGAGGCTGCAATCGATGCATTGCTTCAGTCTTGACGAAGCAGTATGGGCTTTTAGTTGTTATCTAAAGTGCTACTCAGCATTGCTATGGCATGTATGAAATCACCACGGAACTTACCATGTCTCTCTTTTCTGGAAGACCGCTTTCCGTGTTCTTTTGATCTTTCAACGCTTTGCACTACAGGAGAAAATATGTCGAATGATATTGCAATGAGTCTCTCTCGCAAACGAAAGTAGTATCAGAGCTTCTTATTGCATTGTCGCTGCGAACGGATAGATTATCATTTCCGGTTCGAGGGCGCCTACCCGTACCACCCTATGCGCTGTTGATCTTCTGCACACTTGCTTGTTGTCCCCGCCATGCAGGGTGACTGCACAGAATGCGGGTACTCGAAAAGCGCAAATACTCACAGGGATACTACTCAAATTGTTTGCAAGCTGCGCATCTTGCGATAGTTGCATCAGCCACTGCATCTAGCAATCCAAGCAATACGCCGTCGAGTACTAGAAAATGTCGATCTCTGAATAATCGTCATCCCACCTACCCCGCGGTCCCCCAAACGGCCCCGAGTCATCGGGTGATCCGACGGCTGCCACAAGCCTGATTCAAAGCCCAGGAACTCCGACTTGGTCTCGCCGACTAACATTTCCTCCTCCATTAACATTCGCGCAAACAAGCCTATCTCTCAGCTACCGGTCAGGCTTCCCACCGATGCAACCCTCCGCGTCTGCGGCGTAACGATGTGAATATGAGCCACCCAAAATGAGTTTTGAACAGCAGCCAACCAAATCGCTTCTACACAGCGCGTTTATTTCACAAGCTTGTGAGGTGCAGCAGTGTCATAGGTATCACAAATACACCTTGAGGAATCCTACGTGCGAGAGCAACTTGCCTTATCCGGGTTCATGTTGCGACGCCTGCGCCTCGCGGGATTCAGCCTCTAACCGTGGGGCTGCGTGACTGTGCCTACGCAGTATGACGCATCCCAAGCCATGTATACATAATTCATATTTGAGATGATACAGGAAAGTATCCACACATGCTCTGATATCGTGCACTACAACTGCATGTCTAGCTCGAGAAGCATGCGGGTCAGTCGGTACGCAATCCGCGCCACGACGCCTCATCACGCTGGAGTGCAATTCGCTCTTCGGCATACTGGAAGCAATCTAGCCACTCACGATAACTGCGGGCACTCGGTGACCGGTTTTTCGTCACGTGCAGAGTGCGAAGGAGTCGCGGCACGGAGTTGGCTCCGACGCTACGTGGTGGAAAGCATTGTGAGAGGCTGGTGTGAAACGGACAGTGGCACAGGCATCCTTCATGGGTCCAACCGTATCTCGTCTCTTGCCCATTTCGCAATGCTATTCTGGGCCCATACCGCCAGCAGGCAGCCATCGAGCAAGGCCACCAGCAGCAGCTCCGCCTTAGCTTTTTGCGTACGACAATCACAGAGCGTAGAATTGGGTCGCCCCATGATAGTTCACGACACGTATTCTGTTCACAAAACATACTTGGACCTGGTTGTTGAAACGCCCGCGCCACTTAGTCGCGTACAGTAGGGAGTCGCACATGGTGCTTGGGTTAGTGCACCGCCCACGAGGGTCGTTACGAAAGGTATGCCTCCCTTGAGACTTTGTCAGCCAAAGTGCATGGCCTGCTGGACGTAACCAAACGCAAAAACTGTCTAGCACTAGAGCTTTGACAGGATAACTTAGCGCCGGTAACTATCGCAAGCCGCTAAGCACTTTGTCCATCCTTTTGGGCGGTCCCCAACGGTCGTTCTGTCGGTAATAACGCCCTTTGAGCTCCACCGCCGGTGATCTTAGTTGATCATGGAACAGTACGATTAAGTTCGTATTTCGAATTAAACACTGTTAACGCTCCGTAGCGCACAAGACATGCCACGGTATCGTTGACAGCTACGGACCCTTCCAAGGTGACCCCACATCGCATCTGTCGACTCATTTCGATTCAGCCTTGCGTTCACACGCTAGTCAACCATAGGATTTCACATGTAAACGACCCAACGAATAGTGTTCGTCTAGCGGTAGACAGGCGAGCTACGAAACCGTCTAAACGCTTTCAGGACAATGCAGAGAAGAAGGAACGGCCGCAACGCTTTCCTAAAGCGGCAAGGTTTCAGGATTCCCGTGCGAGCCCGAAGCACAGGTATTCGGCGATTTGTGCACAATCTCTCGCACTCTCGCACTCTCCCAGACTCGTGTCCGGTTGGTGACGGTTCCTTGGAACCCGAGAGCGAAGTGGTCCTCCAACACGTGCCATTCGCAACAAAGACGTGCGAAAGACCACAAAGTTGGTCATTCTCCCAGAGACGTCATCTACGAAGAGGATTTCCAATCAGTGCCATCACGTCATGCTGCTCACATAACCATCTTGTGCATGGCAGCCGTTTCGTACCCCGGATTTCCCGCGTTCTTAAGGTCAGCACTCAAACCTCCTAGGGGGTAACTCCACCGGCGGTTGCTCGCGCAAGGGCTTACTGATCTGACAACCGTTCGCGTGTGTTATAGGGCTGAAGGAGAATTTACCTCCCACGCGGGGGGTGTAAAAAGTCGTGTCTGACATGTATTCCTCACTGTGGCGTATTCGGTCTCGCAATACTGCAACAGACATCTTGAAGCAACACGACGTGGAAATCGCAATCGTGACTCACTTTCCACACACTCCCGGCAGCGGAAGCTTCGGACGCCCGCGCGTCGCATCCATCACAGTATCCTTGTCGAGACCCTTAGATGGACAACACGCGCACGCCGAAAGACTCCCCTTGCCCCCAGTTCTCGTGAAACCCCTATACCGCCAGAAACCTGTGATGAAGCTGTATTTCTCATCGGCCAAATCCAAGGGTCCGAAACCCGACTTTGTACAAAATGGTACAGTATTGCGAACAACCACGATTCCTGGTATGCCCGAGTAAATTAAGCTATAGTGAATCCGCAACGATCCGCTCATGAGCCCATCTGCCGCCCTGCTACCGGCATGTCCCATCCAGATAAATACTTGCTCATCATCAGTCGGCAGTCACGTTCAGTAGGTTTAGTCAGCACCTGAGAGCCAGAACGTGATCAACACCAGGCCATAAGCAGCCTAGACCCGATCAGCAATAGGAACCCCATGCTCCCAAATTCGCCCCGAATGCTTCTCGCACCGATTAAATCACCAGCAAACGTCCTGCGCACACCGTTTAGACGGCAGGACCAAAACCTTGGTAGTTGGTCCCTTTCCTTGTTCCTCCACCGGCCGCGTAACGTATCTAATACCAAGCTTCATGGGCGGCTAGATGATAAAATACTGCTCGTGCTATCTTGCTTACCTAAGAGGAGAAATAAATTGTTGGGCTGAATTATGATTCATGGGCTCTGAAATGACAGCGGGCAGTAAGTAGGGCTGAAAAGATCAACATTGGCATGGGCCGCTTGACATTGCCCTTGATGTGGGGGCTGGTGGAAAAGGAGACAGGGAACCGACCAACTGGAGAGATTCTGGGGGAGATTTGTGATGATTTTGGCTGGATCCGGAGACTTTCTCATGGTAAATTGAGGAGCATGTGGCGGTTGGAAGACATGACTAAGGGTCAGTCTACTTTGCAGAACGGACATCTGATTGTCGGATTAACTATTGGCATGCTATTAAGGTTTGGTTGGAGGTGATTTGGAGTAAGCTGCAAATCGCACCGCATCGTGTTTCCAATCGAGCTGGCAGCTTGAGCGAGCTTGGGTCAACAACGTTCTCGCTTGTCGGCCCGCCTTTGGTCATCACTTTCGCTTACCCTGGGTTCTCCTGCTGTCACGGACTATTCGGACATGTCGCTGATTACCTCTCGATGTCCTCATTGATGTCCGCTGTTGCATCGCATCATGTACACGTTCTGGGCTGTTCACGATAAGCCGAACGGTATTTGCAATAGGTATGAAGCGCAGCTCGCATAATGCGAGACGAAAGCATTACCAACGCACGAACCCACACACACACACTCTCTCTCTTGCAGACACGGCAAGGCAACGGACTACTCAAGTGCTATGGCTTCTAAGCTAGACTCGCGCTGCTGTGAGTGTACCTGTAATTAGTTCCTATCTAGTCTAAGCTCTGGAATTCCTCGCGTAGACCAACCATCTACTCGGCTATCATGTTCAACAGCGGTACGCTACTTGGAGACACTGCTGTATGTCAGCGCATCTTAAGGGCCCTAAGAAGGGTGGCATATGTAGGTCTCAAAGACACATATCTAGATATTAGTGCGCAATGAGTACCAAAGCCACCTACCTATCACGACACAAGCCGGCTCACTCTCTTTGTCTTAGCCATAGCGCAACACAACAACCCCTCTTTCAAGTATCGCAGGGAGCCAGGTCTCCCCCCCACGACACATTACATTCCAAATAGAAAAATAAACTACCCGCAAAGATCTGCCTGCCTGCTACCGCCTTACGAGTGCTTGCGCCCCCACGGAGCATGCAGTATTGAGCCTGCACATGGGCATCGACGCAATTGCGTGTCCGCTAATTAGCTCCCTAAACCACGCCCATTAACCAACAATACCTATTTCCACTGTTTCACTCTAGAATGCGAAACGTAGCGAATCACCGTATCAGATCAGGCAAATAAAGCGACGCCCCGTGGGCTGGCTACGCCCCAGCGTTTATGCAGCTGTGATGAGCTAATTACGCCATTTACGCCCTGAGTAGCGCGTGGGAGGCGATTTCGTTTTGAAACGGGCTATAATGGGAGACAATACACTGCTTGGTAATGGGTTGTACTGTAGGATGCCGCCTTGTAGGGCGAAAGTGCTTGTATGCTCGATATGGATCGGACGAAAAGTGAGTCAGCGGTCGTTCACTATCACCGTAGAGGCCGTGCTTTCAAGGGCGAATCTTGCTGGACGCCTGAGTAGTAGACCCTGCATTGTTCGTGGGACTGCGCCTGTTCGACGTATGATTCGGATCAGAGCCGGAGTTATGGAGGAGAAGTCGGGGTGAAGTTCATCCTTCTCGCATTGCATGTAAGAGTGGCAAGTGCCATCATGAGCTACTAGAACGGGCTCTCCAGGCCCAGAGGACGTCGGTATCGTACGAGATGTGGCCTAGTGTTGGGTGACGATAGTGTCAGGTAAGACGAGGCGAACGAAAGACGGTGGGAACTTTGAGTTCTCGAACAAAGTAAGCAGACGTTCGGAAGGAGAAGTGGAGATAGATCTATTAGTCTTATGCTAATGCTACTGCTGGTGCAAGCTCTTATCAAATTGCGTACGAAACGGGGTATAACTTCTAGAGACAAACAAAACATAAACTCCGTACCAAAATGCCCTCGAACTAGCCGTCAGTCCGTATCCCCTCTCTCTATGGTTCCGTAGCTACCGTTTCCCGTGCATACCATACTATGCTGCTCCACCAACAGCTAACTTCTTCTTCTGTACTCTCATCTCTCTGATTGTGCCGTCTTTTCCTAATCCCCTCCCCACCTCAACAACTATCATCCGAACGAAATCTTTGTTGATCCAATAACTACTATGTGCACCTAGCATGGTCAAGTACTGAATCTCTAATGGACCACCACCGTACTTCATATAAAAGTCAATCTGGCCGTTGTCATTGAGCAGATAGGCTCTCTTCTCGGCGATTTCCTCGCGTGTGAAGTTATGGGTCTCGAGCTCGACATTACTGGGCAGACGAATGGGCGTTGGCTTGTTGTTTGAAGAGTTGTTGTAGTTGGAAGTGGAAGAGCGGAAAGGGTTGAGAGAGGCGAAGTAGGATGTCGATGCTGACGGGATGGTTGTTTGTTTCAGCATAGAAGCGTATACAACATCGACGGTTGGATTTATGCGACAGGCGACAGGATCGTAGGGGTTGATGATGTTGTAGATGTTGTCGACAGCGAGACATCCGTAGGTGCCTTGCTCGCCGGCCACACCGGGAGCAGCATACGAATCTGCACCTGGCTTCTCTTTGTCGCGACGCGGAAGCAGGTTGGCGTTCTTCATGAGGAGGAAGAGGCCAACAGGGCTACCACAGACAAAGAGGTCGGTAGTATTGAAGATGAACTGATCTTGTGGTAGGTCAGCCTCAGGGAACGAAGGGTCAGTAAATTGAGGATCAACATAGGTTGGCTGTTGGCTCAGGATATCGATGGCCATTACCGAGCCGAGCGAATGAGCGATCAAGTGCACTCGCCCATACTCTGCGAATCCTGGGTTGTTATGGCACCACAGGCGATAGATGCGATTCGCCTCTTGTATACAAGCTGATATCATCTTGGGGTTGTGCATGGGCGACAGGTAGTATGGAATATCGAGCATGACGTCGCTAACTATGCCACGGACAGAGGGCAGCGTATCTGGGGTGATGTCCTTGAGCGTGTATTTGTTCGCGGAGGGATCTTCGAGCTCGGGGTTTTCAGTGTTGTCGACATCGAGGGACACGCGATGCCGCCAGTTGACCTGTTCTGTGTTAGTATCCTGGGCTGAGGGTCGTTGTCATGATGGCTTACTGGCAAACACATGACGCCTCCCATGTCCTTCCGCAAGTGTCGCTTCACATCCGGGGTTCCAAGCTCGACGTTCATCTCTCGTCGAAAGGCGTTCATCGCATGGGTGAAGTGAAACGTCTCCATTCTCTCTGACAACTTTTGCCCAATTCCGTGTATCACCAACACTAGGTCTGACACTTTCGGTCTCTCTGACTGCGCGAGTTCGGGGTCCGACTTCTGCCTCCGATATTGCGGCGCGCCGCCTTGTGACGACGAGACACCTTCGCGCGCTGCTTGTGCCTTTGGCGTGTTCTTGCTAGGATGCAGCTTATCCCAGATGGCCTGATCAAAGCCACGTACGACGTGTACACCAATGGCTCTGCCCTTGCGAATATAGTTTGCTACTGGTCGTCGCCCATAGTAGTCTGACGGCTGAAGAGCTGGCTTGAGGATGAAGGCCTCTTTGTCGTTGGAGTATATGACGCCCGCTTTCAAATAAAGGCGCTTCCTTCCGTCGGCACCGTACTCGAGGTCTCCAGCTGCCTTGTGGTCTGGTCCCCCTGGACCTGTGGAGATGTCGATGAGGTCGCACGCGTTTTCCACCGTCTCACGTCGCTCCTTCTCTGGGTCGTCGTCGTCGTCAGGAAGGGTGCTCTGAACAAGACCGGCTGATTGCATTATGCCTTGCGAGGTCGAAGGTCTACTCTCGGACCTCCTAGGTCTCTCGGGCCATAGGTGGTGTAGTATCTTCATCTCTCCAAGTGCACCGACCTCGACAGCACTGTTCAACTCGTCCGTCCACGTCTGGGTCCAGGGCTTCAGCTCGATGTATCCGGCTTCGAGCATGTTGGCGACCTCAACCTCGACGGGCATCATGCTGTCCTTGTAGAACCACGTCCCTCTAACAATCTGAGCGACATCGCTGAGCGGTGACCAGTATATAGGCTCCATGCGTATTGCGTCAGTGTCCATGACGACATGGTGTAGTCTCGAGACACCCACAGGCACCTTTGCGGAAGGCCCTGGTTTCGGCTTGGAGGATCTTCCGGCAGGCGCCTTGTCTTTGGCAGTGGACAGAGCAGGCTCCATGTCGTCATCCCACTTGTAGCTGTCGACTTCGTGGATAGTGGGGCGATGGCCTCCTTCCATGGGCGCCGGCTTCCATGACTTGGCCAGATTGCCTCTCGACGGGGCTCGGATGAAAGGCGTGCCGGTAGTCGCAGGCTCGAGGGGAGATATTGGGCCAGGGTCGTATGCCTTGAGCGAGCCAGACATGGACTGGCCGTAACTGCCAGAACCAGAGCCCGAGCCCGAGCCGGGTGCCTTCCTGTCGACCAGCTCGGCAGACCTCGAGTACTGCCCTCGGCTTGATGAGCGGGCGGAAGGTATGTCCCTTCCCTGGATCGAGCCTTCCTCGCTGGAAGCGCTAGCGCCTCTCTTCCTCTTCAGTCTCTCGACAGCCGGGTTGGTGGGCGTGCCACGGCCCGTCGCGTCTTTCTCGCCAAACTCCTCATTGTGCTTCAGGATCTTGTTGCGCAGGTCCAGCCACGACTCCTGGATGGCGTCGTTGTCGTACTGCGAGAAGGGCCGCGGCGGCACCCTCTTGGCCGTCGAGGTGCCTGTTGGCGGCGGCGGGAGCGGAGACAGCGGGTCGTCTATGGCGAGCGGCGACGTGTAGAAGTAGCGGACGGGTATCGCGGGTGGCGCCTCGGTGTTGTGCAGGACCTCGCGGATGTACTGGTTCGCGCGAGACGAGAGCGTGGGCTCGTTGCCTGCCATGATGGTGCGTGCTGCAACTTTGGAGAGAAGCAGTCGTGCAACAATCACATCATATCATGATGCTAGCGTATCTTCTGTCCCCTCACGTGTATCTGTGAAGACGACAGCTGGCTCGGACAAGGTGGTAGCCTGAGGATGCTTCCTTGTTGTTCTAGGGCGGTATATCTCCCATCATCGTCCAGAGCACTGACGCAACCGCCGCGCTAACACGACGCGTGCCTGAGCATGTGAACAGCCCTCCGTCACCCGCCTCACCGGCTATACACAAAACAAAACATACACTCAGAATTGACATGACACATGGACTGCGATATGCACTTTCTAGTTGGATAGAGTGATTTGACATTGGTTTCTAGTGATGAATATTCTGGGTATCTTTTTGCGCAACAAGTACTTTTGCCCGAGCTCAGTGAGTCCCTAGCTCTGCTGCACCCCTTGCTGCCAGCCATTCCTTGTCCGCCTCTTGAGAGCTTCCAAGCAGCGTCCTAACATCCACCTCCAGCTCCGCCCAAAGGGCCTCCTCAATCTTGCCTTTAAACTCTCTGTCCCCGCCATGGCGACCCGATAGCACTATCCTGCCTGGTGGCTTCCCCAGCCCACCGATAGCATCAATGACAGCTTCCTGTAGCTTCGACCAGAACTTGGCTCGCGGCGCTTCGTAGACGGGAAGATTCCACCAACCAAGATCTGAGCGGGCGACGTAGCCGATCATGCGTGGTTGTGGCTGTGAAGATTTTCTATTGCAAGACGTTTGATGCATGCTCGCGCTGAAAGAGCTGTCGTCGAAAGCGATGACGAGAACGTTTTGGTGTTGTTCTTGCAGCATTTGATGAGTACACGAGGCGTGTACCAGAGCTGCGTGAGTAGCGTATGATTCCGGGTATATGACGGAGCCTTCCTTGGAGGATTTGGACAATGTGAAGCCCGTGAGTAACAAAGCGCTTTGGAATAGCGTTTGCTGGGCCCTGCCGAGTGGGAAGACGACAGCTGGCGTGATCTGTTTGACAGGAATTTTAAGCTGAGCTTCGATGGTCGTGTGAACTCTCGAGATAAACGCAGCTAGTACAACGCTGTCGTTCCGGTTTCTTAGGATTTCATAATCTGAATATCGGAACATCCACCGCGACATTAGGTCTGTGTATCCAGCGTCTCCAGAAATTTGTACCACGTCGATCGTTGTTCCATTTGGATATCGCGCAGCCACTACTGCCTGTGTTGTTGTGAAGTGGACGCCGATGCTAGGAGTGGCGTCTAGATCAATCTTTTTCGCGTTTGTGAGGTCCTCGGTGGCGCTTTCTTCGGTGATGGGTATCTGATGGTGGTATGGTACAGCTCGTGCACTAGCCAAAGGCACAAGGAAATGAAGAAGATGGGAAAGTTTCATTTTGAAGTCGTGAACTGATTATTACAAAAAGAAGAGTGTATGACGAGGAAACCGCTTCAAGAAACAATGCAAGGAGAGACAAGTGGTCGTTGGTACAGAGACACAAAAATACGTAAACAAAGCATGAAAGAGCGACGGTGGTGAGTAAGGCGTGGTAGGTGAAGAAGCAGCAACGGCAACGGCAGTACGCTCGTCGTCCCCTCCATCCATCAGCGGGGCGACGCCCGACACCTTATAGGAGTCGTCGCAAAGCATCCGATCGTACCGTCAGGGCTTGGATGATCCGAGGTTCTGGCAAGGGACATGTGGATCCGCCCACTGTTCCGCAAGCATTAGGCTGATATAAGCTAGCCTGGCGTGTGGCCGGTGCAGACTAACCATCTAGAATCTCCACGTACCTGGTTGTTGCCAGGGGACATGCGCATTTCTTTGTTCCGATACCCACATCTTGGAGGCTCAATTGGTTTTTCTGGACCGTCGGCGAGCGACTTTGGCGCCTATATATGAGGCTGTCGGAAGCGCGCTGCCCAGGTAGTGCCCAGGTGATACCCAGGTGTCAGTTGAGCTGAAAATAGCAGTCTGTGCCAAGACCGGCACACTCGGCACTACTGGAAAGCTTATCTACCCCTCTCTCGTACTTTTGTGCTAGCTATCGTAGACAAGAGGTGGCTCACCTGAGCCCTGGGCCGTTTGACCATTTAGCACTCTATTGATTTATCGCATCTTCTCCGCAAAAGGGTTCGGCCGAGTCAAAATACCTGGCGGCCTTTAAGCACTGTCGACAAAAAGACCCTTCCATCGTACATCGCGTGCCGCTAATCGTATTCCGTATACCTGTCTATGCGCACCTTGCATAGCAATTGCATTTCCTTAAGCTTACTGTGTAACACAGAGTTCATGGGTTTCGTGCAGCTCTACGTGCAAGAGGCGTGCGATGCTAGTCGACGAGTTGGTCCTGGTTGGAAAGGCTTTTCGCAAGCTTTTAGGCTTATCCTATTGCTCAAGAACATTGCTTCAGTCTTTCGACGCTGCGCGGTCAATTATCTGATGGTTAAGTGCGGCGACAAACTCGTGGTCAGGAGCTGACACCCAAGTCATAAGACGTTGTTGCTGTCGGGTCCACATCTGTTCTAGTGCAGCGCCGCAACAATAGGTAGGATCCGTGACCTCCTCTCTGGGGCGTCCAGCCACGGTGCTTACCCATGACATCTGACAGCTCTCCCCTACAGCACAGTCGCGCAAATACGCACAAACTTGATGAGAGAGAAGCCGAAGACTGCTGTAATCTGATTGGGGATAGAGCTCGCTCAAGGCGTTCAACAGGCTTCTGAGTGATTTAGGGCCCTAGTAGTAGGATGTGTAAGTCACCACACACCTTCCTGATAGACACCAAGGAGTTATCGACGTACTGTACTTCCCTCTTCACGAATATTAGGAGAGACTTCACTTCTCTCTAAGATCTTAATACCACCCAGCAACCGAGCGGCTATATGCGGATGTCAGAATGAGCGTCCATGGTCGGAGACGCGTCGATGCCTACATCAGGATCCATGCCACGGCATCGATTTTACGACGCGTCAATCATTTCGGTTTCACTGATATTCCATCATGCAACGAACTTGAGATGCATCATCGGCGTACCCCATCAACACCACCGGTTTGAAGAATGGAGAGAGGAAGACATCTGCCATGTCCTGGATACGATACCCGATGATAAGCGAGAGCCCGACCGAATGTAGATTAGTAAGTCATACATAGAGACACCTGAGACTGCGAAACAACCCACCGCTCGGCAACGCAAGCTTGAAGATATTGTCACGCTCACAGAGGCCGACGTCGACATCATCCTGCATCGGCGGTCTGTCCGTATGCCTCTGAATGACCACTCTGCATTTGAAGACTCAAAAGGCTGGTTACTTAGCATAGAGCTTAGCACGAACCTTCTGCTGCTGCAGGGTCACAAGACGACTGGCTCGGTGCACCTGAGAATTGTTACGAACCTGGACTCGACAACAGGATCAACTGTTTGGAAAGATGTTGAATTCTTGACCCTGTGTCTGCTTGATCTTTGGGAAAGTTTTGGATTGAGATTGGTCCGTTCGACTTCCTAGTCACAGTCGAGGAAAATTTGAGAGGTAGGTATTAATGTCTGGAACGTATCGCTGCAAATTCTCCAGGTTCCGCTCAATTGTTCGGTGCAGATGGGGTGTCTGAGCCATGAAGTAAGACGCTGGGCAGGTGTGCGGAGCTTCTCAGCTTGCCTATAGGCTGCTGGAATGGGATGGGCATCCGCGGCGAAAATTTCCTCTTGAGCATTAGCAAAAGCCCAAAGATATTATCTCTGCACGGCTATCTCAGAGACGATTTGGTAAGTCAGTCCGGATTAACCACACGTCACTACAATCGCCACAGTCGCGGCCCGCGATGTATCCCTCACTAACACAACTTGGAATACAAGTGTGTGAATAGAATTGGACACAGATATTGCGTTCCAGAGCTCTTCAGAGCTATTTATAAATTTCCGAAACCGATTGTTTTGGGTTACTTAGTGAAAACAGTAGGGATGACTACATTGCAATGGTCAGATTGAATTGTTTCCGCCAAATCTTCGCACTATCTATCTTCACCAACTCCCTCTTGCATTGCAAAGCAAGAGCCTGGATGATCTTGCTGATCGTCTCTTCGTATTCCTTGAGAGACAGATGTTCTGCCGTAGGTTGGAGTTGCTAATCTTCAATATGGAGCGGGATGACAGAGAAGAAAATAGAAGAGGCAATCCCGACATCGGCAGAGCTTCTAGAATCGGATGTACTTCAAAGCCAAGGGAAGTGTGGTGGCGTTTGGCGGACTGTCGTAGTCTCCTTACGGGCGAGCTTGGCTCCGAGACAACGGGATCAAATTAGACATTCTAGATTTTGATGCTCATCATCAAAGATGGCCAGCAGGATTTCCAGTAAAGGAGCGTGAAGTTTAAGCGGTTAAATGTCGCATCACTTTGGGAGTGTCAGCGAGCCATGAATCCCGTCACGAACAAAAAACAAAAACTGAATCGGTCTCTAATGCAGTGCCTGTCCCTGACGGAGATATTGGAGTAAAACGCGCTCAACAGCTGCAGAAGACGGGAGCAACGGAGCGCACGTGGATCTGCTACTAGGAATCTCGCGTTCGCAACACTGCCAGCCAGCCGGCTTCATCTCCGCGGTGACTAGCGCGAACCCAATCAGCCTCACAAAACGATCGCCTCCACGCCACGATACCTAGCGACTCCCGGTCGATCGAGGCTTGGTAACATACTTTCCGGAGTTTACGCAAGGAAAAAATCCTGTTGCTGGACCGCAATGGATGTCATGTGGGGGGAAAGGGTCCAGTTAAGGACCCAAGGGTCCCCAATCGTATGATGTATTCATCTCATTTCTCTTTTTACGTACGTGCGCGATTCGTTTTTGCTACAGCCCCAGGTTTTTACTGGGATGTGGTTCGTTGGTCTCCTCTTGATGCAGTCTCTTACTGCTCAAGGCTTCCCTTTGCATATGCGGGGAGAGGACTTTAGGAATTCGAATCTCTTCATCAACAATGGCGAGCTTCCGCGGGATAGGTCCATTTTCACGATTATTTCGCTGATATGCATGATGGTGTTGTCGTTGTTACTAGGTAAGTGCACCTTCCTTACTGTATCAACATCAGAACCAGACGACATACCTTTTGCATGTGCTTCACATCGAGGAATCCACATCAAGCTTGCAACCATGATTTAACACAGACTACAGGGTTGCGATGGGCAAAACTCAGACGGAGCATCGTGGTTAAGCGCAGCCTCATGTCAACGCTTGTTCTCATGTTATACGTTCTGGTGTTGATGTTCATCACCTGTTCAGCTGTTCTCGTAGCAGGGCAAGGACTGTACACATATGGGATGTGTCTTGCAGGCACATGGGTTTGTTTGATCTTCTATACGTTCATCAAAGCTACCATGTGAGTATGTACTGTCGATGATACGGATCACTGCTAACGATGGTAGCTATGTCTTTCTGGTCGAACGCATCCACGTCGTCCGCGCACCCTTCTTCAATAGGCGAAAAGACAAGCTATACCTTGGTTGCATGGCCATGATAATCATTACGTACAGCTCAGTCGCCATTAATGCATACTGCAACCACGTCGTCGAGTTACGTGCGTCAGACGGTCGGTGCCACTTTGGCATTCGCGGTGCCGTATCAATACCGTTCACGGTCGTAAATTTCTTCACGGATGCGGTTTTGACGGCCGTCTTCTTTTACCTGCTTTGTCCTATCGTACAGATACCCGGTGTATCTACTCTCTCCAAAGTCTTCAAGGTAAAACCAAACAAAGAAAGAAATACAGTCGATAGTGGGAATGATACCCCAGCTCGAAAGAACATTAGGACGCTGTTATGGAAGAGCATCATTGGCTCACTGTTGATCGAGATTCCAATGGCGGCGAACATGATCCAGTTCGTCTTGACAGATGGCGAGGAACTGGGTATGATCTGTCTTACCATCTGCCTAGTCGATGGTAGGCTTTCTTTCCCGCACGTCTGTTACATCGAAACTAACATTCTGCAGTATGTTGGGATGCGCTGGTAATCCATTGGCTGACCTTCAGTGCGTCTGGCTCGGCCGCCGAAAAGGACTTGTCGCGATCGACGGTGGTTTCCAGTGAGGAGTCATCGCATGACCAAATACCACCTAGATGCCGTTCTCGATTGAGCCTTGATGGCGGGGCCAAATCCGTCAAGCAAGAAACGACCGAGAAGTCCAATGATTTACAACTTGATGCAATAGACTTCCGGTGCGAGAGCCCTCGAGATTCAACAACTGATCTGATACGGCCCGCGGCTGTGAAGTGAGGAAAGTAGACATTGTTGTGGTTTTTGTTTCTCTAAGCGACCAACAAAAGATCAACTTTGATGTAGGCGTAGTTTCAGTCTGCATTCACACGAAAAGAAACGTTTATGGTACCCCAAATCGTTTCCCGGGCGGAAATCGGCTCTTCAGTTATGTCACCCTAAACAAGACCGGATACGAGCGCCTTGAGTATGATATTGGCATCGTACGGAGCGTATCATGTCTCATCACGGACATAAGCGATCAGTCCGCTTATGTCTGTGATGACTTGAACAGGCGCACAATTAAATCGAATCTAAGCCTGGAAGCTAGCTGCAATGTCGAAGGACCAGCTAGTAGCGCTGATTAATGCAAGAGTGGGCACGCAGCTTCGTTCACAGCTTTAATATTGTCAATCATCGCCTGCGCAAACTCAAAGGGTCAGTGCTCATTCCAAAAGCAGTTTCGATACTAGCAAGACCCACTAGGGAAGGTGGATGTATATGCACAGTAGCCAAGCATGAGCGCTTCAGTGAGCAAGATTGCTGGGCTGTTGCCAGAAATAAAAAGTTTGGCGCGACGAATTCTCTGATTGCCCATACCTTCCCGTAGAAGTTGTGTGGAATAGCAAATATGAATAATAAACAACCCTGCAACAGAGGTACATTAATGGCCTCTCATGTTTATCCTTTCAAAGGACAATTCACTGACAATCAAATGACTGCGAAGGCGGATTAGTGCAACGAACAGTGGAGCACAAACCTACATCAATAACCTGTCTTTCCAGGGACTATCTCATAACATGGTCCGCCCTTCCCGAACATCTTCTGCAAATCCGCAACGATCACATCCGGCCTCTCGTGCGCAGCGAAATGGCCACCTTTGTCGTTGATACTTTCATGGACAAGAGGGCCTGTTCACATGTGAGTATAAGTTCCATGCGCATCATCATGAGAGTCATACCTAAGGTTTTCGCCCACAATCTTGGGACAACAGTGATCTCATTAGGAAAGTGCGCGACACCAAGCTTCACACGATCAATCCACTGACTCGTGCGCTCTCGATTGGGGATCAGATCCGTGGGGTTATGTTGAGCTTCATAGTAGATCCTAATATGCGCATTGGGGCCTGCAGTACTGAACCAGTAGACACTAACCCATGTTAAAACCTCATCGTCGGTCCACTGATAGCTATCAGTCCAGTCAACCAACTTCTCGTAGATCCATGCCAGTAGAGCAACAGGGCTATCTGCGAAGGCATATGAGAGTGTCTGCGGCTTGGTAGCTTGTAGCTGGCGATACGCTTGACCGTCGGTAAGAAACCACTCAGAGCGCTTCATGCCTTTGGATTCAGCATCTGTGTAGGGAGTCATCGCGTGCTGGAGAGCGAGTACAGGCTGTGATGAAAATGTCGGCGCGTGCGCGCGCACCATATTGATGTGACTGGCGAGAACATTATCCGGATAGAGAATGCCCATCGACCTGGTTATGTAGAAGCCCCAGTCGCCGCCTTGGGTGACATACTTCTCGTATCCGAGGTCTTGCATTAAGCGGTGGCAAGTCTCAGCGTATTGCGATAGTGCAAAACCAGACTTGAGGATCTTCTGACTGAAACCGAAGTTCGGCAGGGATGGTGCCACGATGTGAAATGCGGGCTTGCCTTCTTTCTCGCCATCTTCCAGGAGTGGAAGCAACTTTGTGACCTCGAGAAATGAGCCTGGCCACCCGTGACTGAATAACAGTGGCACTGCATTTGGGTTAGAGCTTCTCTTGTGTACGAAGTGTATGTCGATTTGTCCAAAGCCATCAACCTGTACTTTCTTTCGAAAGTTTGGCAATTCGTTGATCTTGGATTCGACTTTTCGCCAATCGAAACCGGTTTCCCAATGTTTCGCTAGACGCTTGACGTCCGATAGTGGTGAACCATATGGCCACTGGTCAGGTGTATCCAGTTCATCAGGGAAGTCGGCGTCTGACAACTTTCTTTTCAGCTTCTCGATTGCGGTGTCTGCAATCGAGATGGTGTAAGGCTTAGGTTGCGAAGCCATCGTGAGTGACGCTGTGAATGTTGGAGGTGTCAACCTTGTAGTTGTGCGCTCTTTGTGTGATGCGACCCCTCAGTTGAGCCAAAAGCCAAACAGCGCCCTTTTAGCTATGCACATGTTGACATCATATGCCAAGTATGCGCTCTTACTACGTCTGCTGCTGCGAGTAATTACTGCTATAACCCTTAGTAATGTCGCAATTGCAGCATGTACGCCGCATGGAACCGTACTGGGATAGTTTCCCATCTGAAGCAATATGCGTATCTCGAATGGAGCAAGTGTCTCTCTGTGTCATATGCTCCGCGATCGCACAGTACGCTGCTGATCGTGCTGTCGCCCGAGCTGATAATTCGGTGGCTGGGTAAGATGACAGCTAGTCCTCTTCGAACGGTCGGCTCGGCGCGTGTCGCGTATGCCATTACGCCATCATCCTCGACGTGTCGTGCACGGGGTTAGTAACCCTGTCCTTGATGAGACGGCGATTCAAACATCCTCATGACATCTGCACGGTACTTCCATCGAGCGCATCTTTCCGACAGTGCCTCCCTATCATCGGAAAGTCAATGCTTGCACATTACATTGCGATGAGTAGCAGCAGCGGCAATGCATCTGGAATCTCTGCAGTCATCCAGAGCTGCTCAGATTGCTCGACACGGCAGCTTCCCGCCCCGGCGGTCAACCAGAGTATCTTCGAAGAGAGCCTTCACCAGCGCCTCTCCCTTCACAGGGCTTTCAAGTTCACTGCAGCGATCGTCGAAGATATCCAGGCCGCCAATGACTCTGGTATCACCCCTATCCTCATCTCAGTGGGTCTCGACGGCTGGGCCTGTGACATAAGGATGATTCACCCGTGGATGCAAGCCTCAAACCTCCTGTTTGAATTGGTCATTCGAACCGCGAAGCCAGTGTATGGCATGACAGATCGGTTTGCAGTGAGACACGGCAATATTTACTGGTGGACATATCAGTCCAAGGCGATCTGGCAGGCGCTAGAACAAGGTGCTGGTCACGATGAAAAGGCAGACGAGCTTATTGCCGCCTGGAAGCTCCTCCAGTCCAGCAAAGACGTTGCCTTCGGCATGTCAAGCGGCCGCAATGTAGTGGACACAACCCCTCACTTTCCCGAGGTCGAATAAGCTTACGTCGACAGCTTTATATCTTGCCATTTATTTGCTTTCTTCGCGATATACCCCATTATATGGACGCTGTGTATTTTGCGGCTACACGGTTTCTTTTCTTTTCTTTCTTCGCGACATACACTACTATATAGACTCTATGTGTTTTACGTTAGATTTTAGATGATTTCACTTATACAATATACCTCGGTACTTCTACTGTGTATTTCCTTGTAAGATAACCTGGAAGCATTGCAATCCTAGCGTACGCTAGAGTCGCAATATAGCTATTTGTACTAAGATAAGAGCCTCTAAAAGTGAGTTTAGAGATAAAAATCTTACTATACACTCTCCGCAATGAAGACGCCCTGCTAGCTTTATTTCTGATGTTCGTCCCGTGACGTAGGAGGTCCGGTGCGGGAAGCTGCCGTGTCGAGCATTTTGAGCGGGTCTGGATGACCGTGAATTTCACACGGTCGCCGCTGTCTATAATAATGTCATATATTACAGTAATCGGCCTATTTTCATCAATAACATCATCTGGCAAGATGGCCGAGTGGTCTAAGGCGCTGCGTTTAGGTCGTTCTAAACATCCTCCGCAGTCTTCACGGGCGTGGGTTCGAATCCCACTCTTGTCAACATTCTTTTTGTCCCTTTTTTTTTGCGGATGATGTTGCAGTGGTCGTGATTGTTGCGTTGGCAAGTGCGGGATGCTACGTCGCCTAGCGTATCTTGTAGTTTGCTCATATCGGAAATCTTAATTTTGCTGCACACTCTTGCTTGTGCCTCACGACAGCCTTGCCCATCAACATCCGCTAAAACTCCAATCCGGTACTGCCCACAGACACTGGCGTCAAGGCATCACGCATCTACTCTTCCTTGCATCCTACTTATATCCATAAGTCAGACTGCCCAAAAGTAGTTTCAGTAGCATCTAGCAGGTACTATGCCGACTCAGCCGGACGACTTGCTCATGTCCGTAAGTTGTGTCAAGTGCTCACCACTTTGAAGCAACATAGCAGTGGGCTAGCATATGGCTAACTCGCTCTAGCTCCAATCTTCCCTTCGCAACACGCTTGCAACGTTCGGCGCGGAGAGCACACAATATCGCAACACCAAGCTCATGGTTGACGAGTATATGGCCAAGCTTGCCATGGAGGGTCTATCAATTTCATCAAAAGAACCTCAGCAGGACAACCCAAGGGTGCAGAGAGGGTAGGAGGTTGAGGACGCATGCAGTTGATGCAGATGGGGCAAGCCTTGTGTCGTTGATTGCTTCATGTATAGCAGAGCGTTTTGTAGATTCATAAACTCATTGGCTAGACAGATGGCTGGAAGTGAAAAGGCTGGGATGAACCGCATCTCATGTGGAGACGCCCCACCACGAACTACACAGGAAGCGAGCGAGCCCACACGCGAACACGCCTTGACGATAGATCAATGGCCTCGAATACATGGCCATGTCATCGTAGTATCTACTGATGCGGTTGGGAGTGACTCGTTTTGCCATCGAAATTCCTATACTGGACATCACGAACACTTAGCCAGACCGGTGCGCACTACACCAAGATAGCAATCGACCAAAGCGTATCGCAAGTCATGGTGTTAAGCAACAATACGCTTCATATCGACATGCACAAGACCTCCCCCTGTCAGTGGACTGTAACAAACAGCCACATCTTCGCGGCTATAGTCGGGCAGGGCTGAGTCATAGAGCGTCACAAGAGTCACTGTCACAGAGTCAAGAACGTCACAGGAGTCACTGCCAAAGAGTCATTTACGAACATCATGTATATCCAAGGAGACTATCCCAGAGGCTTCAGCACGAAAGCGCTCACAACTATGAATGCATCAATCAGAAACGAACAACACAACATTACCACCTACACCAGGCGGAGTCAATCGAAAACCACAAGGGGAGACTGCACACCGGCGACAACAATATAAGATCAAAGCATGAGACACCATCCAGCCGGAGCCGGAAGGCGACAGAAGCGAAAGGAAATACCGCGGGAAACAACACGGAATGGAAAACTTTTGCCGAAAGGCAAGGCTGGTTTCTTCACCAGCTCCTTACGACCACCGGGAACCATATGAGAGAGACGAGGACATTCACTGTCCGCTGTATCCATGAGCCATAGCAATGCTCTTCCACTTTTCGACTTCAGCTTCGAGCTCAGAGTTGCGCTGCTCGAGGGTGCTGACATGGTCAAACTTCCGCTGACGCGACTCACGGGCAGCAAGGGTGTTGCGTGCCCGCTTCAAGGCAATCTTGTCACTGGGGTCGACGGTGATGCTGGGCAGAGGACCCTTGCGCCGACGAGACTTGCTGATGCCGTTTGTTGCAGGTGAGTTGGTGACAGACGACTTTCGTCGAGTATAGTTGTCCAAAACGAGAGGAGAACCGGTGCTGGAAGAACCGGATCGCTCCATAGACTGGCTGCTCATAGTGCGGTCCATAGGCATGGAGATGGCAGGTGCATAGACAGTGTCAGGAATCTTGGTCTCCTGCTCCGGGAACAGGGAGAACCAGTCGCTCGTGTCAGAAATAACCGGCTCGCCGTTGAACATTGGCGAGCACTCGAAGCTGTCGTTGATGAAAGGGGAGTCACCAATATCAGGGGAAGTAAGGTTGGTAAACGCCGTGGAAGGGGGTGCAGACCCAAAGGCATCGTTAAAAATGTCCTTGGGGGACACGGTGCGCGTAGACCCGGCGGCAACGGAAGGGTCGTTGATGGCCGTGAATGCGGACACCGAGTCCATAGAAAAGCCTCCGTTGTTGAAGTTGGACATCAGGCTTGCGCCCGAGTCGAAGGAGTTGTTGCTGTTCAAGTCTGCGGGGAAGGTGAGCTCGCGATCGAGAGCGGAAAAAGCGTGCGTCGTACCTGCCATGTTTGTGACGTTGTGCAGTTGGGGAGTGTTGTTGCTAGAGCTGGGGAACAGTGGAACCGGAGGACGTTGGCGTAACCGTGGCTGTTGGAATTCTGTAGTAGATGACGGGGCAGAATTTGCGTAAAAGTGCTGGCCGTTGTTAAACGTATGCCCAGGCTGAGGCGCGCTCGGTGCTCGCAGAGGCCGTTGGGAGACCTGTGGTGTTTCGTAGAGCACAAAGTCCGACTGCGGACGGGCGAATGCGTGTTGACTCGTATTTGGTTGCCGAGAGGCTTGGGGAGCTGGTGAAGAGAGCCATGATGACTGTTGGGAAGCCGTGATGGTCGACGTGAAGTCGAACGGGAGGGGAGACGGCGAACTAAAGCTGCGCGAGGCTAGACTTGAGTTCAGAGGTTCCTGAAAGGAAGACTCTGAGGTTGTAGTTGAAGTGGGGAAAGTGGTTATGGTTGGGTAATCCAAGGTGTCGGCTGTTAGCTGACTGAGAGGCGCGGGGGAAGTTAAAAGGCAGCCATTGTTCGTGACTGTCTTGTGTATTGCTTTGTGGTGTGGTATGTTGAGATGAGTGGGAAAGAGAAATTCAGGCAGCGAGGGAAGTGGGGGATTAATAGTAACCGGAAGCGAGCACGGCACCAGAAAGGCCCGAGTTCTGTGACTCACAAAACGTGCAGCAGTGTCGGTGGCTCCCAACCAATAGCTTCGCCCACCGGCGCCATCCTCCATCAGCCCTAGGCCCCGATCCGGTTAAAGAGGCATCACGCTCGCCAAACTGCACGCTCCATTTTCGTCCTTTGATGTGGTCTCAAGTCTGATTATGCCTGCTCCCGGCCTCTAGGAGGCGTCGCATTCAGCATTTGCCCATACAAAGCAAAATCGTCAAACCTCGCGACCATGATCAACTGTGGCCTCCATCCAAATCGCAGCCACTAGACATCAGGCATCAGCTTTTGTGCGCATGTACCAGTAGGGCGCGCGCCATCAAACATGGGGCACCCTAGTCAGCTGCACATTGTTCCAACCGGTGGAGGTGATTACGAGGAAGCCATCCCAAGACGGGAGAGATGCAAGAAGAAGGCGGAGCAGCTGCGCCCTTTCCATCAATCGTAGATTGCCAGATGCGCGCGGTATGCGCCTTCGTTCTCGAGATTGATTGCCAATACCGCATTCTCCGGCGCCATTGCGCAAAGTCTCTGAGAAGGCAGGTGAGATCAAAGGTTTGGCATCAGGAGCGGTGAACAACTGTGTGAAACATTGCGGTTGTCCTGCCACACCCAACGCATTGGGTCCCAGGGTAACTCTGACGGTCTTATCGATATTCGGATCCGTACTCAGCCTCCAACATGCTGCAAAGTCCCCAGTATGGCATTGGTCAATGAGGGCGGCTCCGCGTGAATCCTGGCATATTCAGCCTCACTCCAGTGACTAGCGGTCGCACCTGCTTGGTTAAACTTGCGAGTTCTTGTTGTGTTTGGTTCGTCTACTGACAGCACACCTTGACGGGACATGCCCGTCATTGCGTGTATTTCCAAGGTTGCAGACACCTCATTCGGCCCTACACGGCCGCGGATAGCTGTGTTTCAGGTTGGAGTAGTACGCCAACGAACAGCTTACCTAACATTCACAGGAAATGAGCGTCTGCGATTTCATGTGTTGACGGTCGATAATCCAACACGTTGGTATCCCGTCATCAAGTGGGGCTAACTTGCGCAACCATTCTCTATGGGGATGTGCATGGCAAAGCTGGCGGATTAGGCGTACCCAGTCATCATCCCTGGCCCTACGCGGAACGACAACAACATCTGATCTGCTCGAGATCTCCACTTTCTGCGCTATCACCTCTCCAGCCTAAGCATTTCTGTGACACTGCACAATGGTACAACAGAATGTGAAACCACCTGGAAAACTCCATGCGGCTTGCGATGAGTGCCGTGAGTACCTCAAGCTAGGCTCCCAGCTGCCCCGCGCGACGCTCAACTATACCCAGGCACACGAAAGTTGAAATGTTCGGGCCATACACCAAGATGCGTCCGTTGTCAGAAAGAGAAGATCGAGTGTGTTTACTCGCCACAGAAGCAGATGGGTCGCCCTAGAAAGAGGATGAGGGGGGACGAAGCGGACGAGCCTACGGAAATACTTGCAGTAGTGCGAGACGAACATGTCGAGGTTTGGAATGACTTCTCGGGAATGCCAGACTTTACAGATCTCGACAGCCTACTATCACCGCCGCTTCTGCAAGATGTGCAATCATCGGACGGTTCGGCAGGCAATGAGATTATTACACCGCATCATCACGACCTCAGCCTTCAAGATCAGTTCCAAGTGCCATCCGGGTACAACGATGTGTATGTGAGATTCAGCGGATCGATATCGATGAATGCTGAAACTGTTGCAGATATACTTTGGATACAACCGTCGATCCACTGTTATGGAATCTGGCGCCTGACATCCAACCTGATATCCAGCCTATTGGCTCTCACCATACTTTCTCCGATCAACCAACCACAGGGCAGTGTTCGTGTCTGACAACAACGTGGCTAACCCTGACCGAATTACAAGCTGTCGTCACCTTTCACTTCCCTCAAGTTGTTCTGCCCCTACGAAAAGCGATGACATCGCTCTCGGAGTTGATACACTGTAAACAATGTCCAAGAGAGTCATACTCAGCGATCCAGAATGTGCAATCAATAGTGTCCGTAATGAAAGCGGTAGTGGAGCGCTTCAACAAAGTTCTGATCGAAGTCGACCGCGAGGCGCTACGCCTAGAAGAGACGGGTCAAAAGAAACCATATCGAATTGGCGACAACAACCCAGCTTTGCAACATCTACATACTGGCACTCTTGACTGCCCAATGGGATTCAATATTGAGATCGAGGGGAAGGACTGGAAGAAGTTAGTCAAAACTGCGTTGAAGACTGAGGTCTATGGCGGAGGAAGCAATCCGCGACCATTGCTGGATCTAGTAAAGGAGAGCGAGGCAAGACAAGAAAGCTGGCATACTAAGAGTCACTCTTGGAGCGATGAGATGAAGCAGTTGCATGCTGGAAGGTCTGAATGTGATAATTCCGGGGCCTGTGAAGCATTGGGAGCGCAGCACATACGGAGAGCAATCAACAACCTCAGATGGGATTGATAAATCAAAGATAATTTGGGCACTTCATACTGCGTAGACTGGCTTGTCCCACATCTCTTCTCATTTTTAGCTCCCATATGGGGGTAAACTCTAACTGAGCACTGTTACATCTCACTGGTAGGTCCAGACCTCACTTTACTGCCAGTTCATTCGCATCTTTTACCTATAACACACCCACCTTTTCTAGTAAGTGATTAACGCTTGTTCAGGACATATAAAACGCCAACCGCTCCTAGAAATCATTTGTCTACTTCGATCCACTGTTTCTTACACTTGCCTCTTCCTCAGAATTTCTCAAACATCCAGCGATACTTCGTCTAATTATCGATCGCTCTAGCAAAGAGACTTACAAATATGATTAGCGTAAACACGATCAAGTAACACAACAGGCTACGCGATGAGCAAACTCTAATTTCACAGCCTCGTCAAGATGACATTACTTTCCCGTTCCTCGACCTGCCTAGTGAGATGCGCAATACGATCTATGAGTGCGCATTAGTTGATAAGAAACACTTCTGTCTAGTTCGAGAAGGCTAGAGACAAACAAAATGGCAGCGGTAAGTGATTCCGAGCTGCGAAGAAGTTCCTTCTCATAACTTGTATCCCAGCCTTAATATACCCTAGAGGCATACGCTGCATCATACATCATCATACTAGAGACTATAGCATGGTAAATACCTTCAGGATGCGATGTGACTGGGGTAAATCTCATGGAAATCCAGCTTTTTCGCAACAACTGTAATTGCTATCTCCCATCCAGATACTATCATTGGTATTCATATAGCATGTCCCAAAGTTCTAGCCCGCGACGACATGCCTAGCCTAAGATAGCCTACTCCAAAAAAACCCCCGCGTTCTTTTAAAGGTGACAAAGGGGGTTGTGCTACATGGAGTGATAGTAAAGGAGTCGAACTCCGAGTTTGACGGGTACTGTCTTCATAGTAAAAGCTCAAAAGTGAATTAGCTTCTTACATTTTATGCCATGCATAGAATGAGTTAGTATAGACAAAATCCGACTGGAAGGAGGTGACTATTTATTCAGACCTCCCAAACATCCAAGGAAGATAGACGTGTCGTATGAGACATGGTGGGGAAGTATGGGGCTGTCGTGTTGATGGCACGCGCCTCAAACGACTAGCGCCACCGGAGCGGAGAAACAAGGTGGGCTGCGACCAACTCCCATCCCACTAGGTGGGCGCGCAATTCACTCCGCAACCGCGTCCCGACCCGTGCTTGCGCCTGATCGCAACGCCCCACCACGCCGGTGGTCGTAGCCTACAGAGAAGACATACAAACGCCCGTATCCTTCGGAGCCCATCGCCGAAAGCAAGCGCATCATGGACGACTTCAACAGCGACACGGATAGCGACTACACAAGCTACTGGCGAGATTGGGTGAGTACCCTGGCTTCCTATACTGTCACCATTGGCATCCTCTGAGCGCCCGACATGGCCCTGCGAGGATCAAGTGGAGGGGACTGGGACAGGAGGTTCTTGGTTGCATGGTATAGCTCACCGGCCTTTCACTGCGGGTCACGTCTGACCTTGCGCCAGCGGTGGCTGCGCCCAGAAGGGCTACATTTCCACACGCATGTGCCCTCATGCAATCGATTCCGAATATGCACCCATCTTCGGTGCCGAGTGGGGTCCGCTCATGGCCATGCAGTCTCTGTGGTGGTCAGACTGGCACGAGAACGATGCACATGTAGAAGCAGCGAGCGCGCTTTCAGACACATGCTGACCAACGACTAGTTCATATCCTCGCGAGGCAACGAATACTTCTGCGAGATTGACGAAGAATACCTCACCGATCGCTTCAACCTCACGGGCCTGAACACCGAAGTTCAGTACTATCAATATGCACTCGATCTTGTAACCGACGTCTTCGACTTCGACTGTGACGATGATATGCGGGAACAGATTGAGAAGTCGGCGCGGCATCTGTACGGACTGGTACATGCACGATACATTGTCACAACCAGGGGTCTAGCAAAGATGGTACGCAGCCCTGTCGCATGACCACTTCATATGCTAACATAACCACCACCAGCTCGAGAAGTTCAAGAAATCTGACTTCGGCAAATGCCCCCGCGTCATGTGCGAATCGCAACCCCTCCTTCCCATGGGTCAATCCGACGTCCCCAACGCCTCACCCGTAAAACTCTACTGCGCTCGCTGCGAGGACCTGTACAACCCCAAGTCTTCTCGTCATGCCGTAATTGACGGCGCCTACTTTGGCACCTCGTTCCACAACATCCTCTTCCAAGTCTACCCCGCGATGCTGCCGCCAAAGTCGCAACGGCGGTACGAGCCGCGCGTTTTCGGCTTCAAGGTACACTCTGCAGCAGCGCTGGCGCGATGGCAAGCAGACAAGAAGGACGAGATGAAAGACAGACTCAAGACACTGAAGATGGAGACTGGATTCGAAGAGGAGGATGAGGAGGAAGACGACGATGAGGATGACGATGATATGGAAACTGCAGAAGTCGACGCTGCAGCTGCCCAGCTATGACAAATGGGCCTCTGACGGCCTTTTCACTATTGTACAGAGCGGGAAAAACGACAATAACAGGAAGCAGGAATAGTAAGCATGGAGGGTTATGAGTAGTTTGATAGCATCCACAAGGAACTAGCATGGGTTCGGCGATAGGCGTCATGGGTGGCTGGGTTAAAGCAGTATCTGATATACCAAACGACGATTAAGCAACGCAGAGTTTCACTTGCACATGCTTGAATTAGCAAAGTCTCACATGTGCATCGACTTCACGAGTAGGCACAAGTAGTACGATTCATGATTGCACTGTTGGCTTGTATAATGTAAGAGAAGGGGGTATCTATCTCACATCCCGTCAGCCCATTCCGTAAGTACCCAGGAAATTCAAGCAACAATGTGACAAACCCAGGGGTATAACAAGAATGTAATGACTGAAGAAGATACCGAGCAAGATAGAATGAAGGAAGAAGTAAACTAGTTGTCATGAATAAAAGTGATAAAGTAGACAAGAATAAGTTCCCAAGTTGGAACCAAGAACAAAAAATCCGCGAACGAAAACGCCGCGCAATGCGTTAAAAAGGACGAATCCAAAAGTATCAGACCCATTTCGCTTCGTTCCATCCATAACCCAAGCATTTCCAATCAAAACATATACACATCCAAGAATGTCATCTCGTAGAATCCATATTACATCGTGAAATCCAAAATCGGAGATAGAAGATTAGAAAAAGAGCCGTAGCTTAGAAGAACTTCTTCATCCAACTTCCCCTCTTGGCAGTAGGCGCACCGCCATTGACGGCTGGTCTGCCATCCCAAGTACGAACGGGCAGCTCTTCATACGCAGGTGCATAGCTCGTCCTGCGCGAGGTCCTCTTTCTCTCCACCTCCTCTTCTGGCACCTTCATGCCTTCATAGTGCGTCGCCCTTCGACTATGTTTGTGTGACCTGTCGCGGTCACGTTCCTTGTCTTCAGCTTTGCGGCGCTCAGCGCGCTCTTTGTCGCGCTTTGGTCCCCTGCGGCCGGCGATACGCAGGCGGACGTCTTCGTCTTGGGAGAAAGTTTCTTCGTCGTCGAGCTCCTCACGGGTGCCCGGGGCGGGATCGAGAACTGTTTCGGAGATGGGTGGAGGGAGGGGTGGCTCCTCGGCGAGAGACTCGACCCAAGAGGAGGTCTTATCGCCGCTCTTGTTGTTGATGTACGGCATGTTCTCTTCCTCGGGAGCCTGGCGCGAACTGCGATGTTTCGAACGCCTTGCGCCGTTGCGCTCGTCGAAATAATCAGTGATAGGCTCGCCGCTAGCTTGCACTGGGTAGTCGGAGTTGCGTCTAGCAGCGCGGCGTTCTTCGTGACGACGACGGCGTTCTGCATCCTCGTCCACATGTGTTGTTCGACGGCGTTCGGTCTTTGGACGGGGCTCTTCGCGATCTTTTTCTTTGCGGCGCGAAGAACGCTTCTCGCGCTCTCGTTCGTCTCCGCCTCGTGCTTTCTTTCGTTCCTCCTTCTCTGCCATGCGGCGCAGTTGCTCCTCGGCTTCCTGGTTGCGCCGCTCCAATTCGGCCATTTGGCGAGCTTTCTTCTCTGCAAGAGTCGCTTGTTCATTCTCACGCTGACGCTCGCGGCGGCGTTCTGCCTTAGCCTCTGCTTCTTCGAGCTCAGCACGTCGAGATCCTTTCTCTGCATCGCGCTTGGCCCTACGCTCAGCTCGTCTTGCCTCTCGTTCCGCATCATAATCGTCAGGAGTGCCATTCGCGCCAGACATCATGATATCTTCGGGGGGAGGATTGCGCAAGCTGCGGCGCTCGTGTCGCAATCGCTTTGCCTCATCTTCTGTTGCTCCCCCGCGGGTTGTTGATCGTTTGCGATGTCTGCGCTCGTCTTCGGTCTCGTAGGCGGTGCGACGGCGCTCGCGGGGTGCCTCTTCAGCCGGCGCAGTCTTCTTGCGACCGAGGCCAAACATTCCCTTGAAGCCCTTTACAGCTGCAGCAGTGCCTGCGACACCAGCAAGCGTGTTGATGGCATCAGAGTTGCCGCGCGCACGGCGAGGTCGCTCCCGCTCTCGTTCGCGGCGGGGCCGTTCAGCTTCAGCTGGGACAGGGTCCAGGTCCATAGGGTCAACAATGATAGGGTCGTCAGCGCTAGGTGGTGCAGTCACGGGCTCGAGGGGTTGCGCTGAGTCGCGCTTAGATTTGCGACGCGATGTTTCTGGACGGGTTGCTGGGGGAGGAGACTCATCGTCGAGATCTTGGTCATCGTCTACAGGATATGGGTCTGGAACAGCAGCCATGCGGTTAGCTCCATGTGTTTGCTTACGGCTACGCCGGCCAATTACAGGCGTATCATGCTTAGCGGGGAACGGCTTACCTCGAGAAGACCTGCCCTTGTCTCTGGCGTCCCTTGTACTGGTCCTGCGCGACGAGCTTTTCATACCCATCATCTTGGCGGCCTTTGAAGACACCCTCGCGTCGGTATCTGTTTGTGGCGGCGACATCATGGCAGCGTCCTGATCAATTGAAGGTCGGCGCGATAACGTCTTGGTGCGATGCGACTTTGAGCGCGAAGGCGGGGGCGGCGCCGCAACACCAAACATGGCACCTAGTCCGGTAGCAGCGCGTGTTGACTTGGAACGTGATACTGTTGGCTTAGACATGTGCACTTCATTTGAGCCTGATGATCGTGACTTCATGTCGTTGTCCCGAGTAGACGAGGTTCGCGCAGACTTTGTGCGGGGCATATCAGGCTTGCCTGCGCCTTCTTCACCACCGGATACTCTCCTAGTCTTGGAGCTTTTGGCTGCACCAAAGAGGCCCCAGCCTCCGGCTGTGGTAGCACTGCGACCCAGCTTAGCGCGCTCCTTTCTTGGAGATTCTGGAGGTGGAGTAGGAAGTTTGACGTCTGCATCTTCGTCGTCCATGTCCCCCGGATCTGCATCTTCAGTGGGCTCTTCAACAATCGGTTCCGGCTCAGGTGCAGGTTCAGGTTCTGGCTCTGTATGGCGCCTGTATGACTTGCTGCTTTTCTTAGATTTCTTGATCTTCTTCTCAGGCACCACTACAACTGGCTCTGGTTCTGGTTCTGGTTCAGGCTCAGGTTCGTCTTCCGGATCAGGTTCAGGCTCTTCCTCTTCCACGATTGGCTCCGGCTCCGGTTCAGCCTCAGGTTCTGGAGGTGGCGGTGGAGGTGGAGGGTCGTCAATTGTCATGCCCCTTGATCTACTGCTCTTCTTGGTCTTCTTCAGCTTCTGCAACTGCTGGAGAATGGAAACTGGCTCAGGTTCTGGTTCAGGCTCCGGCTCAACGTCAGGCTCGGGTTCTGGTTCTGGTACTGCAGGCTCCTCTGGTGGCGGCTCCTGCGCATCAGCAAAGTCCATCATATCGTCATCGTCATCAGGGAATGCACCAACTCCAGGCGACCTCTCGGCAGGCACCTCTGGCTCTGGCTCTGGTTCAGGTTCAGCTTCGGGTTCAGGGGGAGGTGGAGGCGGAGGCGGAGCTTCTACTATCCCCTTCTTCCTGAGCTTCTTCAGTCGTTTCTCCTCTTTCAGCTTCTCTTCTTCCAGTTTCTTCTTCTCCTTGGATGAAAGCTTCTTCTTGGGTTTTTCGACCACCACGACCACCTCCGGTTCAGGCTCGGGTTCAGGTTCGGGTTCAGGTTCGGGTTCTTCGACGATTGGCTCAGGCTCAGGTTCCGGTTCGGGCTCGGCTTGTCGATGTTTCTTGGACTTTTTGAGTCTTCGCTCCTCCTTGGGCGTGAGTTTTGGTGGCGGAGGTTCCTCGATGACCTCTGGCTCCGGCTCCGGCTCTTCTGGAGGCTCTGGAGACTCTTCAGGCTCTTCCATCCCTTGCATCTCAGGCTCTGGTTCTAGCTCCGGTTCAGGGTCGGGAATAACAGGTGCCGGTTCAGGCTTCGTCTTGCGGAGAGAGATACCCCATGCGCTACCCCAGCCTGTTTCTGCGGCCTTCTGTTCTTTCCTAGTGGGCTTCTCGAGTTCAGCCAAAAGCTCGCCCGCATCTTCATCTTTGATAAGATCAAACAAGTCGTCATCGTTTGTAGGCTCAGCGGGTGGAGGCGGAGGAGGTGGAGGGAGTTCTTCAACAACCCCCCTCTTCTTTTTCTTCTTCTTCTCTTTCGAGGGAACTGGCGGCTCGGGCTCGAGGACCATGTCCTGTTCGGCAGCAATGCGAGCAAACTCGGCTTCCTCAGCTTCCTTCGCAAGACGCGCTTCCTCCTCCGCGGCTGCAGCTGCAGCTGCTTCAGCTTCAGCGGCTTCAGCGGCTTCTCTAGCTTCACGTTCTAGCCGCTCCTTCTCTTCACGCTCCTTCTTTTCCTTGGCCTCTCGCTCACGCTTCTGCTTCGTCGACTCCTTCTTCTTACCCAGACCAAACATGCCCCACCCAGAACTTGCCTTAGCTTCCTCCTCAGCGATACGACGGGCTTCTTCCTCTTCCGCGGCCTTACGTGCTGCCTCAAGTTCTTCAGCCTCAATACGCTGCCGTTCTTCTTCAGCAGCACGCTCAGCTTCTTCTGCCGCGATACGTTCCTCTTCTTCACGCTGAAGGCGTTCCTGTTCTAAGCGTTCCTCTTCTTCGCGCTGAAGACGCTCCTCTTCCTCACGCTGAAGACGCTCCCTCTCTGCTTGTTCAGCAGCTTCCTTCGCCAAACGCTCTTCTTCCTCTTTCTTCTCACGGAGTCTCTTTTCTCTGGAGGATTCTTTCTTCTTTCCTCCGCCCCAGATACTGGCGCCCCAGCCTGCGAGCTTCGAGGCTGCTGACTCCTCCTCGCGCTTCCTCTGCTCCTCCTCTAGTCGCTCCTCTTCTGCTATGCGTGCTGCCTCGGCTTCAGCCTCGATACGTGCCTGTTCAGCTGCAGCCGCCTCCTCAGCTTCACGGGCGAGACGCTCTTCTTCCTCTTTCTCAGCAGCCTCCCGTTCTAGACGCTCCTGCTCTTCCCGCTCCTTCTTCTCACGTTTCTCTCGCGCTCTCTTTTCCAAGGAAGTTTCCTTTTTCGGCACTTTAGAGCCGCCCAGAGAGCCCCACATGCTGCTTGACTTTGAACTCTCTTTATCTTTCTTACTCTTCTTCTTCTCTTCAACGGGCGGTTCTTCCACAACTGGTTCTTCGACTGGTGGTGGTTCGTCAAGCGATATGAGATCCTCGAAGGTGTCGGTTGGAGCAGGGGGTTGAGGCTCAAATTTGCTAAGAAGACTGCCCACGGTCTTGCCCTTCTTCTTTGAGGATACCTTAGCAGCAGCACCCCAGATATCTCCGTCCTCAGCTAGCGGGGGAGCTTCGATTTCTTTGGGTACCGGAAAGTCTCCATCAAACTCTCCCGGGGGCGTGGGCACGTTAGGCGGAACGAGCCCCTTCTTACCCTTCTTTGCTTTCTTGCCGATATTGAAAGCTGCGCTACCCCAAGGGTCGTCCTCATCTGGTTTTTGAACAGGTGTCATGGTGTCTTCAATGACTTCTACTGGCGCGTCCTTCTTTGGGTCCTTCTTCTTTTTCTTGCTCCATGACGGTGCGCCCCAGTCGTCAGATTCGTCTTCCTTGGGCTCTTCAACATCTTCGGGTTGATGAACGGAAGCGAGTTCTTCGATGACAGGCTCTGGTGAAGCTGCAGGAAACGCGTCTAACTCGACCGACTGGTTCCTTTTCTTTTTCTTCGATCCGCCCCAGATCGAACTCAGACCCCAGTCGGACCCCTTCTCTTCTTCTGGTGGCGGGGAAGGCTCCGGTTCTGGCGGTGGCGGTGGCTCCTCGACGACCGGTTCAATGACTCCCTTCTTGCTCTTCTTTCCCTTCTTCGTGATAGGGGCTGCTGAGCCCCAATCGTCCCAAGGGTCGGCGGGCTTCTCCTCAGGAGCAGGCTCAGGCTCGACTTCGGGCTCAGGCGGAGGTGGTGGAGGAGGAGGTGGAACTTCTTCCTCTGCACCTTTCTTGCCCTTTTTCTTCTTCTTGGACGTCGTCGGAGCAGCACCACCCCAATCGCCCCAGAGGTCGTCTTTCTTGCTCTTCTCGGCTTCGGCGGCGGCAGCGGCAGCTTCCTCTTCCTCCATCCTCTTTAACTCGGCTTCCTCCTCTTCTAGGCGTATCCGTTCTGCCTCTTCTTCTTCCTGTCGTCTGATCTCAGCAGCCTCTTCCTCCTCTTTCTGGCGCTTCGCATCTTCCTCTTCCTTCAACTTGGCCTCTTTGTCCAACTTGGCCTTAAGTTTCTTCGCTTGTGACTTACTAAGCCCTGCATAAGGATCTACCTCTACCTTTGGGGGCTCAGGTTCCGGCTCCGGTTCAGGTACCGGCTCCGGCTCCGGTTCCGGTTCTGGTTCGGGAGGCGGTTCTTCCTTGGCTCCTTTCTTACCTTTCTTCTTCTTGGTACCAGCAGCAGCCGCTCCCCATCCACCACCCCATGGATCCTCTTCTTTGACAGGTGACGGCTCATCGACGACAGGTTCCAGTTCTGGCTCAGGTGGTGGGGCCTCTTCCTCAACCACTCCCTTCTTCTTTTTCTTCTTGTCCTTTGCGGTGCCACCAAAGCTGAATGCCCCCCATGAGTCGTCCTCCTCTTTCTTCTCAGGCTCTGGCGGTGGAGGAGGAACTTCCGGTACACTGTCATCAATCAAGGCCCCTTTCTTGCTCTTCTTCTTGACCTTGGTCGTGGCGCCTAAGCCACCCCATCCGTCGTCTTCAGCAGGCTTCTCCTCAGCTGGGGGACTCTTGAACGCATCGAAGTCGAAGTCGAAACCATCATCCTTCTTCTTCTTCTTATCTGAAGAACCCCAAGGATTGTCGCTTTCAGCACTAGCGTCTTTGTTCGATGAGCCCCAACCAGAAGTCCAACTGCTAAGTCCAGGAAGTCCAAATCCAGATTTCTTTTCGCCTGTATCACCGAAATTCATGTCAATCTTTGGAGCGCTTCCTTCGTCAAGAATGATGTCGTCGAACGTTGTCGGCGGTTCTGCTGGAGGGTCAGGAGGAGGCGGGGGTGTGGGCTCGGCCTGTCGTAAGTTAGCGTGCTGCTATGTGTAACTAAAAAGCCGAAATGACCAACCTTCCCCTTTTTGCCCTTCTTCTTCTTGCCGGGAGCGGCCGCGCCAAAAGATGCCCAGTCATCTGTGTTTGAAGCTGGCTCCTTTCCCCAGCTTAAACCTGAGGTGGCACTTAATATCGACGGTTTCGCTGCAGCTGCAGCGGCTGCTTCTTCCTCTTCCTTCTTCTTGCGCTCGGCTTCTTCTTCAGCCTCCTTCGCAAGACGTTCTTCCTCCTCCTTTTGCAAGCGTTCCTCTTCTTCCTTCGCAAGACGCTCTTCCTCCTCTTTCTTCGCACGCTCCTCCTCCTCCTTCTTCAAGCGCTCTTCTTCCTCCTTTTCCTTTTTGGTCTTCTTCTTCCCCTTATCCCCGTCGCCACCATCGCCTCCAGCCCCGCTATCGGCAGGCGGGTCACCCCCACCGTTATCGCCACCACCAGCTTCTTCTCCTTTGTTGTCATCCGCTGGCGGAGGTGCTGCCGCGGGTTTCTTAGCTGCTGCTTTCTTGGCTTTCTTCGCGTGCGATCTGATGCCGCTATCACTATAGCCAAAGTCGATGTCCACATATGGAGATTTCACATCGAGGAGGAATGAAGACTTTGGAGATGAACTGTTGTGTTTGCGCAAATGATTGAGACTAGAGCATAATGAGGCGCGGAAAGAAAGAAACGGTGAAGAATCAGGCGTTTTCGCAAATGCTAGCGCATTGGTGAAAGTGTAGTCTGGGGGCATATCTGCAACCGACTCATCGTATGAGGGTGGTGGGGATCCATAGTTTCGCAGTGCTGGACTCCATGATTCCATGGAGGACTCAGAGGTCGATAGATGGAAGCGCGACAAATGGGTGTCAAGACTTTGCCGCTAAGTGGTTGTTAGAATGTGAGCCAGGAATCAAGAAACGCGAAAAGCGGTCAACAGTGCAGTGCGGAGTGCGGAGTGTGGAGTGATCGTGAACCAAACATGGGCAAAGGGACCAAACAAAGCAGTTGTCATACCAGAATAAAACCTCCACTCGGACTCTTGTCTCCAGTGCTGGTGCATTCCAGCCGATCCAGCGCCTGGTACATGTCCGCCATCAACTCAGCAATGGGCCAGTCATTCTCAGACTCCCAAGCTGTTGTGTTTCCAGAGGCGTAGCTTGCTGGCCAAATATGCTCAACTTGCATTTCATCAGTTTTTGTGTCCCAATCTCTTTCATCCGATCCAGTCCTCGAAAGCAGCGGGATCCTTGGTCTCGCAGATGGCGCGACGGCGGCGACGTGACGAGAGCTGGCGAGAGACATTGTGCGAGTGAGAGACGCGCAAATAGAAGGAGCAGGGCGGAGGTAGGCACATGAGCGCTCGTGCGAGACCGCGAGCGTGGAGCGGCGAGGATGCAAATGCGCGGGCGGTAGGTGTCTTCGTATACGATCCGGAGGCGGGATGGTACAGCGTGACTTGCCTCGCGGTCTGCTGCTGCAGGGTTTCGATGCGTCCAGCTGTAGTAGTACACGAGGGCAAAAAGTATGGCCCTCAACAAGCGAAGATGGTGATGCAATCCGTCGCAGGTTACAGCAAGCAAATATTAAAACCTCAAGACGAGGCGATCGGCAAACGTCGAATTAAAGAGTCGCGGTCGCAGCAGGTACAGGAGGATGCAGGAGACTGCAGACGCGCAGATTCGGATTCAGTGAGCGTCAGAGGCGAAAGCAGGGGAACGGGCTTCGCGAGTGGTCACAAGGACTGTGTGGTGTGTATGGATGTCTTTCCGCAACGCCAATCGTTATCGGGGTCGAATAGGCTTTGCTCGTTGCGCGCACCAAGCCTGTTGGAGCTTGCCGTTCGTTTCATCCACCTTCGTCACACACACGCGCCCGGGCCAGCCGTAGGCGAGATTTCCAAAAATGAGGGGTGGCTCGTCGAGGGGCAGGTATTCAGCCGGAGCGGGCTGGGGGGAGGGTGGTTGTGGGAGGTCTGTCCCAGAGATCGTGAGATGTCGAGATGGGATCAAATGCAGGGAAACTGCGACGACGCGCGATGCGGGCGGCAGGTCTGAGTTATTCCGCTGGGAGTAAAAATTTACGGTTAGGGCCGGGGCGCATTGCATGAGCGTGTGTTGTGGATGATTCAATGTTGTGCTTCAGTTTGGAGGCGCCGGGTGCAGCAAGCAGCATGGCTCTTTCGGAACCCATCCTTCTCTGTCTAGCACGCCCCCAGCTACGCCGTAGTGGGCCAATTGCGGAGTGTCTAGTGGGTATCCGTGCTGTTGGCATCTTGTGTTGCATATGGTTACCATGGCCGTCTCTACACCGCCAGTCCTCATGTTGCCGCACATGTGCGCACTCTACCCAATGGTAGCGCGCCGCCGGCACACATCGCAGAGCGCGGCAAACCTGCACGCGTACCACGCGTGCATTAGAGCTGCCGCTCTCGCTCGCTGTCGACGTGACGGTACATGTACAACGCAGAGCGGGCTGTATTTTGCATGCGTTTAATGTCAAAGAGGGCCAGACACGGCTGTGTTTGGTGGGGCTGTCACCCCAAAGTTGGAGGCAATCCTCCCATGGATCTAGGTTCGTGACGGTCTCGGGAGGGGTAAATCTCGCGCCCGACTCCACCCTAGAATTCCATCGTCTTCTCATAGCTTTCCAGAGACGTGACTTGACAAACGGTCAGGCCCAATGTGTTGGGTGCGCAGATCTTTAGATTGGGTTTGTAGATCGTAGATTGGTTCTGGCAGCCCTACGTACGTGGAAGATGGGCTTGTTAGATTCTAGAGCTAAGAAGTACCTGCACTGCCATGTGGAAAAAAACGTGTCCACATACACCGGAGTCCTATGACCCCGCCACCGCCGCTTCCCGGGTATCAATACACATAAGAGAAATTATCTATAATCCAATAGTCATGACCTAACCAAAATACAGCACATCTGCCAAAGCAAAAGAAATGGAGGGATCGAAAGAAAGTAGGGAATGACCCGAAATTACACATGATATCGAGAAAGCTCGTGAAAGTGGAGACGAGACGCTAAACCGCTGCAGTCGAGTTAGACATTACCGTAAGTCGGGAGAAAGGAAAATCAAGAGAACGATTGCGGCGCATTAGAAGGACTGGTCGTCTTCAATGTCCTCGCCATTAAGTATTTTGCGGGCTTCATCTAGTCTTCGTCGCCATGCCTTGCGTTCGTATGCATCACCATATGTGTGTTGCAGATTGGAGCAGACATTCTGGATGCTCGAGGCAAGCCCGTAGATGAGTTGTGTCTCTTCTTCGCTCAGTGCTACCCGTGGTTCGTCCCTGCTGCCTTCTGTGAGGATAGAGAATATCCTTGAGGTTTGAAGTCCGCTGGCAAGCTCTCCAGGCGAAGATGAGCCACGTGATAGTGATGATTGTGTTGGAGATGCGCCGTTGCCGCGTCGCATATTGATTGCCGAGTCGGAGCGTAGTGAGAGGAGGCCGTTCTGAGTGCCAGGGCGAGAGGGCACCCGATTTTGGCTTGACATTATCTGCTGGGAGAATTGATCCATATGCTCATTCTTATCGTCGTCGTCATCGTCGTTTTGTTCTTCTGCTGCAGTAGCAAACGTGGCGACAGTCGAGACCGAGTCGACACTGGGGTTCCGTTGGTGGATAGAGATTCTCTTCTCAGCGGTGCTCAGATCGTCAGTGGTCTGGACAGCTGTCACGGGCCGGGTCGTTTCGGTAGAAGTACCAGAACTGGTACTCGATCGGCGATCTTCTAGGCTGTAGGTTCCCATCGCACTGTGCAGGAAGAATGTCTCGTAATCGAATGCGTCTATACGATCTTCGTGTCGTTCTGTTACAGGCATCTCATAAACAGCGTCCTCGTACACACTATCAGGGCCAGGTTCTTCGTCGTCTCCATTGACCGAGACGAAGTCAGACTCAGTCTCATCAGCATCGTCGTCGTCTTCAAACGCTGTTGATGCACTCGACTCCTCCTCAGCCTGGTCGTAGGGCTGAACGGAGTACGCGTTGGCCCTTTGACCTTGTTTGCTGAAGTGAGTAACGAGTTTCTCGCCGTGTTTCTGAGAGGTGGTGGTAGTGGCTGTCAACGGACGTTCTTGTTCTTCGTAGGGATCCGTCGTGATACCCAAACCAGCGTTTGTTGTGTTTCCTGGATGCCATGTCTCGGAAGACGTGAAGGGGCTCGGTGCGCGTAGGCTTTGCATGCTTCGGCGTCGAAGATGGTCTTCTTGTGCCTTCAGCTTCAGACTGGAAATTCTGCCCTTGAGGTCATTCATCTGGTCACGGAGACCGCTAGCTGCAGAAGTGGACCGGTGTACCCTCGCGCCGTCTTCATCCTCTGGCAAAGTCTCCAGTGCAGTCGGGGATCTTGAACTTCTTGAGGCGGACCTTGCAGCATGCTCGCGGTCACTACTGCTCCACGTTGTACGAGGATTGCGAAGGTGCTCAACGCTTCGGGACTCCTTGATAGGAAAGCGTCCCTGACCGTAGCCTTCGGGCGACCACGGGCCGCTGGTGTGGCCAAATGCACTAGAAGATCGCTTGTTGGATGTAGTTCGGGTCAGGTACGAGTATGAAGGCGTGAATGGCAGTGGCACCGACGTCTCGCTCATACCCCGTGTGTGGCCGGGGCTACTGCCGTGAGGAGTGAGGAGAGACTGGCGATATGAATGGATGCGCGGAGGTATTGGTCCCATGCCCGCATACAATCGTCGGTCACGGTCGCGACTTGCCGCTATGTGTGAGGTCAAGTCGGAAGATTGATTTCTCGAATTGAAGGTGGGCGAGACAACGAGTGATTCTCGTGCGCCGCGGAGGTTACCCTCCATTACCTGTCTCTGTTAGCGAACATCGAGTCTATCGTGGCGTGAGGAAGTGCATACATTCAGCCGCTTCTTCGCATTGGCCAAGATAATTTCTGCCCTCCTGCTGAGCGCGGCAGATGAGTATGGGTCGTCATCGTCGTCGCTGCCACTAGTACGGTCCTCGTGCCATCGCTCGTTGCCCATGCCGTCGCCAGCGTCGCTGTCCTGTATGGAGTGGTTGCGCTTTTCTTGCTCTTCAAGATCTACTCCGCTGTCCTCGAAGCTGTCGTGGCTATCGAACCCGGGCCACTGCTCAAAGTCTTCGCTGAAGATGGAACTTGAAGTAGGACTGGTCTTATGGTGGTCTTGCCCGTGCCAGTTGCTAGGTGAGTGGCTGTTCAGTGCATTCTGGATGGTGGGAGACGAAGCAAAAGCATCGTCACGGGCAAGCACATTCTTAGGAGTGGCCTCTGAGTCGGGCATGTTGCGCAGCGTGGAGCGCGAGGACTGTGCTGATAGGGACGGGGATTTTGTTTGTTGTGAAGCGCGGCGCCGGCCTTGGGGTGCGGAACTTAATCTGACTCGACTTGAATTTGCCTGCTTGTAGAGGTCGGACGGCGACGGGGGACGCTCTGGAGAGGGAGTGGGCAAAGCCTCCTCGTGCTCAAAGTCGGTCGCAAAAGATGGTAGGATCATGCCCGCATCGCTGAGGGTTGGCGAGCGCTGTCCATGGGGCGCAGGACGGGAAGCTGCAGCGACAGCCATGGTTACCTGCAGTTGTCCAGTTGGGTCGGCTACCTTAGCTTGGCTGCAGTACTGAGCATGTTCGGGACCTGAGGTTTGGCGACGCGATCACACTGTGTGATAGTGATACGACTGAGTCGGGAGCGGTGTCAAGGCAAGTAAATCAGGACTCGAGAAGTGAAAGACCGCGGGCGCGTGTCTCTGATTTTCATAATTTCAGCGTGATTAGGGCTTTAGACAGACGGCAGCATGGACCAGCCGGCAACTGGAGGCGTCTTTAGGGGCACAGGCTAAGGGCCGATTGTTGGTGATCCCCGGCAAATTGGCAGCGCGGCCACGGGGGCGCTTCAAGCTGATTTGCTGACTCTCATATCCGGCGTCAGCCTAAGTCGTCTACTGCAAGGGACGCCGGCTCTATATGCGCTATAACGGCGATCCCTGGTTCCTCATCGTACGGGTACCTGTCGCCTCACATACGATCACACGTTGGCATCGCGTTTCGGGGAATTGCATCTTGCCGAAAGAAACACTGTAGAACGATTCACGGACACGATAATGCACACGCAAAAGAATTCTTCTTTCGATCCATCGTTGCCTGGACCAGACATTATGCCCACACGCGTGCGTTGACCAGAGGCTTGTCCGCTTCAAGTAAGCATAGCTTGGACTTTATGGCGACACGGGAGCCTGAGCTAGGAGCACACACGGGGCACACATCCGATTGCTATGCTATGCTGTCTCTTACTAATCACCAGGGGAATCATGAACCGTGTAACTACACTATGGTCTCGTACGCCTATGCAAATCCCAAGATGCTATGCACGCTGCCCAATACTCCGTTACATGCAAATCTATCGTACGTTCGCTAACGCAGGCACTAAAAGTATATAAGAAATTGTACGTCATCCCATCAGAAGCCATCATTGTCGTCGTTCCATCCCAGAGCATCGTATATCGACGGCTCAACGGTATCATTGTCCACTGCAGCGAGTACTGCGGGGGCGACTTCAGTTACTGGGGCAAACAAAGGTTTGGTAGGTGTAGCAAAAAGCGTAGGAAGTGCAAAGTCGGTGTCGTCATGAGGTGAACTACCTCGAGTTTTGACAGGTGTCTCAAACACGTGCGACTGCGCAAGATCTCTGCTGCCCAAAGAAGGTGCCGCCGCCTTCAACGGAGTTGCGAAGATCTTCCTCCGGACTGAATCCGTAGAGAAAGGTTGGCTGTTTGGTGCCTTGGACGGTGTCTCGGCAATGCCCGACTGCGCTAGATTTCGAGCCGTCGTGTGGCGGTGGCCCGTTGCCGGCACCATCGCAGCTGGTGGACGCACTCCTGAAGACGGCACGCAGAATCCGCTGGAAGAAGGTGCTTCCGCCCCGGGAGGCCTAACGAACGGGTCGTAGTGGTGGTGGGTCGGCGTCTGCTCAACCATATTCTTCGTTCTCTTGTTGACTCGGGGCGTTGCAGACACCTGGACTTCTTTTATGGTCTTCCTCACAGTAACTGTTGGCTTCCTCGACTTGTTGGGCAAGCCCAGCCCGCGTTGCTCGAGGTCGGCAACGTAGCCACCAGCAGCTAGTCCACGGTTGGGCTTCTTCAGCGCTAGTATAGCCTCCTGGAGATCTTCCTCGACTCGCTGCTTGTGCTTAATCTTAGCTGATGCAGCAGCCGACGGCTGGGCGAGATCGATTTGGCGGCCCTGCAAATGTCGGATCTGAGACATGGATTGCCGGGCGCTCTTAGACGGACTCCGTCGAAAAGGTATGGCGGAAAGTGGGACCTCGCTACCCTCTCGTTTGATGCCGTCTAGAAGTGCCGAATCGGTGGCAGATCGGCTCAGCGAAGGTGTTGTTCGTTCAACGGTCCGTCCGGTATTGTCTGTCGCAACACGAGCTAACGAGCGTCGTGACTTCTTCGCCTCGGGTTCTTTCAAACTCCCGGATTTACGAGAGCTGAGTGGCGGTCTCGCTGCCTTCCGTTTGGTTGGTAAGCTATGCGTGGGTCCACCAAGCTTCTTATTGACCATGAGCGCCTGCTCAGGTAGTCGATTGATGTAGAAGGGGATTATGACTTCGACGCAGAAACTGTGTAAGCGATCACTGGAACCGTTTCTTCCAGATCCGTCGGAAGCGTCCTGTCTTGATGGCTTTGTATCAAAGTCTAGTATGCCCATCTCTTCTGTAGCATGCCAAATGCAGAGTTTGTCAAGTAGCAAATCGAGCTGCAAGTTAATGTCGTCGAGTTTCTTCTTGCGCTTCTTCGGCTCGCTTTGAGTCTGAGTTCCGTCCGCAATAGAGTGTTGGTCTGGAGGTGGCTTGTGTGTGGAGAGTGCTTCTAGTGCGATAATTTCGAGCATGAGAATCAGCTGAGCCAGCGTCTCGCGGACACGTAGATCTCCAATACGCCTCCTGATGCGCTGATCTAGGGTCTCCGTAGCCATGCTGTCGCCGCTTGGCAATTCTGACTGCCACCATTTCTTGACCAATGCCTCTTCTTGTGGATATATGCCCTCTCGACTGAGCTTCAGCTTTTTCTTTAACTTCTTGGGCTTGCTAGCAACTGCAGCGTGCTCATCATCTGAGTAGCTTCCGGGTGGTATCTCCCTGATCAACGATGGCAGTTTCTCGTGATATTTCTTTTCGCTGGCCTTGGGACTTGGCAACATAGTCTTCAAGAATGTAACGAGTTCATGCGTTGCCGGAGCTCCTTCCTCCGCTGACGTGAATGTGTTCCGTATCCGAGTGATTGGACCCTTCACCAGGTATGCAAGCGAGGTCTTGGACATGTAGACTGCGTCCAAGTAGTGTTGAACCAATAGGTCAAGTTGCTCTTGTGGCGATGGTGCGTCGAGCATAGACTCTAGAGGGTGTTCGGTAGGAATCATGTCCAAATGCTCGATCCCCGAAGCTTCAATAGTCATTTCAGGCTGTTGAACTTGTTCGATCGTCGTCTCTTGTCGTGATTTCGGTCGTATCATTGTCATCCGCGCTCGTTTCGCTGGTAATTCCAGCGCGTGCGTCTCCACCGCGGCTTGATGCCACCATTTCCCCTGCCCAGCCGTATCCGCCTCCGTCTTCGGGCGAGCTGGCAGCACTTTGAGATTCGTAGGATTCCACAAGTCCGTAACGTCTTTCTCCTTGAGCCAGCTGGCAAGCCTGCATATACTATAGACGCGGGGTTGTACCCGCTCTACTGCGTATAATGTATTCTTCTCCTCGAGCCGCGCAACGAGTATCCTGGGGCCTGCATGATCTTGTTGTGTATCGGTCTCGTGTTCCAGGATGTCGATTTGGGCGGCGAAGAGGCTATTTGGGGTGAAGTCGTCATCGGTGGAAAGGTCGAGGAAGGTCAAAGGCAGCTGAGAACGCCCGATTATTCGCACGGGTCTGAATGTAACGGGCTTGTTGTTGTACGGCGATTCGGAATGAGCCCTGATCGTGAAGGGCTCGTTAAAGGTTCCCAGTCCACAGAGAGAGTCTCTCATCTGCTTCGAAGGCAGTTGGGCCTTGGATTCGTCAAGTTTGGCAGCAAGTCGTAAAAGTTGAGTTGGCGTATCGGAGGCCGAGCGTAACATCGTCTTCGTTTGCAATGCGTACGTAGACATCGGAACTGCGCATGGCTGTCGGTGTTGTCTGATGTGAGTGTTGACGGCGCTTTCCCTAACAGACGCGTTTCGGCAGTCGCGAAATCACGAAGGGTCGTGCGTCCACTCCTTCCGCGCGACAACGTCATCCCCACACCATCATCTCGATCGATGAGCCCGCGACTAGTGTCAGGGCGATCAAGGTGTCATCTCATCGGAATACTCTGTTTTAGGCTGTTGTCTGTTTGGACTAAGAATTGCTTGCTGACCATGAGCAAAAAACTCGATCGCACCACCCTACCACACAGAGTAAGTTTTTGATATATGTGCAACTGGTTCATGATCCTCGGGCTTCCTCGTGTGTTCGCCGCATGCAGCCTATATTACCTCCGAAATACCCCTCTTTTCCATCAAGGGCTGCATGGGCTTTACCATGTTTGTACTCGATCAGCAGCTAATAGACATGGGACTAATGCGGAGGCCATGGATATCCTCTGGCCCCTCAAGAGACTTGTGTAGTAGTCTTGTAAACATTTGAAATTACCATCAAAGCTCTTCATCTTTATCCACTTCACAAGACCAGTTCCCATCCATAAATAACAAGGCTCGACGAACAACGTTGCGATACAAGTTTACGGAGCACAATCTTATCAATCATCTTGCCGTCGGCGGAAGGGGTGCCTCTATATCCTCCAGAATGAGGTTCATTGTCCTTGGTATACTGGGGATTGTTCCTAAGTCTTTGGGCTCAAGCTACTTTGAGACACCATCAGATGGTTATCGTCCTTTCGACCCCGGATACACTATCGGCGCGTACCCCCAGGACTTTACACTTGTGGGATCATCCCTAGAACCTATTCACGATTCTCAAAAGCCCTCCACAGGCTTAGCTGTCGACTCCTCTCATAGACTTTACCTCACTTATCCTCGCAACTCTGGACAAACACCAAATAACGTGGTGCTTTGCACGTCTTACAATGACGAGGTACCATGGCCCAATGCGGGCATGCAGAACTGTACTGTTGGTCAAGATCCCAGAACCTGCTTCATCAATGTCCAAAACATCGTTCTAGACAACCAGGGAAGGCTGTGGGTGGTGGATAGCGGGATGCCAGCCAACGCTAGCCCAGACACAGATGCGCTGTTTGGAGGCGCAAAACTGATGAGCTTCAACGAGACGACGGGAGAGCACCTCCGGACCTATGTGATTCCCCAAGATCTTTTGTCGCATAGGATGAATATGAACGATATGCGTGTCAACACGACAGCAGGTGGAAGAGACGGGTATGCTTTTGTTACAGATGCTAGCAAGAATAGTTCGTTATTGGCAGTGGATCTCGAAAATGGCAGTGCAGTACGCAGACTGTTCAACACGAGCGTTGTCCGGGCAGACGAGAACTATGTTGGGTCATATGGCGGCGAGCTCATATACACTTGGAACGGCACTCAAAAGGGTCATCTCACTACGGCCGCCGATGGCATCGCTTTGGGTGGGTGATGGTGAGCTAATGTACGCTCATATTGCTGACTATGTCATAGCATCTGGCAACTTCTACTGGGGCGTCCTGGCTTCCCGGCGCTTCTACTACATCTCTCAGGAGATTCTTGTCAACCAGAATCTCACAGACGAAGAGGTCCTTGCTGCCGTGCAAGACCCGGGTCAATGTGGTTCAGAACAAGCCGGCTTCACCGCTGACGACCGAGGCCGAGTGTATATCGCAGCGAGCGAACAGAACGCTATATTCTATGTCGACACACTAGAAAGTGAAACCGATATGACAGTAAATGGTAAATTACCTGGGGGGGCCGGTCTTATCCCACCAGAGGACTACGTGGTGAAGACGTTGGTGAGGAACGCGATGATTCAACATGCCGATTCCATGGCCATCCTGGACGGTTGGCTGTACTTTAACACAAATCAGCTTACTTTGGGTCCTGGTTTCCAATACAATAATACAGACAAGAGGAGAGGCCCATTCCGTAGCTTTAGATTATGGATCGGACGGGGACCAGCGGTGGCATAGTATTGTATGTCCGTGCGAAGAAGCTTGTTTGCCGTGCTATCCTCTGAATCCAAAAACCTCTCTTGAAGATATACATTGTTGTTTCCTAAACAGAGTTGCAGCGGAGATTACTATGCAAGTCTTTATATCCTACGGGGATACAATTCACGAAAAATAAGCTTCGAGGTATCTGGAAGGGTGGTCTGGTATTGAGCTTCTTTTCATCTTACTTTGTGTCGAGAAACCTCTCAGTCGCATGAAAACAAAGCTTTCACTAGCTGTTTCTTGGTGTTTTCTGCATCATATGTTGTAACGCCAATGAAGTCATTGAACACTAGAAGGACTCTAGCTATCGTGGTGTGCTTGTGTCATCACGGCACAAGCACTATTGTCTCGTCATTGGAGAGTCATAAGGCAGAGAAGAACATACCCAATGGCACAGATTTTTGTATTCGGATACATCTGCAACAACATCGTGTGATTTTCTGGCATGACATTAGGATGCCGTTGTACCCACGGGATTGTGAAAACAGACCCCTGTTTCCTTAACCCGCGATTCGCTATACCGGAAAACTTCTAGCGGCTTACCCCAGCTTCCACTTGTGTCATCGGCTGCGGTAACTGTCGGCTTTGGACCTACACAATATCACACCTCGGCGGCAGTACATGAATATGTTTCTTTCACACAAAGAATCTGCAAACGTATTACGCCCACCATGAAGTCCTTCGCAAGCCGAGAAGCATCCCGCGTATTCTCACGATCAAACCTTGTCCATCGCGCGTCAATTACCGTACCGAGGAATGCAAACACTCGCATACAAGAGCAAAGAAGAGGGTTCCGGGGGACGAAACGACTATTGGTAGTTAAACCGTACCTGCTGGCAGATATTGGAGAAGGTCAGTAAGCGAATGAGAGGTAGCGGCGGTGCGGGCTAATCATGCTGTGCATAGGTATCACCGAATGCCAGGTTATCCAATGGTTCGTACAGCCCGGCGCGCGCGTGGAGCAATTCGACCCAATCTGCGAGGTACAATCGGATAAAGCATCTGTCGAGGTATATGTCATTTGAGCTACAAAGACGACGTTGGCTAATCGCAGCCAGATCACCTCGCGGTTCGATGGCGTTATCAAGAAGCTGTACTATGAAGCGGATGACATGGCTAAGGTTGGAAAGGTAAGCCTGCACTTGGAGATTTTTGCAGATTACGAGCTGACGGTAGAAGCCTTTGGTCGACATCGACATTCAAAGCGAGATCTCCGCAGCCGACGAAGCCCTACTCAACGGAGGATCAGGCAAACAAGACGACGAGGTCCTGCTTACTGGGGGCGGAGGTACCAAAACAGACCAGGGTACGCGTGAGAATGCAAAGCCAGAAGAGCAGGGAATTGAGCTTGGGAGGAACGATACCAAAGCTGCGACTGGCGATCTGGCTCTCTCAGACCAAAGCACGACTCTACCATCCGACCCATCGACAACACAAAGACAACCGGGAAAACATGCATCGCTCGCCACGCCAGCAGTACGACATATGGTCAAAGAACACAAGCTCAAGATTGAGGACATAGAGGGTACAGGAAGGGAAGGCCGCGTACTTAAAGACGATGTACAACGGCATATCGAAGCAATGAAGCAAGCGACAACCATACCATCAACAAGTTCAATACCAGCGCCCGCTTCCACACAACAAATAGAGGATCAAGTCAAGCCATTGACCCCAGTTCAGTCTGGCATGTTCAAACAGATGACCAAATCCCTATCCATCCCTCACTTCCTGTACACCGATGCGATAGACTTCAGCTCACTGACGTCCCTGCGCAAAAAGTATAATGCAGGCCGTGAGAAGCCAGAGCGGATAACACCGCTACCGATCATCATCAAGGCTGTGTCGCTCACGCTTCAACGATTCCCGTTACTCAACTCGCACTTGGATACAAGTACAAACCCGAACAAGCCACAGATCGTGCTCAAGGGAAGCCACAACATCGGTGTAGCAGTAGACTCACCTGCTGGGCTGCTCGTACCCGTCATCAAGAATGTACAAAACCACAGCATCGCCTCGCTAGCCCAGGAAATTCAACGCCTCAGCTCCCTGGCACGCGCTGGCAAGCTCTCATCTGCTGATCTCACTGGCGCAACTTTCACAGTCAGCAATATTGGTAGCATAGGCGGTGGCACTGTGGCACCTGTCATCGTGGGACCACAGGTTGGTATTTTAGGTATCGGGAAAGCGAGGGTAGTGCCAGCCTTTGGGCACAATGATGAGCTGATCAAGAGGGAGGAGTGTGTGTTTAGCTGGAGTGCTGATCATAGGGTTGTTGATGGAGCGTATGTTGCGAGGGCGGCAGAGGAGGTGAGGAAGTGCTTGGAGGGTGTTGAAGAGATGCTCGTCAGAATGCGATGAACGTTTTCAAAAAGCACAAGCTTATCAAAAATGACAGATACAAAATCCTACATGACACTGTATCACTTGGGCAGTCCTCAAGTGTCTTAATTCTTGATATTTGGTGTATTGTGACCAGTATGGAAGACACAGGACAGCCGTCCAACCTGCCCTTGAACTACGCATGGTCTTCTGTTAGTATCCATCCCATAGTGGCTCAAACAATGATACTCGGTGCTCAGCAGTAATAGCAGAACTGCTAATACGTTCTTTCTAGCTCATAAAACTCCCTCGTATCCTCATGTTTGTTCATCCTCTATACCAGAGTACACGTAGCATATTCAAGCAGCACCCTTGAGCACCTGCTCGAGGCTGTTCTTGCTGTTTGTGTACGTCTTCTCTAGATAATCCTCCTTCTTATCCAAGTTGGACATCTCCTTGTTCAATGCCTCACTCTCACTCTCGAGTCTCTTCTGTACATCAGGAATAGGCGTACAGACAAACCTGTTCATCACGAGTCAGTCTCTTCAGTCTATCTCTTGTCTCCCCCCGCAATTGCGAGGCGAATAACTTACATCTTTCCAACACCCTCGTACACCTTGGTCTGCGTAGGCAATGACGAGACCTCTGACGAGGTAAGCTGAAGCATGCGACCCTCTCGTGTCCTGGCGGCTTTTTGTTGTTTGACGATGACGAGTTGTTGCTCAGCGAAGGCCTTCTTTTGACTGATCTCTTGCAGGACCTAGATTTTCGTTATCAGAACCCAAGCTCTTTCCTCGATTTCAAGCATGCGCCATTATTACGCACCTTCTGCAGAGCCTCGTTTGACATGGACATGGTGGCGGGATTTCTCTCGAAAGCTGAAGATGCTCGCACGTCTCGTAAGAGTGGCCAGCTGCGCTGCGCTCTCAAGCTTTCTCGGTTCGGCAGTTGCGAGGGACCCTGAGAGGACGTGATTGGCTAGCAGATTCACACCGAAAACAGAACCGCCGCTGCTGGCAAACCGTTCCCCCGCGTGTGCTAGACGTGTAGTTCAATAGTCGCAGTAACTGCACTGGGGCTGCCCTTTCGCAGGTGCACCCTTGGGGTGCGTGGCGCGGTAGGTGACAGCTGTGACAGCCTGTCGCTGAAGCATGGACCTTTCTTTGCGCTGATTGTCGCTCTCCAGTCTTTCCTTCCGCAAAGTCCGGAACTAGGTACAAGCTTGATATCGTGTTCGAACATCTGCAATTCCCTGTCTTCGTCTTGTTTCCCTTTCCGCTTTACAGTTTGAGTGGAGGCAGAATGGCTGCGTTCCTTTCTCGTCTACCGTCGATACCGTATCCGCCCGAACAGGATGGATGGTTCTCTCCGGTCACATCTACCCTTGACTGGTGTGAAGAGGTTTGCTAGCAAAATCGCCCTATCGCGACGGCAGCGGCTAACGCTGAGAAGAACTATGTAGTGACACAATACTCGGCAGAAATTATCAACACCCTCACGAATCTTCTGTTCATGTACTTGGCAGCCAAAGGTATACGCAACTGCTTAAAGAATGGACATGACACAGTTTTCCTCGTGGCATTCGTTGGCTACTTGCTCGTTGGAACTGGAAGCTTCCTCTTTCACGCGACACTGAAATGTATGTTTGCCGCTGGACAAATCTTCAACATGCAGTATCTAATGCATCCAGATCCCATGCAGCTTGTAGATGAGCTCTCGATGATCTACACAACGTGTTTGATGAATTTTGCAACATTTTCGTATGGAAAGTCTCGACTCTACTCTACTGTTCTTGCGGTTGGGCTGGTGTCTCTCGCCGTCTTCATTACGCTATATTACCATTACCTCCAGGATCCAACCTTCCATCAAAACGCCTACGCGCTCCTCACAGCAATCGTGCTGTTTCGGGCCATGTATGTAATGGAGGTGAATATCCGCCCGCGCTTCCGGTCCAAGGAGAGGGAAGCTGCGAACCCGCGTCCGCATAGAGGTGTGAAGGCGGTCCAAGAAAGGGAGGACGTGCGGGACCAGGAGATTCTCAGTACCATGTGGAAGATGATTGCATTTGGTCTAAGCATCTTCTTGGGTGGTTTCGCAGTTTGGAGTCTCGATAACGAGTACTGCTCGAAGTTGATCCAGTGGAGGAGGGAGATTGGTATGCCCTGGGGCTTCGTACTGGAGGGTCATGGGTGGTGGTGAGTACTGCACGTATCCGCGAGACGACGAAAGCTTATCACATTAGGCATCTCATGACGGGAACCGGAGCCTACTACTACATCGTGTGGGGTGTGTGGCTTCGACATTGCCTTAACTACAGGCAAGACGAGTACGAGCTGGACTGGCCCAACTTCTGGACGATGCCGCAAGTTATTAAGCGACAAGAAGCGTTGAATAGAGGCCATGTGAATGGCTCTACGAAGAAGGAGCTGTAAGCGGTGACGGTGAATCATGTATGCTATGGGGTTTTATGCATGTGCTTGCAAGATCAGCGTTGTGCGGTATTCCGCTGCTTCGAGCATGCAGAGAGTAGAATTTTACAGGGGTTAGCCGGGATGGAAGGAACACCTGGGCAGCTGCCCTCAGCGGTAGCCATAGCACAGGACGAAGCAACGACTATCACAGCATACCGCAAAGCAATAGAAGCATCTGATGGAAACACTCCATGCCAATATTTGTGCCATGCTAGTGCGGTACATCTCCATGACTAGCTCTTCCTGCCGAACAGGCACCAGCTTTGGTCGCGCGCGTTGTTAGTAAATAGCCTTAGCGCCGACGGGCCCGTGCAGACGACCCACAGAGATCTTTAACGCACTCACCGCTTCTGCTCCTCTTGCTCTCCACACCAGCACCACCAGCACCGTCGACCAGCCATAACCCAGCTCGCCGCACTTTCTCCTCAGCACTTCCCATTAACCTCATCCCCCAACCGCCAACATGCGTGAGATTGTACGTATCGCCTGGAGTCAAACGTTGCTGTGGCGCGTCCTGCCCCGCGCCTAGATATCATTCAGGGACAAGCGCGAACAACAGAGAACAACAGCTAACAACTCTTCTGTGCAACAGGTTCACCTCCAGACCGGTCAATGCGTAAGCTCTTCTCTCCCTAAACATCCAGACGACAGCTAATAGTGTTTTCAGGGTAACCAAATCGGTGCTGCCTTCTGGCAGACCATTTCCGGCGAGCATGGCCTCGATGGCTCTGGTGTCTACAACGGCACTTCAGACCTCCAGTTGGAGCGCATGAACGTCTACTTCAACGAAGTACGTCACTCGATATTCCATACGGCAGATAAAAGGCCAATACTGATCTATAGCAGGCGTCCAACAACAAGTTCGTGCCCCGTGCCGTCCTCGTCGATCTCGAGCCCGGTACCATGGACGCCGTCCGCGCTGGTCCCTTCGGCCAGCTGTTCCGCCCCGACAACTTCGTCTTCGGCCAGTCTGGTGCTGGTAACAACTGGGCAAAGGGTCATTACACCGAGGGTGCCGAGCTGGTCGACCAGGTCCTCGATGTCGTGCGCCGCGAGGCCGAGGGCTGCGACTGCCTCCAGGGTTTCCAGATCACCCACTCCCTCGGAGGTGGTACTGGTGCCGGTATGGGTACGCTTCTCATCTCCAAGATCCGTGAGGAGTTCCCCGACCGCATGATGGCCACCTACTCCGTCGTGCCTTCCCCCAAGGTCTCCGACACCGTTGTCGAGCCCTACAACGCCACACTCTCCATCCACCAGCTGGTTGAGAACTCGGACGAGACCTTCTGCATTGACAACGAGGCTCTCTACGACATCTGCATGAGGACTCTCAAGCTGAACAACCCCTCCTACGGCGACCTGAACCACCTCGTTTCCGCTGTCATGTCGGGTGTCACTACCTGCCTGCGTTTCCCCGGTCAGCTCAACTCTGACCTGAGGAAGTTGGCCGTCAACATGGTTCCCTTCCCCCGTCTCCACTTCTTCATGGTCGGATTCGCTCCCCTCACCAGCCGCGGTGCCCACTCCTTCCGCGCCGTCACCGTTCCCGAGCTCACCCAGCAGATGTTCGACCCCAAGAACATGATGGCTGCTTCCGACTTCCGCAACGGTCGCTACCTGACCTGCTCTGCCTACTTCCGTGGTAAGGTCTCCATGAAGGAGGTCGAGGACCAGATGCGCAACGTCCAGAACAAGAACTCCTCATACTTCGTTGAGTGGATCCCCAACAACGTTCAGACCGCCCTCTGCTCCATCCCTCCCCGCGGCCTGAAGATGTCCTCTACCTTCGTTGGTAACTCGACCTCCATCCAGGAGCTGTTCAAGCGTGTCGGTGACCAGTTCACTGCCATGTTCAGGCGCAAGGCTTTCTTGCATTGGTACACTGGTGAGGGTATGGACGAGATGGAGTTCACTGAGGCTGAGTCCAACATGAACGACTTGGTTTCTGAGTACCAGCAATACCAGGAGGCTTCCGTCTCCGAGGGTGAGGACGAGTACGACGAGGAGGCTCCTCTTGAGGCTGAGGAATAAGCTGGTCACGGCCGTTGACCTGCTGAGCTTGGCTGTTGGAAACTTTCACGCGTGGACACAACGTTGTAATTCAATTCGTACTTTGAGCGATTCGGTCATGGCTTGACAAGCATGACAAGCGACTCAACTTCTTGTTAGCGAAAAGATGCTATAATCAAATATTGTCCACAAACTTGGTGCATCGTGTTTGCCTGCTAATGACTGTCTACTTTACTTGTCTTTCTCTCCGTGTTCTTTCAAATGTTCAAGGTACCCTACTAGTCGTTTCTTAATCACTACGCCCACGAGTCGCCCCGTTCCTTCCTCGGTGACCATCAGGTATCTCAATCCTAGCTTGGCAAACATCTCGACGGCATACTCCAAGGGCGCTTTCGCACAGATAGTCAGTGGCATTCGGTCCACAAAGGGCGTTAGATCCATCTCCAAGCTTGTCGGACTTGTTGGATCGTCAATCTCCTGGCCCAACAATCTAACCTGGACATCCTCTTGGGCCGACACGAGCACACTGGGGACAAGTTTTGTCAACCCAAATTCCAGCTCCGACTGTGAAATGTAACCCTGCAGCACTTCCACACCCTCACTACCACTGTTTCTCTGCACAAGAACGAGACCCGCATCCATAAGTCCCCTCTCCCTCAGCGCATGTAGCTTTTCTTTGAGCAAGTCCAACGCTACTTTGTTGTTGGCAGGAACCAAGACAGTAATATCGGACATGGTGCGTTGAGGCGGAATGAGGGCCTCGACGCAAGCTTTGTGTTGCCGGACGATTGATAGAGCGACATCCGGGTCCAAGAAGGGGTGGGAAAGAAGTGTTTGAGCGAGATCATATACACCTTCTGTTGAGATGGCATCTGCAGTCCATTTTGCGACTAGGATGGCGAGCATGGAGGGAACAGTATAGGAAAGTTGGCCGGTTAGTTCAAACATCTATCATAGTGTTAACAAAGGGTGGGAAGAGAAAGAGGGATTAATGTGAACACTTACAATAACAGCAAGTGAAATCGTCATACGTGATACTCCAGCCAGAAATGCGGCAGCACCAACCATGGCGAAGATACCTGGGCTTATCGAACCGATAGTTTGACCAACTAGCCGCCCGAAAAAAGCCCCAGCATCCAGCGCGGGGATGATGACGCCAGAGGGAACTTTGATGCCGAACGTTACGGTAGTTAGAACGAGTTTGGCAAGAGTACCGTACGTTAGCCAAGCCACAAACTTCCAATTCGTCTTTCCATCTCCCACTATATCAGAACTCTCATTCCGACAGACCCAAGACGCCCTTGAAGCGTCATCACCACAATCCACAAGCAGATTTTTGATGATGACGTCTCCAGGTTCCCTCGTTAGTGGATTAGGGTATTGAAGAAGCGCAGTCGCAAACACGACCAATGCAACCTCTAGCACAGGGTACCGTTTAATAAGCCCAAAGCTTCTAAACCACTTCGACCACAGGAAGTTGAACTTGCAGAAGAGACCACCAAAAACACCACCCGCTACGCCCAGCAAAACGAAAACGAGGTAGTGGATAGCCTGATACTCCGTCTCGAAATTGGACTCAAAAAGAACTAATTTACCCGTTCCCGTAGGATTGAGTTCTTTGAGTACCATAGCCGCCGTAAGACTACATAAAAATGCTCTCCACAGCACCTTCCTTGGGAAATACGTCGATATTTCCTCGTAGGAGAAAAGCACTCCGCCAATCGGTGCGCCAAAGGCGACCGAAAGGCCAGAACTGCAGGCGGCACTGAGCAATTCTCGCATTTTACGTCCGTTATCCCGGTATTTTGGAATCAACCGGCCAACTAAGTAACCCACACAGGTAGAGATGTGGACAAAGGGACCTTCTTTTCCTAGGCACATACCAGTCGATACGGCAAAGATGGCGCCGAAGGCTTTGACGATGAGAACGCGGAGGGAGAGAAAGGATGGGATGGAAAAACCGGAGAGGATTGTTTTTATTTCAGGGATGCCGGATCCGGAGGCCATGTACATAACTTTGCCGCTGGGAGCTGTTGCGGGGGTTGCTGGGATATCATTGTCATGGCCATTGGATTTTGTGGTCGAACCTGGCGTGTCTGAAGCAGATGGAAGTGCAGTCTTGGTCAACATAGTCGCGCCTGAACTGACGATACCGAAAACCAATGCCATAGCCACATAGATGGCGAGACTAGACGCATAGTCGCCTGTCCATTCATGCCAATTCTCACACCCTTCAACATTACTCGTACGAAAAAGGGCCCTTGCTTTCCTCTGAGAACAGCAAGCTTCGCGGTTCCGGAATGCATGGCCAGAGCAATATCCGACTTTCCAGTCCGAAACAGTAGCCACAGCGATGTCGACAAGAAAAGCGACGCACGCAGTAAGTGTGCCGATGATAATGACAGCAATCCATCCTGAGCAGGCGTCGAGGAGAGCCAGAGCCTTGTAGCGGATACCGCGTCGAGATTGGATGTGACGAAAGCGGTACGAGTCTTTTACCTGTTTTTCACATCAGCATACTTCTGCGGTTTTGGTGAATTGAAGATGCCAATACCAAGTCGTGTAGCCAGTCGATTGTAGTATAATCGTTGTATGGTAATCGTTCTCCAACCGTACTACCTGCTAACTGCTGTTCTTCCTTGGTTACAGTGGACGCGATGACCGATGAAGCCTCTTCATCTTGCGCGTGTTGGAGCTGTGATAATCGGCTCTGGTGGAGTAGAGGTGTACACTCGTGTCCGTTCTCTTGATCAGATGCCATGTCTAGTCGTCCAGGACTGAGGTCAAGGATGGTGGTTCAAGGCATCATGATGTAGCGTACTCGAGGTACATATCGAAATCAACGTGGCTTGCCCAGTGACGCATGTAAGCATATCTAAAACGCAAGCTTATCTACCGCGGAAAAAGATCTACTGGAACATCCTGGGGAAGATGCTTGTGGGATGAATAGATTGCTAGGCTTGGCTGGGGTGTGGAGAGATAAGGAAAGCACGCTAATTGATTGGTGCGCAATGTTACTTCTGGTGCAACCATGAGCATAGAACAGTTCACAGGCGGACCCCAATACTTGCGATTTTTCCAACGAAATGAATTGGTACAACTGCGGAAGAAGCACTACAGTATCGCGAAGAACCTACATAAACATGTCTTCGAATGGATGTGTCACCATTCCCAGCCATGAATTGACCGCCTTCAACCAGAAGAACGCAAAGTGAAGTCCAATAGCCAGACCAGACAAACACGGTATCATTGAGACTTGTATCATGACTAACAAAGGGAATCGGTATGGCTCCAGGTGAACAAGTGAAAGAGAATATTGCACCATTACACTCAGGTTGAAGGTAGTCATCGCCAGCGTAATGTTGAAACAGCTTTATGCAGCTGCAGCAGCATCATCCTTCCGAGCTACCCACTCATCCTCGTATTTCTGTACAGATTAGTGCGCGTCTTGAGCGTGTGATGCTTGATACATACCTGCTTCTCGGCAGCGCTCAGACTCTTCCACTCATTAGCAGCGAGTTTGACGGCGTCCGTCGGGTGGATGTTCTTGTAGTCTCCACTGGCGAACCTGGCTCGCACAAAAGTGGGGAAGGGAGGCGACGCCCTCTTGGGCTGGCGGTCGTCCACAAGCTTTATGGTATATGGAGGGAGTCGCTTACGCTTGTCCGCAAGCAACTTCCGTAGCTGGCTACGAGCGTTGTTTGCAATCTTTATCTGTTCGGGAGTGTAGGAATGGATAAACGCCTTATACTCGGCTTGTCTGGCAGCGTGCTCTTGGTTGGCAACGTGGTTCCAGTGCTGCAACGACTTAGCACATGGGCGTCTCAACGTGGAGGCAGATTAGAATTACCTCAAGCTCGGCAGGAGTCAAGTTCCTGAAGGCTTTGATAGTTTCGGCAAAGCTGGATTTTGAAGCGCGCGTTTCGGAGACAAAGGCATTTATAGCCGTATACTTGCGGTGTTTTCCAGGCTCCTTGAGTGCCTTGACGCGCAGTTGGCGCATCTTGGCCTGTAGTTTCTCTTCATCCGTCAAAGGTTTCTTGACGCGCTTCTTGGGCGTTGCTTTCTTCTTGGCAGCCGGCTTCTTCGCTGTTTTCCTTGCCGCAGTCTTGGTCGCCGTAGCCTTCTTGGGGGCTGCCTTCTTTGCGGCCGTGGCAGTCTTCTTAGGCGCCGGCTTCTTAGCTGCCGCAGTCTTGACGGCCTTCTTCACTGTCTCGGTCGGCTCGGTAGCGCGCGTAGTTGTAGCATAGAACCGGCGGGCACGGACAAGGGATGCGAAGGCGCGTGAGAGAGGGCGGGCATGCGGGACTCGAGCGGCATTGTGGGCGAGGAGAGAGCGGCGGAGGAAGCGGGCAAGCTGCGGCACGTCGTGTGGGGAGGTCCTGGGAGCGTCAGCTGCCAGGCGGCAGAGTGCGCCGGCCAGCATCGTGAGAATTCGTCGGTCGTGTCTTGGAGGCGCGTGGCGGTGAAGTCAACGAGCGGCGGCGCAGCTCTGAGCGGGCAATTGAGGGGGCTCGGGAGGTGCGCGCACTGTGTTGATGAGTCGGTGTAACGAGAGGCTGGGAGCTAGCCAAGAACGTCATCCAAGTAGAGAGTAGTCAGGCACGCGCTGCATTGATCCTCTACCCCACCATTGCAGAGTCACTGCCGCAGCATCACCATTGCCAAGTCATTTCCCGACCAACGTCACGTCTCAATATCTATGTACATTCCCCGCTGGCTGAGCCTATCTACCTCGTCTACAGAGCGTCTTGCAACCATGTCGACCATGTGCTTTTCATATCACCTTGTAACTGTTTCGTCGTGTTAGCGGGACACTTGTCTAACGAGTGGGAAGCTCATACCTCCATGCATGGTCCTCGTCGCCGTACTGAATGGCCTCCATCCAATCCTTCATCTGTTGTGCCACAGGGCCGGCTTCGACATGGTCTTCAAGTCCGCAGTCGACAAGCTGTCCCTTCCAGCTAATCTTTCGCACCGGTGCGACAATGGCAGCGGTACCTGCACCAAAGATCTCCATCATGCGTCCCTCGTTGGCAGCGTCGGCCACCTCCTTCATGGTGAACTTGCGCTCCGTTACGGTCCAACCCTTTGGCACCAATCGCTCGCGCGCAAGTTCGAGGATCGAATCTCGCGTCACTCCCTCGAGAATCGTTCCGTCAAGAGGTGCAGTGAGCAACTCTGGCTTTCCCGTCTCCTTGTTCTTGATAGCTGCGAACAAGTTCATCGTGCCCACCTCTGTAATGTACTCTTCTTCGCCGAACAACCACAGGTTCTGATGGAAACCACGGCTCGCAGCCTGCATCTGCGGGACAATGCAAGGCGCGTAGTTGGCACCGAGCTTCTTGTCTCCAACACCTCCAGGCCATGCACGCACAGCGTAGTCTGTAGCCTCGAGCGAGATGGCCTTGAAACCGGTAGGGTAGTACGGGCCGACAGGCGAAGCGATCACGTAGAGTAGTGCAGAAGCGGGAGGACCTACGCCCAGAGTGCGCTGTGTACCGATCATGGTTGGGCGAAGGTAGAGAGAGTAGCCTCGTGCACTGCTATGGTTAGAAGGACGCGTTGGTCACAAGACTCGGAACTGGACATACTCGGGAACAAAGCGCTCGTCCTCTTTGACGAACTTGCCAATGAGCTCGATCAGAGCATCAGGGTCGAATGTAGGCAATGCAATTCGTGCCGATGACTTGTTCAACCTAGCCATGTTCTTGTCCGGCCTGAACAACCTAATGTTGCCGCTCTTGTCCTTGTAGGCCTTCATGCCCTCGAAGCACTCGAATGCATAGTGGAAGACACATGTCGCAGGGTCGAGACTGAGGTTTTGGTAGGGTGTGATGCGTGCCGGTAGCCATCCTTGTGTTGCTGTCCATTCAAGGGAGAGCATATGATCTTGCATGCAGGTTAGATATGAGTCGTGGTGCCATTGGAGCTATTACCAGAGAAGTTGCGACCAAAGACAAGTTCCTCATGCGGCAGGAGGTCTTTTGGTGTGGTCGTCTTGGTGATGGAGAGCTTGGTAGGGTCGATGTCCTGTATCTTCTCGCCAACAGAGACATCAGCATGAATGCTGTATGGCCGCTGGGTCCGACATCGCAGCGACGCGCTGAGCGGTGCTACAGGCGAATGGAAAGCGCCACGGGCCAAGGACGAGAGCAATCGTGAAGACCGCTGCAGAAGCATTGTGAGGTATGCAGTGCAAGCGGAGAGAGTGGGGCGGGAAGGAGAGTTGGTGCAGGTGGTGGATTCGAGGTCGATAATTATTTTGTACTACAAGACCGAAGCTGACCGCGCCCTGTAGATATCGGACCTCGAGACACAGTCACCAACAGTCGCCTCCGATCGCGCCCCTGCACCAGCCACCAGACGGGCCGCCCAAGGGCGCAATCGACACCTTGGTAATCTCCAATGCGGATATTTGAGGTTATTCACGTGCTCGGTATCCTGTCTGGCGCCGGTGGCCGCATTCACACTGCCTGCGCTGCGCTCACGTCATGCAAGGCGGGAGACTAGAGGCGGCCCTGACCATCCTTCTCCACAGCTCGCGTGGGGTTCCCAACACTTGGCCTTGTCTACCAATTGCCTCTTGGGTATGCGCCGTCGCCAATGAGCCTAGAAATTGTGCGACTCTTCTGTGGCTGTCGCAAGTCGTCTCGTGGAAAGAGGAACCGTGTCTGATGTGTCTTGATTTCCTCGGCGGCCCCAGCTATCTGTCTCAGATCTCACGCGAATACCAACACTTCTCACATCGACATCACAGTCCATGACGCCCTCGCTTCACACCCACGAAATCGCCGCGCGCGCGAATAGACCACCAGCAACATGTTTTCCAACGCCCTAAAGTCCTTCACTTCCAACATCTCGAGCAACTACACCCTCAGCCCGCAACCCACGTCCCATTCTGGACCGTGGAAGATATACGACGCAAAGAAGAAGTCGACCGGCAAGGCGGCATCTGTCTTTGTGTTCGACAAGAAGTCACTGGAACCACCAGCTGGCGCAGGCTTCGGTGGGCGCTCAGCAGCTTCAGGACTCAAGCGCGCGCATGACGAGGTCGTCGAAAGACTCAAAAAAGAGGCCAGTTCTCTAGCTCGGTTACGCCATCCCAACGTGTTGGAACTGGCTGAACCTGTCGAAGAAACTCGTGGTGGTGGCCTTATGTTCGCGACAGAGCCCGTCACGGCATCCCTGGCTGGTTTGCTGCAAGAAAAAGATGAGCAGGAGAAGGCTGGTGGTGTAAATGGACGTCGTAGTCGATATGTCATCGAAGAAGCCGACGGCCAGAAGCGGAGACGCGAACTTGAAATCGACGAGCTGGAGATACAGAAAGGCTTGTTACAAATCGCAAAGGGCTTGGAATTCCTGCACGAGAGCGCTGGATTGGTACATGCCAACTTGACTCCAGAAGCCATCTTCATCAATGCTAAAGTAGGCAGTCACAATACTAGCCATTCCCTACAAACACCTTGCTGATCGTTGTGATAGTCTGATTGGAAAATCTCAGGCTTGGGTTTTTCTACGCCTCCAGAGAACTCCACGAAACCCACATCCGTAACGCCCATCTCGCTCTCGGAAGTCCTGAACTACGACGCCCGCCTACCACGATACGTCCAGTTGAACATAGACTACTCTTCGCCCGATTTCGTCATGGATAACAATATAACCCCTGCTGCGGACATGTTCAGTCTGGGTATGCTGATAATTGCGCTGTACAACTCGCCACATAAGAGCCCGTTGGAGTTCAACGGAAGTTCTTCTTCATACAAGCGGGCGTTCTCCTCATCCTCCTCAGTTCCAAGCAAAACGAACAACTTCATGGCGTCACAACCATTGCCGCGAGATCTCGCAAATGGTGTCCTAGATCGCTTAATAACGCGGCGACCAGCGCAGCGACTGGACGTACGAGAATTCCAACAAGCAGCATACTTTGACAACATTCTAGTGTCCACAATCCGCTTTCTTGACTCGCTACCGGGGAAGACACCCAACGAGAAGTCACAATTCATGCGTGGTCTACCGCGTATCCTGAATCAGTTTCCCAAATCTGTGCTAGACAAGAAGATATTGCCTGCTCTGCTTGAGGAGATGAAAGATCGGGAACTCCTCACTTTGATACTCCAGAATGTCTTCAAGATCGTTACTATGCTTCCATCCGGCAAACGAGCCTTCACCGAGAAAGTGATACCGAAGTTGCGAGAGATATTCCTGACTGCTGCAGCTACAAACACGAAAGCGCCACAACAGGAGAGAGATAGCCTCAAGGAAGCGGGACTTATGGTACTTCTTGAGAACATGCAGATCGCTGCAGATAACTCCAGTGGCAAGGAGTTCAAAGATGACATACTCCCAATCATCAACTACGCTCTTGAATCTCCTACCCACTCGCTCGTCGATGCAGCTCTGCGTACGCTACCTGTTGTCTTGCCAATTCTAGACTTCTCGACTGTGAAGAACGAGCTCTTCCCTGTAATAGCTGGTATCTTTGCAAAGACTAGCAGCATGGGTATCAAAATTCGTGGTCTAGAAGCTTTCAAGACACTTTGTGGAGGAGGAAGTGAACAGCAAGACGACCAAGGTGATGGTCTCACCGGAATGGTAGCAGCACCCAAGGCCAAGAGCTCCAGTGTATCGATTCTCGACAAATATACCATCCAGGAGAAGATAGTACCGCTGCTTCGTGCTATCAAGACGAAGGAACCTGCCGTCATGGTACGTCAACGAGAAAGAATAAGTTACAGACGTCATGCTAATTATTGTACAGATGGCCGCACTGGATGTCTTCAAGGCCATCAGTACCCAAGTTGACAGTGACTTTCTTGCTATTGATGTACTTCCTATCTTGTGGAATTTCAGCTTGGGACCGCTACTTAACTTGCAGCAATTCCAAGCGTATATGAGCCTTATCAAGTCGACATCTGCCCATGTCGAGAACGAGCAGACACGTAAGCTGCAAGAACTGGGCGCGAATGGCTCCACAGCTACCACACGCAATGAGTTCATGTCCTTCGGTGGCCCATCAGCAACCAATGGCTTCGACACCAGCAACGGAAACGGAGATACTGACTTCGAGGCCCTCGTACGTGGAGGACAACAAGGATCTTCTGGTGGCACAGATATGTTGGGTGGAGATCCATGGGCAAACGCTCCAGCATCCGCTACATCCTCTACGATCCTCCCCTCACGGCCATCTACCAACCGAACAGCATCCAGGACCGCATCGCCAGCAGCAACCTTCTCTTGGTCCACACCCCCTGTCTCTCCACCACCAAACAATAATCTCGGCGCCCCGAAACCGCAAAGCAGAGCCATAACACCGGACAACACGCTAAATACACTCAACTCTTCCTTCCCCGCTCTGAGCGCCGCAAACCCAGGTATCGGCAGTTCCTCCTTCACCCAGCCCCAACAACAAGTCCGGCCAGCTATGAACATGAACAACATAATGTCTCCCACCTCTGCCACAACACCCTCATACAACAATACCACGCAAAGCTCGGGTATCGATTGGAGTAAAGCAGGTAACTCGTCAATGGTATCAAACAACTGGAGTAACATGGCCACTTCGAATACCAACACGAACAATTCTCTATCGAGCTTCCCTTCTATAGCTCCACCTCCCTCACAGTCACGGACGCAATCTCCTTATTCGTCCTTTAGTATTGCACCTCCTCCTGCGAAACCGATGGGCACAGGAACTTTTACCATCGCACCGCCACCCATGGGAAGTCGAACATCGAGTTCGGGAATGGGTATGAATAGTATGGCAAATTTGAGGGCGCAGACGCAGACTCAGCAGCAGCAGCAGCAGCAGCAGCAGACAAATTGGGGTAATGGAGGTGATAGCTTAATTTGAGAAGTTACAGCGGGTATTTTAATCTTAGCAGTGACGTTATAGGGTAGAGAGAAATCACTATTACATAACTATATTCCGCAGGACTTAGGGAATGAGGAAATATACGCCATTCACGTGGGTTGTTTCTACTACGAAACTGTTCGGAATGCATATCGAGCCTATTAGCACCACGCTTCGGGCCGTCAGGGGTCTTTCTTGAAATCCTAATGTTATTTCGTGAATATATTAGTGATTAGTACGTTGGATCATCTATGCAGAAATCGTCAGTATCATGTCTTCATGTCCGTGGGCAGTGGAACCACATTCAGCAAGATACGCTTATCTAAGTCAAAAGGCCCGGCTATCTGTGTTAAGAAGATACTACAAAACGGATGATGACGATAAGTTACTCCGCCAGCTTTTAGATTCTGTAGAGATAGCTGTTGTCGGTTCATCGATCGGGTGGTCGCTTTCGAAGGACTTTAGCACCTGTTGCGGAAGTGATAGAGTGATAGGTACTCTACGGCTGGTATAGTCCTTCTGTGTCTGTGCGTCTGTCGACGTTTGGCTCCCTTTCTTTACGCGAACGCAGCCATCCGGTGAGTATTGGAGTGACACGCAAGCATTAATGCACACGAGACTGCTTTTTTCTGTCCGAATGCCAAGTGCAGGATCAGCAACGCGCATAAGCCATGCAGCGCCCAGAACTAATGTGAGGACGATCACGCAATTTGGTATGCACTTTTGCGTTTGCTGCTTCGGTGAATTGCCAGTCGCCTGGCAAATCGTGCAGCAAGATCTACGATTCCGCAACACGGGTATTTCGGAGTGCGATAATTGGGAAGCGCGGACATGTTTGGCTAGATAGCGGACCCGTACCCTGCAGGACAGACACCCCTACAACGTGGCCGACACCGTGGTTACTGCCGTTTTCCTGGCTAAATCGGATATATACCATGGAATTCCAAAGATGGTCCATACTTTGAACGCGACGCGCTGTTTGTGACTGGTTTAGATAAGCAAAGGACGCGAAGGATTCGACATTGGTGGCTAGGCATTGGCGAGGCTTGGTGGTGGTAAATCGCCTACGGTATGTCGTAAGCTAAGCAAGCCAAGCCAAGCTTACCGGTGCTGGGAGGCCTTGATATGGAGCTTAGCAATTGAGCTTAGCGGGCGCCACAGTGACATCAAGCCTCGATGTCTGACTTGTGAGCCAGTACAACGGTGTGGCGGTAGGAAGTGGGTGTGACAGAAGCGCAGGAGTGCGGAAACGTGACGCGCCATCGGTCTAGTTATCTAGAGTCGTTGAAGATTAACGTAATGGGTCTTCGATATGCGTATGCTGCGCATGGGTGAGAGTGAAATGGTAGATCTGTGCCGTTGGCATGGTAGCGACAAAAGCGGCCTCAGGCTTGCTAAAGCCTAGTCGACAATATGATTAATTCACACAGAGCGGCTCTCGCGGCGTCAGGCCAGAGGATTTTACTGAGATTTCATAGCGCGAGAGCGGGAGAAGATGGGAATGTCGCGGTCATAGCGCGCCGAACGGCTGGTGTTTGTGCGAGCCTTCATAGGTCGCGTTCAAGCCCGGTCGCGCCATAGGCAAGAACAGTCTCCACTCTTACGCCTTCCCTGCTCGCCTTCACCGAACCCTCTTCCAACCCCCGCAAGTTTGGGCCTAGCCATGCTAGCAGCGTACCCTAGCCTACGTCTTTCCACTGCAACACTCCCTGTACCCGCTATCACCTTGCCCCCGCAAATGTATTTAACGATCTTTGCACCTGGCTCCTCCATCGTTTAGTCAACTCACTTCGACTTTACACCTCCCGGACATCGCACCCGCAATTAATGCTCCCGGAAGCGGCTATCCGTCGTCCTTTCTATTACACTCCCTACAAGAGGAGTATCCGCTGCTTAAAATGGCGTTGAAATCCATCTTCGGTGGCAAGGCTTCACCTACCGATGCCACCAGTCAAAACAGTAATGAGAAAGTCACTTTGGAGAAAGAGAAGAGCTACGACGCCGAGGCAGCAGGAGGGATCCTACCTACTTCCGCCGACACCGACTCCGACGCCAGTATCACCATTGGCAGGCAGATCGAATTAGAAGCCAACAATGCTATCAAGTACCGCACTTGCAGCTGGCAAAAGACTGCGGCGCTGTTGTTCTCCGAGTACATCTGTCTGGCCATCATGTCCTTCCCATGGTCCTACTCCATTCTTGGCCTCGTTCCGGGCTTGATCTTGACTTTTGTCATCGCCGGTCTCGTCCTCTACACGTCCTTGACTACATGGTAGGCCTTGTCAATAGCAAAACTTTAGTTAACCATGCTGACTGATCAGGGAATTCTGCATGCGCCACCCCCAGATTCGCGATGTATGTGACATCGGCCAGATGCTCTTCTGGAACCAGAAATGGGCCTTCTACGCAACAGCAGTCATGTTTGTCCTCAACAGTAAGCCACAACTTCTTTGCAAAAACCTCCAGCCTAGTACTGATTCTTCCTCAAGACGTTTTCATCATGGGTCTGCACTGTCTCGTTGGCGCCAAGTGGTGGAATACCATCACCGGACACGCTACTTGCACCATTGTATTCGCCGCCATAACTGCCATCATCTCGTTCGTGGCTTCGCTCCCACGAACCTTTAGCACCCTGGCTACTCTAGCGACTGCCTCCGCCGCCTTCACTTTCATCTCCGTTATCCTTGCAGCAGCATTCTCCGGAGTCGACGGCAAACCTGCAGGCTACCCAAGCTTGGGCGAACTCGAGGTTTACGTCGTACCCCCAGCTGGAACCACTTTTGTGATGGGCATGAGCGCCTTTATGAACATCAGCTACACCTTCATTGGTCAGATTACCCTTCCCAGCTTTATTGCCGAGATGAAGGAACCAAGAGATTTCCCAAAGGCACTCTGGGCTGTTACCATTTGCGAGGTCATCATCTTCAGTTTGGTCGGGGGCGTTGTATACGGTTATACTGGTACCAACTACATGACCTCCCCGGCCTTTGGCTCCATCTCCAACGAAGTGTACAAGAAGGTGGCTTTCACCTTCATGGTACCCACAATCATCTTCCTTGGTGTTCTGTATGCCTCAGTAACAGCTCGCTTCGTCTTGTTCCGCATTTACGGTTCTCAGTCCCGACACAGGACCGGCCACACCGTGGCTGGCTGGGTCACATGGATCGTAATTCTTGCTGTACTATGGGTTTTTGCCTTCATCATCGCCGAAGTCATTCCCTTCTTCTCCGACCTTCTCTCACTCATGAGCTCCCTGTTCGACTCGTTCTTTGGATTCATATTCTGGGGCGTGGCGTACATTCGACTTCGCAGGGAGAGGTATGGTGTAGATTTCTGGAAGACGCGTGGACTCCGTGGATATGCTGGGTTCTTCTTCAACATTATACTTTGCTTTATTGGTCTGTTGTTCTTGACCGCGGGCACGTACGCAACTGTCCAGTCGATCATTGACGGCTACAAGGCCGACGGCTTTGGTGGACCTTTCACATGCGCCGACAACGGCTTGTAGAAGTTGATCATGTACGATATGACACGATCAGTATAATTTCGAACGATGTTGGCATTCAGATCAGGGCGCAATTCTGTCAAGGATACGAGACACAGGCCTGGAACTGCACGGTAGGACGGGGGCGTTTTTGTTTTGTTGGATTTCTCGTTATAACGAGGCTTGGTATACCCCGCAGTAAAGGCTGCAGAAGTGGAACACATCGTAGTAGAGATGGAAACTACAACATCCTTGTCGAATAAAAGTTCAACCGATACAATAATACATCATAACAAGTTGACAGCGTAATGCGCTCGGTAGGCCTTGGTCCGTGACGCGCCCCTTGCGCGATTCTTGAACATGTGGAGCTTATGACGTTTCGCTAACGGCGCAACTGCCGAATGCACATGCTTGACACCTGGGCAAGCTGTCCACATCCCCCACACCTTCTGTATCGTAGATTCAAACCTTCACCTACCTGTGTGTTCTTGCGCCTGAAGACTCGCAACTCGTCTGGACCTGCTCGCGACCATGGCTTCTTATATCGACTTCAGTCAGCCCAGTTTGTGGGGTGAGTACACCACCCAGATCCCCGCTGTTTACGGATGCGACGACTAACGCGATGACAGTATCTGCTGCAAGCATTGTATTTAACCCTACTTTCTGGAAGTGAGTCACATTTCTCATGAGTTTGTAAAGCTGCTGACAGAAGTATAGCATCGCTGCGCAGCAAGGTACGCAATCTCGTCGTGGCGTTGCGACACCAGCAGCCACTTTCCAAGGCTCGGCTATAGTCGCGATAGCAGGATCCGGGGAAGCTGACAAGACTTAGAATACCACAACAAGGTCATCACCAAGCTGTTTGGGGGTAACTCTCGACTTGGGTGCTATGCGCTCGCCGTAACCATTTTCTCACTGGGTATCTTTCGAGACTATCTGTACGTGCAAGCTACCACTACTATCTCGAGACGTCAACGTCTATCCGGCCTAGATTCTGACAATATCTCTACAGTTACAATGAAGCTCTCGCCGATCAGCCCACCCATCCGACTCTCCTCTCCCCTGCTATCAAGTACTCCGCGATCCCTCTGTTCCTAACGGGGAACACCCTCGTCCTGACCTCGATGTGGGCTCTTGGTGTCACTGGCACCTACCTTGGTGACTACTTCGGCATCCTCATGGACGAGCCTGTGACGACATTCCCGTTCAACGTCTCGAGTTCGCCCATGTATCACGGCTCTGCCATGTCTTTCCTGGCCACGGCTATTTGGTACGGAAAACCAGCTGGTATACTTCTTACTGCACTAGTCCACACTGCATACTCTATTGCGTGCAGGTGGGAAGATCCATTCACTGGTATGATCTACCAGAAGAGAGATGAGGAGAGGAAGAAGGGCAAGAAGGGTCTGTAGATGACTCGTCTTTACGTTGGCCAGCACGATACAAGATAGTAATGTTGGGCAAACGAGCCTGCGACATGGCTCTTGTGGTCAATTGCACAATAGCGCATTCAATCTCCATGTCCGCACACGTATGGGTTGTGGGGGAGAACGAGGCGGAGTAGCACGTCTTTTCAACACGACAGTGGAGCCGAGGCGGTAGGTTTGTTTAGGAGGGGTATTCAACTGCCAGCTGGCAGAGGGGTTTATGTAGCATCATCCAAAAGTACAGTCGATTTGACATGATATGACAATAGCCCAAAGCGACAATAGCCCAAGCGACTTCTACTTTCTTCTTTTATTGGTAGGTACAGTATCTTCTTCGAACAGGCTGTCTTTAGGCTACTTTCTCCGATCAGATTTGCTACAAGGTATCGCTAACTACACAATTCCGTAATATTCGAATTGATACACGCAGGTTGCAAGCCAACTACTGTGCCCCAAGGCTCTTCCTTGCAAGCTAGATGGAGCAGAATGAATGAGGCAGCTGCCCATGATCACAATCATTGTATAGTCGAACATTAATTTCCCATTTTCTCTGAGTGGTATAGTTCTGAAATGTGTGGAAAGTCGCCAACCTGGAATACAACATCGATATCTGTTCTTTTCCCATCTAAAATGAGTATCCGTCCCAACGCCACGCTTCCTAATACATTATATAGTATCAAAAGTAGAAAAGATCAAACATCCTGCGTCGTGGCATGATATGTCTGCGCAGTACCACTCCTCGAGTGCATTGCGCTGGGTGGGTTACCAGCATGCGGTACGCCATTGCGATTCAGCACACTCAGTTCACTCTCATCCACACCGTTGGCATGGACATTGAACTGGCCGTCCGCTCGCCTCCGAAGCGCTATCTCACTATCTTCTTTCCTGCTCCATCCCTCAGTTCCGACATAACTTCCTCTACCAACACCAATGCCCCACGCACGGTCGTAGCTCCTCGGACCCCAGGCCCATCCCGCGCCCCGTGTGATGGGGAGATGGTACCAGCGAAAGGAAAACCACGCGCACGTTACGCCAATCAGCGTACCGAACAGCAGATCAAAACCGAAGTGACGGAAATCGGTGAAGCGTGTGCTTGTTATGTATATGGCGGCGCAGATGGGTACCAAGACAAGCACGAGGGTGTAAACGGGGGGTGCAGCGTTTTGGTAGCGAATAGGTACTACAGTGTCGTCGTTGTAGGAGGTAGGGTTCGAGAGAGTTGAGTCTTGCTTGTGGATAGGAAGTGTGGCTAGCCTCTTGAGGTTGGAGGGGGAGACGGCTGAGGTGTGAGCGGGGTTTGCGGAGTAGGGTCGTGGAGGAAGGAAGGGTATTGCGACGGAGAACTTGGAGGCAAGGAAGAGAGTAAGGTAGAGTAGGCCGGCCCATGAGACTAGAAGAGTGTATTAGTATGTAATTAGAGAGTTCAGCGGGTATGGCTTACAGCTGGCATGTCCACTAGGGAAGGATTTGAAGCCGTCCTTGAGTATGTCCGAATCTGGTTGTGTACAAATCTCGGCAGTGACGAGCACCCATTGGGGTTGATAAAACTCCCCCAGAGGACTGATGGTGGTCGCTCCGATACGCGTGAGATCTGGCCGACATCGCGACAGCAGATCAGGTCGCGGCTTTCCGAAAAGATTCTTCATGCCCTGCGTGATGAGGAATGCCGTGGCAAGGGAAAGCGCGAGACCCATCCAGCCAGTGTTCCATTCCCAGAGTTTCCTCCTCCAAATAAGCGATTTTGGTGTCCCACGTTCAGCCGTGGGTCCGGGGACCCAGATGAGACACACGATGAAAACAATGGCGGCAGGCGCGATGAGCGATACAACAACGAGGAGCCATGTTGGTATCATCTCGCTGGTCTGGTACGGGTACGATATGTCGAGATTGACAGGCGAGAAGGGTCGTTTGAATGGTTCGACATATTCCCAACCACCGGCAATGGCTGCGATGGCGATGATGACAATCCAGTCGAAGATGTAGGATGCGACGAGCTTCACCGACGGCACGCCGACTCCTTTGACGGACCTCATGTTTGCGAGAGTGTATGTCTGATGACGACAGTGAGAGGAAGAATGCAAATCAAGTCGAGGGCAGGACGCCAAACGTCCCAGAATGCTCAATGGGACAAGCGCATTAAAGGCGGCTAGAGACAGGCAAGAAAGACGCGAAAGTTTGGTGTCGTGTGACGCAGTGTAACAGTGTTATAAAGATGGGCTATGCTGCGGTCGGTGTTGACGTGTATGATGGCAATATTCCTGACTAGTGGAATAGAAGAAGAAAGAAGGCGGGCTAGATGATGGAGAGGCAGGAACGAGTGGACAGCAAAAGGGTGAAGGGGCACGCGAGCATAGCCAAGGCCCGAGCTGACGGTTTGAGGCTGTGTGTGATGGACGCTGGGCGTTGATCTTGATCGTCTCAGCTGGCGCCCAGAGCGCCCGAACATACTTCCTTATTGCATCGGCCTGACTTCGGGATGCCGGGGCGTACAGCACATCAGGCCTACTATACGCGCAGTCATGTAGAGCAGACATGACCAAGGAAGACAGGCGGCGTCGCTAAGGGGGGAAGGGTAGAGATGGGTGTGTATACAAATGCACGATGATGTGTGTCAAGAAGATCCGGGGCCGGGGCGCTCGCAGTCCCGGCGCCACTGGGAAAGTGGGAAAGTGGGAAAGTGGAAAAGCCTCCGCCTTCTCCGCCCACGTCATTTTTAGATTTGCAGCGGTCCGAAGATCGAGAAAGAGTTGCGCGTACACGGATGCGCAGCACACCAGATCGATAATCACGCCCAGAACATCGCCAGCAGACGCCGCAGCCCACCATGGCGCTTCCAGCACCAACCATCGACCTCCTCCTGAACCTCATTGACACGCGCCCGCAGTCCATTCTTTCTTCGCTCGAACAGCATCCTCACCTTGCCTCTGCGCGGGATGCCCATGGCTACTCGCTAGTCCACGCCGCAGCCTCGTACAACCAACTCGCCGTCTTGCGCGACCTGGTCCAGAAATACAACGCCGACGTCAACATTCTCGATGAAGACGGCGAGACGCCCCTCTTCGCATGTGAAAAGGCAGAGGTAGCAAAATGTCTGGTTGAGGAACTCGGCGCAGACACCAGCATAAAGAACCAAGAGGGCCAGACAGCCGAGGACAAGTTCTTGGAAGAGGAAGACGCTACACATGAGGTATACCAATATCTGACGAGTTTGCGCATCGGTCATGAGCCCGCTGCTGCAGGTGTCATAGAGACCGAGGGTGTACATCCACCGCCTCCGCTGCCCGACGGTGTCAAGGTCAACGTAGGAACTATGGAAGAAGACGCCGTCGATGCACCGGATCCCGAGATACGGCGACGTATTGAAGAGCTTGCGGCAAGGCCTGACTACGATTCTGAAGAGGTACAGCAGCAGTTGAGGGAGCTGGTGCAGGACGTTGTTGGGGGCATGGGTGCTGCTGATAGCGGGAGGAGTGTCAGGCCGAGAGTAGATTGAACAGGCATCAAAAACCGTACATATGGTCGAGCCGTCGGATCAGCGTTGACATTGCAACATCGCACGTAAGATCGTCGTACACGAGATGAAATACTCCGAGTCGATTCCGACACTTCGGATCCGAGTCGCCTTGAAGGCGCCTCAGCAGACACGCTGGACGTTTGCGCTCGCGAGCTGGCATGCTAGAAGCTAGCATCATTTTTCATGGCATGGTACACTTTGATGGTGATGGTATCTCAAGGTAGACAAGGAAGGTACTAGTACCCAAACAGCTTCTCAGCATGATCCACGAATGTAGGTCGTCTCATGGAGCCGAACAATACATCTCTTCAATCTTGTCTTCTTTCCCCTCCTTCTCTTATACATCCGATCACAATATTTGAAACCTTGATTACAAAACGTTGTCACCTGGCTAAACCACGAACTTCCAATTCGCCATCGATTGTAGAAGAAAAGCAGATTTGTCGCCTTACGTGTCTTTTCTTTCCACCGGTTCGGCCAAATACTTGTACCTTGGTACTTACCATAGTAGGTGCGATTCCCCAATCCGTCTGTGTTAGGCAATGTTGCCTTTATGCGTAGATTGCAGCCGGCGAGATCGGCGATTTTGACATCACGGGCAATACTATGTGATTTGATATCGACCCAAATCTACTGGAAAGTGTGTCGCAAAACATGGATTCGCGCGCGTATAGTTCAATGGCTGTTCAATAGGGGCGTTTATCACGGCAATACCCTTATCCAGGCCCCAAACAATCCGCATCAGATACAAGCATCACCCATCCATCCCATTCCTATCACCATCGCAAAACGTCATAACAGCCCCGAGCTGGCCCCATTCATTACTCCAACAGGAAAGGAAAGTCAAAAACTATAGATTCCAGTCGCTCTTCTTCGGACTTATTATTCTGATCCATCTCCCAAAACATTCGTCATTTCCGTTTTATTCCCACTTAAAACCCTGGAATACTATGTGGCGTTTGCCCGGATCGGCATCGGCAAGGTATCGGCAGAGACACCCACCCTGCGTCGGGTCATCCACCCGAACACCACCCTTCATTCAATCTTACCCTTGTTTCACGCCTTGGCCTCGCCACAATCACGCATTTTCACGCCCCCGTTCGTGCTGCAATGGGAAGGAAACGGTGAAAAGTGTTGATTCTAGTCGGTCAAATGCGGTGCTTCTCGGGCGCATTGCGTGAATCCTTCGGTGACTTGGGGTGGTGATGGTTGGATGGGAGAATGGATATGAGGGGGCAAATAGGCAAGGGAGTGGATTGTAGTCACAAACTCTGCATGAAGAGACTTTGTGAGGAGCAGGAGATGTGGGAGGGAGAGGTGAGATATCATTGTTTTCTATTTGCTGCTTTCTTTTGGTAGACAAAGGTAAGATGAGAATATGGGTTCACCATACTCGCGTTGACCCTTTTCCCTCTTTCTGTTGGAAACCACACTCTTGTCTTCCAATACCTCACTCCACACTTCCATACCAAGATCTCGATGTCTATACTGTCGGCCCTTCTCTGCAATCTACACCCTCCTACCATTTCCCTATTCAGGAAACTTTCCAGTCCATCTCGACGCAAGAGTCTAGACTCGCATACCCCTAACCACCAAATTCCGTTCTCTATGTGCCGCAAACTCCGAACCACAGCATGAACAATATCCTGTAAACGGAAACTTCCATCACCCCACCGTAGAAACCAGGCTCCTTATCGCACTTAGCCGCACCTTAGAGTTTCGCCTGCCTCCGCGGAACCAGACTGGGCCCAGACACGCGGCCACCTACTGAACGGGGCAAACTCTCCCCTCTGTATCACCTTATTAGGAAGGAGAAGAAGAAAGTCGTTGATTGTGGCCAAGATCGCGGGCCGCGACGGGTATGCAAGGGGTCCGGGTTACTGAAGCAAGTTTTGGTAAGTGTTGCTAGGGTACCGTACTAATTTCTATACGGCGGGGATGATGGAACCTGAAGTGCTATGGAAGATACCTAGAGGAGAAGGTTTGAGAAGAAGATGTTGGCTATAGCGGCCAAGGTGGCCGTACGGCTTTTGTGTGGACCTGTTTTTTTTCTAGGGCCTGCTTTGGGTCGAAGAAGGGAAGTGGGTGATGTTTCCATAGTAGTCATATTTGGTCTCACCAAGACCATTTCCACATAGCACCAGTGACTCGCAGCGCAGGTACCAAGAATCTTGATTGAATCTGAATGTGGTCACATTTGTTCTGACTAACCAGTAACGGGTCGTGTATTGATGTCCCTACCGTCTATGTATCCTTCCATTTATGTATCCTTCCATTTATTCACAAGTTGTTCGCCTCTACCTCTAACACTGCACACCAAACTTACGCAAGGTCTCTTTTCCAGTTGTGATCTTCATGCCGATTCTGAAAACACGTATTAGCCTTGAACTGTAAAGAGAAGAAACTAATCACGTACCTTGCATCCAAGTCGAACCCACCCATCTTTGTGACCTCATCAAGCCAATCCTTACACTGAACCAACATCTGAGGGTTCTTCTCCGGATGCCCATCAGCGTCAGCCTCACGCCAGATGTTTGCAGCCATCTCGTAGCGTGCACAAGGTGCGGTCCAGTTGTCCTTGAAATTGCCTGTAAGAAGCGCTTTATCAACTGGTAAAACCTCTTTCTCCAAGATACTCTTGGCTTCGACTGTCTGATCCATGTTTCTAAGAGTAGCAGCGCGAAGGACGTTGAGGATAGACTTTTCGTCTACACCCTCCTTGTCCCAGTGTGGATTGGCGGATGACTCGCTCCACGCCAGGTTGGCGAGGGAGACTTCGAGATGATCGTTTCGCATGCGTTTGTATCCGTTCCAGAAGTAAATCATCTCTTCGAGTGGTGACACACCTACGGCGTCTACCAGGTCGCAGTTCCACTCCTTCGCACGTGCCTCCCATTTCTGGATCTTACGGGCAACGAAGATGTCGAAAGGTAGTTGACGTGCCATGAACTTCTTCTTTCCCACGTTTGGCATGACCTTCTTCATGTATTCTTCTGCTTTTGCACCGTACTCCTTTGCCTCAGTTGGGTTGGTTGTCTTGAGTTTTCTGTAGAGCTCGACATATGAGGCGGCGATGATGTGGTAGTACAATGCGTGACTCCAGTTGTTGAGCCCAATGCATTTTTCGAAAGCGAATGCAGTCGCTTTATAGTCGTGCATGTACATGTTGTTTAAACTTTGTTCGAACCATCTAAGCGCTTCGAGCTGCTTTAGCTTCGACTCGCCCATGTCGTCCATGAACTTAACAGCCTTCTCCAACTCTTTCTCTGAAGCGAGCATTCGAGACTCTTCCAGTAGCCAAAGGTGACTTGTAGGGTACCTTGCGCGCATGTAGCGGAGCAAAGCTAGGCACTGTTCCTTAGGATATGCACCCTCACCCTTGGTAGGAAGTATGTCGCAGAAGTTTGTGAACCCATTTATGTATCCCATTAGCACAACACCAGCCATAGCACCGTGTATGTTGTGGAACTTAGTAGCTTGCCATAGCATGCGCATGCCCCTTTCACGATCGCCCTTGAAGCCAACGATCTTCAACAACCCTGCAAAAGATGGCGGGATGAACGAGAGAATGAGTAATAGCATACCGAAGCAAAAATTCGATCCAGAGAGGATGAAGACATCCACGGGGTGTTTACTGAACGACGCGATGTCTGCATCTGCATCACCTTCATCGTTCAAGGTGAGTTGCTCGAAGTATTCGATGGCGTCTGGTAGGGAATCTGATGGGTTCTCGTTCGTGACGGGAAGCCCTGGCGCCGAGCTTGCTCCGACATCAACCGTCTTCTCCGCGTTGTTGAGCTCGACTGAAGCACCTTTATCGGCAGCTACATTGAGGTTCCCCTGGTACTCTGCAGGCGTTGAAACACCTGTCTTATTCTCTGCAGCGTCCACGAAATCGAAATCGTCATCGTCGTCATCTGTAGCTTTCTTCGCTGCTGGTCCAGTCACCGTGGTACTTTGCTTCAGACTAGAAGTTGACGCTGCAGCAGACGGCCCGGCCGAAGTAGCAGGCTGAGAGGTTTTGAGACCGCTGCCTGCCAAGTTTGACCGAACCGAGCCCTTGGAAGAGCCGCGCGACCCCACGGAATTCACACTACTTGTACTTCTCTGGCTCAAGAATTTCTTCTCATTCTCCATAACAGCCTCCAGTGCAAGATACGCTTTCCTCAACTTGTAGAAACTCTTGATAGCTTCCGTCAAGCTTTCGTTGAGCACACCGACAACGGCACTCATGAGCTGTGCCTCTGCTTGGCATACCGCGTATTCGGTGCCTGGGGGATATATGGGTGATTTATATGCATTCGGATCTTTGCTAACTTGGCGTTGACGTTCGTAAGCCGAGTTCTCTGCCAAAGATAAGGCGTTGGCAGCTGTAGACGGCATCAGTCAGTCGAGGTCTGTAATACTATGTTGAGTACGTGATCAGACCTTCGCGTACAATTTCTGGCTCAAAGCCCAACGTTGCCCGTATGAAAACACACACTCCCGACCCAAGCTACATGATATGAGACTAGAACCGAAGTATATGCCCGTGGGCTAGATGATAGGTATGTACCTGGTGGAATGGCGAACTGCCTTTGTTGAGGTGTGCTTCGGCGCTTTCGATATCATCGGCCATGATATAGGTGACAGCTATGCTCGCGTGTGGTTAGTCCCATTCGCGTCACCGTATTGGGCTGTGTCGGAAGTCGTACCGCTCATGGCATCCTCGACTGTGTTGCATTAGTATTTGCCTGCCCTGTGTATGTCGCGAGACTCACTCTGTGCAAGTTCACTCAGAGAATCCAAGCTCTTTGTATGCCCAGGGGCATGGCCTTTGAGCCAACCGCCGACTTTGAACATGTTGTATAGATAATTCCTGCACGGCGGGAGCTGGAGGTGGGGCAGGATTCACCAGAGAAACCAGATGAGGAAAAAAAAGAGGGTGAAAAGAAGGATGGAAGGAAAAGAAGCAGTGTATTCAAACAGACTACGCAGAGCGGATACCCCAGCTAAGACGCTGAGCGCGTGTCTAGAAACCTACTAAAGCCAACCAGACGGGATGTGCTTACAGCTTCGTCCGGCCACTCGGAGCTAAAGTACGAGTACGTCATGTTCATCGTCCGGAACTTATCCTACAGTCCACTCCGCCGCGCGTTGAAACGAGTGAATACGGTATACGACGGTGACAACGAAACATCCAAATCCACCAGATGGAACTTTCTCGGAGCCAAGCAGCGACATGTGAGAGTCGGTACCCCGCGAATCCAGTTTCCATGAGTGCCACGTGATGTCGCGCGCTAAGCCTTGCGGACAATCGCCGCCTCCTCCGCTGTTGGAGCCGCATCACACAGCTCACCAAAGCACAACATCGCGTCATCCTCCACCAGCCCATCTGAACAAATCCACAACACGTCTTCCGACCGCATCTTCTAGACCGCCACAATGTCCGGCTCAGCACAAGGCAGCAACGACATGAAGAAGGCCGTAGTCAACGACTCCAAGAACGGCGAGCAACCGCTGGCGCCCGAGAAGAAGCCCGCAACACAACTGGAGGAGGACGACGAGTTTGAGGACTTTCCTGTAGAGGGTATGTTGTGCGTGGGGTCAAAGAGGATGGGTGTCACGCTGACAAGCTTACAGACTGGACTGAGGAGGAGACACAGATCCCCAATGGCAACACACATCTTTGGGAAGAGAGCTGGGATGACGATGACACAAACGACGACTTTGCGGTTCAGCTGAGGTAAGAGGAACCCCATGTATGATACAAAGCTAGGACTAACAACTCATAGGGAGGAGCTTAAAAAGCTGGGCAAATGAGCGATCCGATACGAGCAGACACGACGACCTTATCAACAAATGAGCTTCTGGTTCGCTCATGATACTTGCATGAATGGGCAGGCGGCTCCATGAGAGCTCTCTAAACATCTCGCCCGTGGGGTATAGGGTGGAGATGCGGTATCTCTATATTGAACCAAAAAGAGCTATAGCTACACACAATCATAACTTCGAAGATATACCTTCCCTGATCTTGAGCCACCATTCACTTCTTTTGAGTGAGTGGTTTACTTACTTGACAGGGCAGAAACACCGGGCAGATCCTTGCCCTCGAGCAGTTCGAGCGACGCACCACCACCGGTCGAGACGTGAGACAGCTTGTCTTCTACGCCGTACTTGGCAGCAACAGTGGCTGTGTCACCACCACCGATGATGACAATCTTGCCGCTCTGTGCAGCATCAACCGCAGCATCGAGTGTCGCCTTGGTACCCTTGGCAAACTTGTCAAACTCGAACACACCGGCGGGTCCATTCCAGAGAATGGTCTTTGCCTCATCAATGGCCTCCTTGTACAGCTTGATTGACTTGTCTCCGCAGTCGAGACCCATCCAGCCGTCTGGGATACCGTCCTTGTCCTCAGCGTAGCCAGTGTTAGCGTTCTTGTCGAACTTGTCGGCGGTGATGTAGTCAACAGGTAAGACAATCTTGACGTTGTTCTTCTTCGCCTTCTCAACAAGGTCCTTGACGGTCTTGCTGCCAGCCTCATCGAACAAGCTGTCACCAATGTTGACGCCCTCGAGTGTCTTCTTGAAGGTGAATGACATGCCTCCGCAGATGATGAGACTGTTGACCTTTCCGAGCAGGTTGTCAATCAGCTGAATCTTGTCGGAGACCTTGGCACCACCAAGAATGGCGAGGAAGGGTCGCTTGGGCTCCTCGAGCGCTTGCGCAAAGTAGTCGAGCTCCTTCTTGACGAGGAAGCCAGATGCCTTTTGTGGGAGGTCGACACCGACCATGGAGCTGTGTGCGCGGTGGGCGGTACCGAAAGCATCGTCTATGTTTCGTCAGTTCTGTACATCTACTGACCATATTATGGATCCACTCACTGATGTAGATGTCACCAAGAGCAGTCAGGCCCTTCCTGAACTCTTCGACCTTGCTCTTGTCAACCTTCTGCTTCTTGCCCTCGTCGTCCTTGTAGCTGCCCTCCTCCTCGGCGTGGAAGCGCAGGTTCTCCAGAAGGATGACCTGACCGTCCTTGGCGCTGTTGACAGTGTCCTCGACCGACTTGCCGACGCAGTCGTCTGTGAAAGTTACGCTCTTGCCGAGCAGCTTCTCAAGCTCGGGAACAACCGGCTTGAGACTGTACTTGGCGTTTGGCTTTCCGTCTGGGCGACCAAGATGCGACATGAGGATGACAGCCTTTGCGCCATTGTCAATTGCGTATTTGATTGTGGGAAGAGCGCCGACGATGCGCTGGTTGTTGGTGATGTTCTTGTCGCCGTCTAGGGGTACATTGAAGTCGACCTTGACCAAGCAATTAGATTTGCAACCTCGCGTATGACATAAAGCATTGAATATATACATACTCGGATAAGGACGCGCTTGCCCTTGAGGTCGACGTCGGCGATTGACAGCTTGTTGGAAAGAGACATGGTGGGTGTATGGTAGTACTGTGATGGTGTGAGTTCAAAGAAGCTATGAATGTAGACTGGTCTATCAAGGTATACGAAAGCCAGTTATATATCTCAGGTAAAGGTGAACTTACGTCAAGAAGTTGAAGGAGAGAAGATGAAGCGTGGGTGGTTTCAATGTTTGTTGTCGAGCTTCAGATCGTCATGGGCAGGCTTGGTGGGGTGTAGCGGGGCAATCCACAGGTTCCTCCCATCTGCATGCAAAGCTTCTTGCTCCCACTCCTTATCGAACCACAAAAAAGCAAGCTGACGTGACCAGACTAACAAAATTAGCTGATACAAAACACTTTTTGCTGCCCGCGCGTCCTGGCGCTTCACGAAGTGGGCGGCCAAGGTCCATATCTTCCCGCGGCCGAGAGTCCTCAGTCGCGTTAGGGTACGTAGCTACACGAATCTTCCCACGTCTCTGCGCCTCTTAGATCATGTCTCCCCTCACGAAGAGACTCGGTGAGATGCCTTTCGTGAACATGTGCACGGTAAGAGACGTTTACGTGTAAAGACGGCTCTTCATTCTGATCAAATTCGAGGCTGTACATAATGACTTTGACCCGTAGCAAAAGTAAACTACCCTGACGCCGTGCAAATGCCCAACCAAACATGCTAACGCGCGAGAAACTCAAGGGGAATCACCCGATGCAATCATGACCTGACCTGGCCCTGTGTGTGCGTATGATATTTATACATGGGACTTTGTTCGCATAACCGGATGGCCTTAAGCGGCATCATCAGCCGAATTGGTCAGGGAAAGGTAAGCTGTCCAAGCGATACCGACGGTCGACACGAACGGCTGGCGTAAGTTAGTCGCTATCGTTATGACGTGGGGTGGAATACTTACAATCTGGAACTGAATAGGCATGATACGGAAATTGATCAGCTGTACAGCCGGCCAGACCATGTAGTTGGCTTGAAGCGCAGGCACATAGACATCTTGGAACTTGCGCTGCACCGCACGCTTACCACCACCCTCGGCAACTGTCATGAAGGTGAAGAAGGCAGCCAGACCCGCTGGAGCAAACAAAAATTGATCGAAAGCTACGCGCTTCAATGCAGGCAACCAAGCCGCACCCTTTGACACGGGGAAAGTCCTGGACAAGAAGCCAAACCACCTGTGTTGGATCGGCGACATGAGGAAACCGTAGGACATGAATCTGGTGGTTCGCTCGAAGTCGAAAGGCGGTGGAAGCAGCTTCGAATCGGGGATAAGATCGTTGTCGTTGAACGGGTTCCGTCTGTCAAGCTCGTGAATCTCAATAGCCAAAAAGTCATCCTTGCCCGGTCCACCCTTCTTGCGCACTGCGCGCTCTCGCACTGCAGTCAGTGTCTGAGCTACTGTGTCCGCGATACCACCCAACACCTGCAAATGGCGTTAGCCTTCCTGTCTCGTCACATCTGAAGATACGTCGGGTCCGACGCCGATGTCGCAGTATCCGATGCGGTGATGGCGCGACAACGGCTCGCGATAGCCATGGTATTGTGTTCATGTAAAGAGGTAGCACGTACGGCGTTGGTGATCATCGTGGTCAAAACTGGGCGCGCCGCATAGTACTGGTTGTACTTGCGCGTGAGCAAACTGACTGCAGCCATCTGTAGAAGAAATACTATCGAGTGCAGCAGTGGCTGGTAATAAATTAGTCGGCCATCAGATAGTATCAAGACAAGTAGCTCACAATCTTCCCGTAAATCCAGCGACTGTTCAGCTGGTAAAGCAGTCTGTGTCTGGTGCTGTTCATGTTTAGTATGGGTCCTGTGAAAAGCTCTAGGTGTAGCGTTGCTCCAAGATCGCGATGACGTTGATGAAACGTAGCCGCGAGGTCCGTGTGCGGCTATAAGTGGTCCTATCTCTTGAGGCTCTAATGCGCGATAAGGGCTGGGAGCAGACGAGAATGCTATCGTGATCGGAAGAACAGTTTGTAGGAAAGTGTCGCAGGAGCAGGCGCAGTCGTCGCCTAGGGTCCAAATGCGGAGGTGCTGGGAACAGTGGCGAGAGTTTCACGGGCCGGCACCAATGACGGGTTTCAGACATCAACTGGCATCAGCCTAGTTCCGCGCGGCTACGGGCGCGTACCATGAACTATGCTCGAAATGAAGATGTGAGCCCGAGCCATCTTGCATTTTCTTGCTGGTCATGCTCGATGATAGCACCTATACTTTGGTATGCATAGCGTCTGCTGAGTTCCATACTGGTTCTTGGCGCCACAGCATAGTCCAGGTAGCTATGAGCATTGCGCAACACAAAGATCGATAGTAGCATATTGTATTTATTGCACGCCTCAACGACCGAATGATAGTCTCAGCTACGACCTAACCCGACGCTATGGAGCCACAGCGACAACACTCGGTAACTCACGAATATCAACGGCTTCATTGGTAACCAGATCGACGACTCGTATAGACTCGACAGACAAGACGCCTGCAGAGAGTGCAAGAAATTTGAGATCAGCTGTATAGCAAGAACCAGGCGACAGTTGTCTACGCACGTTAGCATATCTGATCCAGGATAGCCTTGCTTATCGAAACTCACCCCAGACGAATGTCCGTTGTCAAGCAAATCAACTCGGCTGTCTCTGTCCTTCCGCTCTTTTGCTTTGCGTACACAACATTCTCGTCGACTACGGCTGTACCGAGAAGCTCTTTTCGCTCTGTTCGAGGTCCACCTACAGAGGATGTGGATGGATGTGATTTGTGCCTCCCCATATCATGAGACCTTTTCGCGATAACAAGAACAGCTAGTCTTCGTGTTTTGTCGGATCGGTTGACAATGAACACATCCCATGTGAAGATCTCGCCAACCTGGACACTGGACGGCCCAGACACTGTCAGAGTAACATTAACGTCGTTCTTCGAAGCATCCTGTTCGGGTTGGTCTTGAGCGTCTTGAGCGACAAGTGCGTCGGGGTTGACTGCGTTTGTACTCTGTATTGTAGAGATACTCTGCCGGTGAATGGCCTTGGTCAAGCTGAGCGTCTGTTCGGACGCAAAGTCAATGGGCGTCTTCCATTCGATAGCAATATCCGGATGACATTGATCAGACATTGTAACATTGGCCTCAACATTCAATGTCAAGTAATGACCCTTGCTCCCAAGTGCTGGTGTCCCGTCAGTACCCAATTCAGGCCAGATCTTGTACAAGAAGGTCAGTTGGTCACCAGGCTTGTGACTCGTTGTAGTATCCAGCTCGTCGTTCAGCTCTTTGACCTTGCCTCTATGCAGAGCCAAGTTGACTTTCTTGATCCTGACATCGTAAGTTGCGAATTGAGCGACCTCCAGGTCCAAAGAGGCCATCAACGACAAGTCACTTAATGATGCCTGGATCCTCGAATACCTCATCCTCCAAATCAATGGTGGAAGTACACGAAACAATGGTCTTTGACCGTTTCGGATTGGTCGAGCCATTTCTTTTGCAGCAGGAGCACTCGGCGTGACCTTGCTTATACGCATTGCCGAGAGTCTTGGATGAACACCAACAAGAGCAGGATCGCTCTCAAAGGCCTGAAGCAGGTTCAGAGGCGTGGGTGTACGGCTTGGGAGATATTCATCCTCCGATGCGTCCTTTTGAGGTTTTTCTGTAGGCTTGAAGGAGGCTGTGGGCTGGAAACACACTGCAGGCTTATGATATCTGCCCTGAGGTCGAGCTGCTCCATGTCAGACACGGTGCTGGGAAGACAGGTTGGCTTGCTCACCTATGAAAACGTCCACCTTCCAGACAACATAAGTATGAGCGCTGTCTCCCTCGCCATGATTGATGACTGTAGGCTCATCTCTATGGTTGATGGTACCAGAGAAGATGACTTCCTTGGGGGGCGTAGCTTTCGTATCTTGGTCAGACGGAGGTACCGTGCTGAAGGCAAAGGCTTCGACACTGATGACCAGTCTCGCAAGATACGACTTCAAAGTCGCTTCTTCTAATAGTGGCGTTTGGAAAACAACATATACAGCTAAGAGTTCATCTAAAAGCCTGTGCATGAGTAAGAGACATGCTGATCTTGTTGGCTTGGCTGAGACGTACCGAGGAGCAGCACATGTCGTTGTGCTAAGAAGGGCAATATGGAGCCGTTGTCATCTGGTGCACCATCCCAAGAGTCGATCTCGTTCTTGATATCAACGTCGGAACTAGCGGGCACAATGGCTTCCAGTACTGAGCTCTCGGCAAACTCGAGGCTCCTGCGGGGCGACGCTTCCTCAGCCTCTGCCATGGTTGGCTGCAAGATTGTCGAGGTAGACGGGAGGGCGAAGGTGCACGTGAATGCGGTGCCTGAGCTACAGTAGGGGACTGTCCGTGCGCTAAGAAGTTGCACAACTTGTTCGCATGCGAGCTTCACCAGTCTACCAATCAACCACGCGCCATCTCCAACAACCGTCGCAATGAACGGCCCCCCATTCGCGCCCCCGGCTCCCGTCTGGTCGAGTGCGAAAGCAGCAGATGGCAGAGAGTACTACTACAATAGGCTCACCCAGCAGACGACGTGGGAGAAGCCGGACGAGCTCAAGGACGATGTAGAGCGCGCCCTCCCTGGCACCGGCTGGGCGGCACACATGTCAAACGGCAGACGATACTACGTCAAGACTGGCACGACAGAGACGACGTGGGAGATTCCCGAGCCTGTCCAGAAGAAGATGGACGAATACAACCAGAATCAGCAGAATCAGCGCCCTCCCCCTTCAGGTCCTGCCGGATGGCCAGCGGGCCCAGCCTCGGGCGCGCCTGCCTATGACAACAGGCGCGAACGCGACGAGTACCGCCCCGACCGACACGATCGCCGTGATGACCGCGACCGTGACCGCGAGCGCGACCGCCGCGATGATCGCGAGGCTGGCTTTGGCGGCGACCGGCCCAACATCAGCTTCACAACGGGAACCGAGCACCTCCAATTCTCAACCCCACAAGACGCCGAGGCTGCCTTCATGAAGGTGCTCAAGCAGATGAAAGTGCAGCCTGACTGGACCTGGCTGCAGGCTGTGCGCGCCGGTATCCATGACCCCAACTGGCGCGCCATCCCTGAGCCGGAGAAGCGTGAGGAGGCCTTCAAGAAGTACTGCGAAGACTTGCGCGCCCAGGAGAAGCACAAGGAGCAGGACCGCCAGGCCAAGCTACGGTCCGACTTTACCGCCATGTTGCGCTCGCATCCTGAGATCAAGTACTACACGCGCTGGAAGACTGCTCTGCCCATCATCGAGGAGGAAACCATCTTCCGCTCTGCCAAAGACGATGCTGAGCGCAGGGCTCTGTTTGAGGAATACATCATCTCTCTGAAGAAGGCGCATGAGGACGACGAGGCAGAGAGCAGGCGATCCGCTCTCGACCAAATCATGGGTCTGCTGCAGGGCTTGGATCTGGAGCCGTTTACGCGCTGGCAGGCAGCTGAGGAGAAACTGGAACAGAACCACGAGTTCAACAGCGACAAGTTCGAGACTCTGACTCGAATCGACGTTCTGAACCAATTCGAGAAGCACATCAGGCAGCTCCAGCGCGAACACAACGACAAGGTTCAAGCCGAGCGACGCAAGAAGCACCGTGTCGAGCGCAAGAACCGCGATGCGTTCCTCGAGCTCCTAGACGATCTCAGGAAAAGTGGTTTGCTCCGCGCCGGTACCAAATGGAAGGACATTCACGATACGATCCAGGACGACCCGCGCTACACGGCTATGCTTGGACAGAGTGGATCATCGCCGCTTGATCTATTCCGCGATGCCCTGGAGGAAGAAGAGGGCAAGTTCCGCACCCTGCGCCGAAGAGCGCTTGATGTGCTGGAGCAACAACGCTTCGAGGTTACCACAGCGACCCCTGTGGAAGAGTTCCTTAACATTATGCGAAAAGATCCTCGCACCGCTGATATTGACGAACAGTCCATGCATAGCATCTACAACTACGTCCTTGCTAAGGTCAAGAAGCGCGAGGAGGAAGAACGTCGAGACGAGGAATATATTGAGCGCTCAGCTGTGGACAAACTTCGGTCTGTGATCAAGCACCTTGATCCACCAGTGTCTCTGTCAGACACCTGGGAAGTGGTACGTCCCCGCGTTGAAAAGACAGACGAGTATCGCGCACTGAAATCAGATACCCTCCGCGAGTCGGCTTTCGATAAATTCATGTTCCGCTTGAAGGAGAAGGAGAGCGATCGCAGGGATCGAAGTAGACGCGATGATCGCGACCGTGATAGGGACAGGCGCGACCGAGATCGTGAGTATCGCAATGGGCATTCTGATTCTCATCGTCGTCATCGTACGCGAACTCGCTCACCTGAACATGATCCGTACGCTGCAGAGCGCCGTCGTGCGGTGCAGGACAGGGAGGCGCGCTACAGGAACAACGACAGCACAGGCTTATCTCCTCCCCGACGTCGTGAGCGTCGAGACGACGATCGCTACGAGCGCTCCCGTCGCAGCCCCGGCGGTGATCATTATGGGCTTGAGCGTCGCGAGCGTGAAGTCGAGCGCGAGCGATCCTACGTTAGCAGGGCCGACCCTCGTGAGGCCACCGTTAGTCTGCTAGATTATGGCGACAGCGGTGGTCGCACCTCGTCGACTCGACGCCGTCGGGAAAGCGACGAGAGCTCTTCGAAGCGTGATCGTGAGACCAAGGTACGCAAAACTACGCCCCACGCACATCCATAGTACGAGACTGATTTTGTCACAGCGTGCCCGCTACTCTCCACGCGCCGCCGATCGTAAGTCGAAGACTCCCATCCCCGATTCCGTCGCCCTCAAGAAGGAAGAAGAAGAACGTGCTATCCGCAGTGGAAGTGAGGAGGGTGAAATCGAGGAAGATTAGGAGTCTTCCCTCGTACACCGTTCTCGCAGGAAACAGGAGATACTCATTAATCGACTCGAAGCAGTCTAGTACTGTAACTACTTGTAAGTAAGTTGCGGTACTTTCTTTCTCTGCAATATGTGAATTCTCGGTTGCGTTGCCACTGCGACGTCAACTCGACGATATGTATCATAGTCCCTTCGTAGACAGTGCCTACCGAAAAAGTAACTAAATACCAACATTTTCTATTATGTTTAAAATTGCAATGGGCTTCATGTCCGTGATGGCGCAAGCAGTGTGAACTTGATTTGAGGTGAAAACATGAGTGATGCAGGTGACATGGCATTCAAATATTTCATATCAAGGTTCAATGAATGGATCATACGAGCTATTATGGGATTCCAAAACGGATAGGATCTTCTCTGGCAAGAATTGAAGGAGCTGTGATACTCGTTTGAGAGAGCACACCTTCTCGCGGTGTACGTAAACCGTACCTAGGTGTTCAGGTACCTTGAATGTGCTCACAATGTTCTACCTTCTTAATATGTCGACACAGAACACGACCGATAAATCCAGAGTACGCTTTTGTCTCTGATTGTAAATGCTTACAATTACTAGCCCAAGTAATATGGCTTTGCGCCACAATCAGCTGTCGGTACATGACATGCCAAAAGCGTGTAATCCTGGCCAACCTCGGCTCACATGAAGCTACCCCGGACTCCACTTCTCCTCCTCAGGCGTAGTTGGCGCCATCTATATACTGGGCACAACACCACCTGCATCATGTAGCCTACCCGCAGCAGAGCTCAGTCGCTCAGACTTACCACTTTACCCCCAGTTTGGCCGATTGACCCATGCCAACATGTCTTCCACCGCCTTCGTCCCGTTTTCCGAACCGCCCTACATCGTCGGCTTACCATCCCCATACTACAAAGAGACACATCTGAGATGGCAGAAAGCGTGTCGCGAGTTTGTGGACAAGCACATGCTTGAGAAGTCACTAGAATGGGACACAAATGAAACTGTCCCTGAGCATGTCTTTGAGACCTTCGCGAAAGCAGGCATGCTAATACCTACGCTGCCAGCACCTCTCCCAGTAGAATGGTTGAAGAAGCTGGGCATCCACGACATCCTTGGTGTGGTGAAGGTTGATGAATGGGATTACATCCATACTATGATCTATGCTGATGAGGTATGGAGGCTCGGCTTCGCCAATACTTGGTTCAGGCGTAACTAACAATGTATCAGATGGCACGAACTGGACTTGCAGGACCCTCTGGATCCCTCACAACAGGCATGTCCTTCGGCGTCCCGCCCATCATCAAATATGGCAACAAGCAGCTACAAGAGCGCTTCCTCCCAGAACTCCTTACCGGCAAGAAGCGAACCTGCATTGCCATCACCGAGCCCGAAGCCGGATCAGACGTCGCGAACATCACAACGACCGCTACGAAGACACTTGATGGAAGACACTATATCATCAATGGAACCAAGAAGTGGATCACCAATGGAATCTGGTCAGACTATTCTTCTATGGCTGTAAGAACCGGTGGCCCTGGACCAACAGGTCTGTCTATGTTGGTTGTGCCTTTGAAAGGATACCCAGGAGTCAACATGCGTCGCCTGAAGGTTGGAGGCCAAGTGAGCGCAGGCACAACTTTCATCGAATTGGACGATGTCAAAGTACCAGTCGAGAATCTTATTGGAGAAGAGGGAATGGGCATGAAGTACATGTAAGATTGTTCTAGGGCTCAAGAAGTATTGCTGGCTGACGTCCAATTTCACAGCATGACAAACTTCAACCACGAACGGCTCACAATTGCCATTGGTGCAACCCGTCAAGCGCGTGTCGCCCTGTCCGCCGCTATGGAGTACGTTCTCAAGCGCGAAGCCTTCGGAAAACCGCTCGTCGATCAACCCGTCGTACGTCACCGCCTGGCGAAAGCCGGCGCTCTTTTGGAGTCTCAGTGGGCTTGGGTCGAGCAGTTCGTATACCAGATGGTACACCTACCAAAAGCAACAGCGGATATCGAACTAGGTGGATTGACCGCTATGGTCAAAGCACAAAGTGGTATCGTACTGAACGAATGCGCACAAACGGCGCAACTGCTATTTGGCGGAAATGGATACACAAAGAGTGGGCAGGGAGAGTTGGTTGAGAGTAAGTATACCGACCACTCGGGCATCATCGGCAGTGACTAACATGCTCACAGGGATCTACCGCGAGGTACCAGGCGTACGGATACCCGGTGGTTCGGAAGACGTAATGCTGGACTTGGGTGTGAGGCAGCTTGTGAAGAATTTCAAGAACAAGACCAAGGCGATGGAGAGACCCAAGGGTTCTTCGAAGCTATAAAGACAGAGCATTCTAGAGGTGTACCTGAAGGTTACAATCTTTGCAAATACCGACTTGGACATTGGCTATTGCCAGCTTCCTTACAAAAGCATTGTGATATCATGCTCTGAACATAGCCCATATTTATATCGGCAGGTCCTGTGTTCGCAACAACACATCTTCATACCGGGGGCATCTCACCGCAATTCACAGCTTGGAAATAGTCTTTGTCCTGTGTTCGTCATTCGGTGTTTATTCGGCTTGCTCCGAGTATTCTTTTCGTGGCTTTTGTAATTTGACTCAATACCATGTAGATCACGATGCTCCAGCTTCAGGTGCCTAACACATGACTCTGGTTACTGAGCTTCAATAGTGGATGCGAACTAAGACACAGGTTAAATCAAAACTTGGATATTTTCCAATTGATACTTCAAATTGCCTCCTCCTGATGATCACAATGCTACAGCGCTAGAGAAATGACAAAAGTGGAAATGTCTGCAGTCATGCTTCAATCGATGTTACCAAACAGCTTTGAGCTGATGGTGATGCATGGAACATAGTGGCTGCTGGGAAAGGTCGTCTCTCAAGATTTGCGTTAAGTTGACCATTTCCCTGTGTTTGCACACTTCCTGGGAGTGTGTCGGGCTATGGGAGAGCTATTGCGTCAGTCGTTGAGAGCGATAGTGTGCAAACCATGGTAAATCGTGGATATCTCATTCGACATGGACCTAGTATGGTTGGACAAATACGGGTGTGTAGATACCGTACAACCTCACAGTTCAAGCGAGATAATTCTGACGCTGTACCTTTCACATCTTGTTTTATTTTATTTTCCTGTCTAACGGTCGCGTACAGACATACAAACTTCGATTCGATATATGCAGCCACTTGACTAGTCGTAGCACCGATGATGCGCCGATTCAAGGATCTTCACTCCAGATTCACAAGGTGGAGCGCAAAGCTTATCCGGTGGTGAGCGTCCCGCAGGGTTAGTAGCACAACGTTGCATAGCCTCTCTGATTGCATGAAATTGCGCTTTTCCAGATGTTCGGGCGGAAAAATATTCCGCGTCCGTTTCCGTCCCAACGCCCGAAAGCTCGTACGAGTTTCATCCTAAGGCAGCCCTCGAAATGATGAATACACCAAGTCGGAGTCGGAGCGTGAAGACGAAATCCCCCTGGTGCCTAGATGCCTTGTCCTTGCGGGTGGTTGGACAAGGTTGATGTCGGCCGCAAGCCCCACACACAGGCTACGTACCCATACAGCGTACTACGAGTCGCAAGATGGTAATCATGATCTCTGACTCTGCAACGATGACACGGTCAGTATTCCGGGGTACATGCAGGTGACCTTGAGCCTCAATCATCGGAGGACGGTCAAGGACCAGACCGCGTCGCGCGATGGCCATTTTCCCTGCAGATCGTGTCGCGTGGAACCGCTAAAATGGTTGCGTTAGACATGCAAATCCAAGGCTTGACATGGCCCTCGCCATATGTCATTGTTACAGAAGAAACGACCGGTGCAATGCCCCAGATGTTTGAGTAATCCGGAAGGCCTCTCAGGTACCGACGGGTAAGGACGGACTGCGGCCGCGGATGCTCGATCACGATCGCTGATGCAGAGAAAAAAATGTGCGGGAGGTGCATGAGGTTGCCGAGCGTCTAGGGGCAATCTGGAAGGATGGAACGTCTGCACCACTACAGATTGGTGGTTGCGTTCTCACTGCCACATGCAACGGCATGGCGTTGTCCGAGACTTCACCGAGAGGGGAAAGCGTGTGTTCCCCGCAATTTTGGCTGCACGCCAGAGATCAACCTCCAGGCGTTCGCTAACTCGTCCATTTTGACGTTACCGCGACCACACAGTTGGAAAAGAGCCTTTGCTCCGAGCGCCGACTGCATGAACTCGCTCAGCCTCTTACGATTCTCGTTCACGTCATCCAGGGCAACCTTCCGTCCGCACGCCGCGTAGAGCAACTGTCGCTGGAGAGCGGTCAGCCAGCTCTCATCAGGTCGCAACAGACGGCAAGCACCGTGCCCGCTAAGGTTGACGATGCAGATTTTATTGGGGTCTGCGTCGGGGCAATGGACCTGTCCGTACGATTGGCAAAAAGCCGCAAACATATTTGGACGCCTATGTGTCCTCACGTGCACCCGAGACGGCTAGCACTTCGGCTATAGAATCCAGAGCTGTCTGGCTTGGTCATGGCCTTCCGCTCATACACTCCAATCGCGCCGTCGCTGGGATATTCATTTCCGCACTCTACAGCGATGATCCTACGCCAGGCTCGTCTTTGTGGGACTCTACGTGAATCGAATGTGCCGGAGACCCCACAACTTTCATGACTCGAGTTCCTGTCAGTGATTTGGGTACTCGCGTGCCAAACGTCTGTGACAGTCAGCGCGAGCGTGTTCTTGGCGGTCACAAGCTGTAGGGCAGAGTCGGCTTTGAGCGAATCCAAGAACCGCGGCATCTTGCCCGTGCACAAGGAATGGACAGGCAGCTGACGTTGCCAAACGCGATTGTATCCAGGAGCGGCCTTTGTCCCGATGACATCCGAGGGGTATCGGCGTCTTAGGTGCCAAGGATAAAGCGCCGACCAGCCGCATCTGGGGGACTGGGGTACTAACTAACGATCCCCAGTGGGGACGGGGCGGCGTCATGAGCGTTAAAACGCACCAGGTGAAGCGCGGCTTGTCTGCGTGTCCTAGCACACGACTAGCCCTGGTATGCAATCCACTCTCGCGAATTATGGTCTTTATAATCCTCGGGCGCCCCCAGACCCCTCGCGTGTGGTAGGAGTTCTCAACGCTATTTGCAACCCATTGTGCTTCCAACTCAGACACCAGACATCAATACCTTGTCACCATGTCTGATTATTCTGCATCCCCGTCCGACCACCACAACGAAATCCAAGCACCGAAACGAAAAGCCACCCAGGCCGGCCTTGATGGACATGCAACCGGACGTTCGGTAAAGAGGAGGGCTTCCAAAGCTTGTCAATGCTGTCGAGCTCGCAAAGTGCGATGCAATGTTACAGAGCACGGCGCTCCTTGCACAAATTGCCGACTCGACGAAGTCGACTGCATTGTGTCAGAGAGCAGGCGCAAAAAGTTAGTTCCACATTTCCGTGCAATATCCGGCGTCTCCACAAGTAAATCGCACTGTTGTTTGATCAACGGTTTTCGATATGGCATGTTCCATCCAGTGTCGTCATGCAACATCGGCTGGGGACTCGGTACTTTTGGCCTGGCCACTTGGACAGCGTTGCACCTATGGCAGTTGCCGAGAGCATTTGAGCCAATGGCAGCCAATGCACTTACTCCAAATGTGCGACTCGTACTAACAGTTGCAGGAAATGGAGCAAAGATGAGGAACAAACTACGGAAAACACAAGCGTAACAGCAACTGCCACACGCAAGATCGCGTCGCGTGATGCGCTCGACGGCGCTCAAAACCTAAATCGATCTTCGTCGCGAGGGTCACATGAGGCGGAATCGAGACGAGACGAGCATGTACCACATTCCATATGTATGTCTGTTGAATCACTTCGTCTCTGTCCTGGACTAATTGCGATACAGACCAAAGCCATGGCCATCGTATTAATTCTGTCGCGAGCATTTCGGATATCCAACGCCGTCTTTCCATCACTTCGCAGATCAATGGCCTACCTACACTACCATTTTCGCCGTTTTCCAACGAACCGCGAGCACCCTTTTTTGGAAGTTTACCACAAAAACCCGCTCCCGGCGAGTTGCCTCGATTCATCAAACCTCTTCCGGCCAAAATCGGACCTGATGAGATTGCGTATCTGGAGAAGAAAGGCGCACTGTCTGTACCAAAGGGGAATCTTCGCGGCGAAATGCTCCGAGCATACGTTGAATTCGTTCATCCGTACATGCCCCTTTTGGATCTGCATGACTTCTTGTCAATGATCGACAAAAGAGATGGCAGCAAAGGAAAAGTTAGCTTGATCCTGTTCCAGGCCGTCATGTTTGCCGGATCGGCGTTTGTTGACATGGAATACTTGCGTACCGCTGGCTACGCTACTCGAAAAGACGCGCGCAAGGACTTTTTCCAAAAGACTAGAGTAAGTTGTAACCCCTTCTCGGAAGACTTGGCAAATCGCGTTCGGCCGACCGATCCCAAACATGATCGGAGCATTTCGGACATACCGATATTCCGTGCACATGCCAACATGTGAAGATTGACGGGCGTACGATGGACCGATAGCATGTGAACATCAAACTAACTATACCACCAGATCCTCTACGATTTTGATTACGAGTCCGATCGTGTGTCACTTGTTCAAGCACTCTTGTTGCTGACGTACTACTACGAGACTCCCGATGACCAGAAAGACACCTGGCATTGGATGGGCGTCGCAACGTCCGTTGCCCACACTATCGGGCTGCACCGCAACCCAGATAATACCAACCTGGACAGCAAACGCGTCAAGCTCTGGAAGCGAATATGGTGGTCAACATATATGCGTGACCGACTCATTGCACTTGGCATGCGACGACCGACAAGGATAAAGACCGAGGACTTCGATGTGCCTATGCTGACGTTGGATGATTTCGAGATTGCACCTCTTCCGGAATCGATCACTTGCCTACCAGCTGACTGCCGCATTGCACGAGACGTGGATGCGCAGCGGCAGCTAGCTATCATGTGCATTGAGAAGGCTCGACTGTGTCTGTGCATTTCCCATGTGCTATCAAAGCAATACTGCGTATTGAACAACAACCACGGACTTCAGAATGACCGTACAACCATGATGTTGCTTCCGAAGAAACTGGATCCCGAGACTAGTGAGGTCAAGGCTTGCGATGAAGAACTGCAGAAATGGGTGTCGGAACTTCCGGAAGAGGCCAAGTATACAGACACGCCCAGCGGTGAGGCAGCAATTGATCTTGCAAGGTCGCTGCTGCACATGGTCTTCTTCACTACGCTGTCTGCCCTACATCGGCCCCAGGTTTTACCAAACTCACAAGGCGGTCCAGCAAGCGCCCCAACGAAGGAGAACGTCGAATCTGAACTCCTAGATGTTTCTCGCCGAAATGTTCGTCGTGCAGCTTCAGCTATCACATCGATTGCGCAGCGTCTGGATGTAGGCGGTCTCGTTAAGTACCTGCCAACAACGGGTGTCACAGTTCTTCTGCCTGCAATCATTATTCACCTACTTGACATCAAGGCGCCAGAAGAGGAGACTCGTCGGTCATCTCTACGTGGCTTCTGCCAGTGCATGGCTGTCATGGGCAAGCTGCGAGATCTCTACGCTGCTGCCGATTACTCCGTGGCTTTCTTAGAAGCCGCCATTCGCAAAGCAGGTATCCATGTTGCTCCTGTGGCAGCTGCTCAAGCTGTGCCAATGCCCAAGCCTTCACCCGTAACGACCGTAGAAGATCTTGTAGATGCCGGAAGACGACTCGATATGGCCAACACAACGACAACTGCAACGCAAAATGTACGGCCCTCAACGTTGACTCCGCCGCCAGACCACGGCACCACTAACATGCTCGCTTTGGAAAAGCAGCACAATCAGCCCAATGTTACAGATGAGGAAGTCGCTCGCCGCCTCGAGACTTTCCTTGCATCTACCCCGCCAGATTCTGATCATGAGCACATGCCCAGTATCACTATTGCCGAAGAGTCACACCTGGCTGACGTCACGGCTCCTGCATCGAACTCCCAGACAAACGACAACATAAACTCTATGAATTTCAACAAATGGAGCACGATGGACCTTGCAGCGAATCCGTTTACCAACAACATCAACCATCACCAGGATGATGAGATGCTTTTCTCTAGCTTGCCGCTGAACAACGAATTCGACGACGGTGACTTTGATCAGTTGCTCAATCTGGATGCAGTTGGCGAGGCGTTCAATTTCGACGACTCAGCACTGGACAGCAACATGGGCCTTGGAGACGTAGACTGGCTTGGTGCTGGTAATGACCTGACAGCAGAGGCATGAGAGGAGTAGCTCGATCACCGAGCACGATGTCACGATTTTCTCTTGTATAACGGAAAAGTTCTTCTATGGGATTTCTTTGGATCTGCGGCATTTTTCTTTGCGAAGATATCCATTTCCTTGTCATGTTCTTCTGTGTACGCCTTTTGTTCAGATGGTGACAAAGGGGGTGTGAATGTAATAGGAAAGGCACGTTTGTTGGCGACGACGAAGAACGTGGCTTACAGAATACGCTGTTCAGCACGACGATATGAATTGAACCACGATATTGCACTGTGCATAGCTCTTCACACTCACATTTTGATAAATGTGCCTAATGCAACAAGCATACCACAACTTTAGAATCGACACAGTCTAGCCCGGTCCAGTCCACCGTTAGTTAGTGATCGGATGTGGCACACTAAAATCGCCCGTCGGAAGAGAACTATTTGCGCTCCCGTGGAGCTGGACCCCGAGATACAGTGGTACGAAGCGGAGTCGGCAGATGTCAAATTCCGGGATAGAACATATGACGTTATGCAGTCAACACGATGCAGCATACACCAGTCATTATACCAAAATAGCTTGCCTGCTGTCGAGTGAGTGGACAAATACACACAGTGTTGCTTGATTTGACGTGTCCAGAGGAGACAATACCTATTAGATACACCATTACTATATCCCATGTCCGAATCATGAATACCCTCAATTATACTTTCAAGCCAAAAGAGTCTTCCTTATCGTTTCCCAAACATCCATAACATTCCTCAAAGATCCCTGCACCGCACCTCTCAGTAGTCCCTTGACATCCTCCAAACCCAACCCACTCTGCCTAAACCTCCACGCTCCACCGATTGCAAGCACGAGCGCGAGCGTCCTGACCACCCTTCGCGCCCTCATCCTCGCAATACCCTTGCTTGTGTACTCGATGTTCCAGTCGTTCCACCTTGGGAAGGTGCATCTCCGCCAGAAGTCGATTTGCGTATACGGGTAGACGGTGGAATTCCAACCATTGCCTGTAACGTACCAGCTTGAGCAGCCACTCTGCCATACGGTATTCTTGAGTGCACGCTGCATTTCAGACGTATAGGCAACCTCGGCGGAGTGCTTGACGTCGATGGTGCGGGCTTCGTTTGTGAGGAGGAGGCGGATGAAGTTTAGGGAATAATTCACCATATCTGGAATTTATGTTAGTATTCATCTCCAGAGCAGCTGGATGGTGTATGCTAGTAAAGAGGGATAAGACTCACTCTCACTGGCCATGACAACGCTAGAATGCCCAGTTGCTGTGTTGGGTCCGAAGATCATCATGAAGTTTGGGAAACCATCGACAGCCGTGCCTTGGTAGGCTTGGGCGCCTCCTCGATCTTCCATTACTTGTACTAGATCTTTTCCATCTTTGCCAATGACTTTGAGAGGATGGAGCCATCGTGTTGTGTCGAAGCCGTTTGCCAGAACAATGACATCTGCGGGTATCTCTCGCTCTGGGTAATCCTCCTTCTTTGCATTGGCTGGGTACGTCGCACCGGGGCCGATGACAACACCATGTTCAGTGACCCTGCTCAGCGGCTGAGTAGTGAGCTCGATTTTCGAATCGTTCAGACTGCGCAGCCACCGCTTGTCGAAGATGCGGCGTTTGCAACCGACCCCGTAGTCTGGCGTCATGATATCCCAGTACTTCTCAGGCACGTGTTTTCGCATGTTCTCGAGCGTCTTTTCTTCGTAGGCCTTTCTTCCTTTCTCGGCATATGGGGTATTGGGGAAAAGCCTAAGGAAGCCGACTTCGGCACCAGCAAAGATAAGGAAACGAAGTAGCTCCTTGAGCCCCGGTACGTTCCTCATAATCTTAGGGCCATTCTTCTCCCACCATTCATCACCACCGGGCGGTGTCGGAGCTGGAACAACCCATGGCGGTGATCTCATGAGCTGAGTGACTGATTTGGCGTTGTACGGCGCATTGGGTAGACGGGGCACGAGTTGAGCGCTGCTGCACCCAGTACCAACAACGACAACGTTCTTGTCTGTGAAATCGACACTTTGATCCCACCTCGCAGAATGGAACATGTTGCCCTTGAAATTTTCAATGCCCTTGATCTCGTCAGGCCAGCCTCTTGGCTCGACTAGACCCCCGACGCAGCTGAGCACAACCTTTGATTTTACAATCTCAGTCTCCGAGTATACTGCATGCTCGCCCTTCTCTCGTGCGATCTTTATGCGCTCCTTGGATGAGAGGTCGCCCATGCCTGCTACCATACGACGGAGAGTGACCTCCCACAACTGTTCGTCTTGTAGCCATCTGCAGCTTTCGATATCTGTGTTGAGCTCAAACTTGTCTGTGATGCGGTAGTTCTCGCATACTTCGTGATAATAGCGTACGATTTCTTTGCCGGGAGGGTGGAACGAGGTCCAGTTCGGGTTTTGAGCGAAGCTAAAAGAGTAGAAGACGGCGGGTACATCACTACATAGCATTAGCCCTGGCCTGTGGAAGATGGGTGTGGCGGCTGAATTTCAAAGGTTTGGTATTACCATGCGCATTGAACGGGCGGATTTCAGGGACTTTCATACCATGCAACACCTGGATAGCGATTTATCCACCAAGTTCCTCCAATGCCTGCTTGACGATCGAATACGCGAAACTGATCGAAGCCAAGTTGCTGCTTCAGTTGACAGGCCATGGCAATGCCAGATGCGCCAGCTCCGACAATAATGACGGGATAGTATGTGTATGCATCTTTCTCATAACCGTTCACTCGTCGTATCGTTTCTGTAATCATATTGGCGATGTTGCAACAGGGGAGCTGGTGAATAGGACAGGGGAGCGTCCGTCCTTGAAGTATGAGACGATGCACAAATGGCTGATGTAGAGTCGACAAGAGGTTCGTTGGAACTAGATTTTAGCCGGGCGCCTTAAGGGGTGACCGAGTCGCTGGAGAGGGACGGATATGTATAAGGTTGCGAGCTGGCGTAACAGCAGGCCTTGGGTAGTGTGACATGTCGACGACTAACAGTGGGCTCTCTCCTGAGCCTCGGTAGTTTGCCATAATAGCTCAGGTGAGGTCACTTAATGACTGGCACAACGGCAAGCTCGCAGCAAATGCTGAATCAGGCAATTCGACGTCTCCACGATTTAGTTCCGACTACGGTAAACTCGAGTTCCGTCTCTTTCTGTAAGGTTGCATTGGCAAATTGTCAGCATAGACTTGCATTGACCCTTGGCCACCTAAGCAGTAATGTATTCGAGTCATGGAAGGTAAAGGTGTTTGATTTTTCTATGCATATTCCGAGGTAGGCAGCATGGCAACTCGCGCCAGAGACGAGTGGGAAGTCGTGTTGTTTATACACAGTAAGGCCGAGAATGGGTTGGATGCCCAGTGCAGCGCGCTCACGTGGGAACGCGGCTGGCGCACGGGCACATTGTATTAGGCGGTCGCGAAGTTGACCTCATTGACTGAACAGGCAACACGTCCAAGCTCGAGAGAAGGACGCACTCGCCATTTCGAGGCATGCACATGATTTGAACAGCGAGTCGTCTTCTCCGTGCTGTAGGGAGAAACACATGTCGGCACAATGAATACCATTGATGGTTCCGACCGTCACGTCAAGACAGAAGAAGGCATGGGACCACGACTGCTCAACTGGCACAATGACAACTGACTTTCGCAGCCCCGCCGCCGTCACTGCTTGCCATCGTCCTCGACACCAATCCACACGCGTGGGCCCATCTGTCCTCTACCCTCTCACTCTCTGCCGCCCTAGCCAACATCCTCGTCTTCATCAACGCCCACCTCGCATCGGGAAACGGAAACGAAGTTGCCGTGATAGCTTCCCATTCGCACAAGACGACCTTTCTGTACCCCACGCCCACCGACCCCCAGCCACAGTCGCGGCGCGGCGACACAAACGGCCATGTTCAGACGAATGGCCATGCAAAGGACAAGGAACACCACATGGCAGAGAGTGCCAACAAGTACCGGCCATTCGCTGTCGTAGAGAGCGCAATCCTACGTAACTTCGCCAAGTTGCTCAACGAGACAAAAGAGAGCCACCTGGAAGCAACGCCTACAACACTCATAGGCGGTGCTCTCTCCATGGCTCTCACTCACATCAACAAACAGACCATCCTCCATGCTCCCACGGCCGCATCCGCCGACAGTACCGCTCTTGCAGCACTCGCCGACTCTGAAAATACACACATCGACCGCGTTCCCCTCACTTCTCGCATCCTCATCGTCTCTGTATCCGGCGACCTTGCCAATCAGTACATACCCGTCATGAACTCTATATTCGCCGCACAACGAAAGCGGATACCCGTAGATATACTGAAACTGGCTGGCGACACTGTGCTATTGCAGCAAGCGAGCGATGCCACTGGAGGCGTATACATGAAACCCGACCGTCCAGAAGGTCTTCTACAGTATCTGATGATGGCATTCCTACCCGATGTAACAGCACGAACAAGCTTGATAGTCCCTAGCGCTGGCGGTGTCGATTTCCGTGCAGCATGTTTCTGCCACAGGAACGTCGTCGATATCGGCTTTGTCTGCAGTGTGTGCTTGAGCAGTAAGCTGAACCACACCTATTCCCCCACTCAACCGAATGCTAACTGCAAACAGTCTTCTGTAACCCACATCTTCCTGACAACCTCTGCATGACTTGCGGCTCCTACCTATCTCTACGCAGTGCTGTCATGAACCCGCCGGCGCTGATACCACGGAAAAAGAAGAAGAAGAAGAAAGCCGGTACTGACCCTGCAACACCAGGGGCAAATACTCCGGTAGGATCTGGCACTCCTCTTCACGCTTGAGATATCACCCGCGGATCTCGAAGCTCCTACATCAGATCTCATGATATACCGCGGTTTACCTTTCTCGGACATGTGTGCATATCTACTACAGTCCCTCGGCTCGTGGCGCAGGCTGGTTCAACCGAACGACGCAAATTTGCCCACGTTATGAAGAATGTGGAGACTATGACGGCAAGGCGTAATGAGCCACTAAAACGGCTGTACGACCCCCTTCCCCTTCGGATCGGAAACCCTGGCAGCATAATTTCTTCTCCGAGTCTACGCAAGCAGCCATGCAGTAGTACGCGCACATGTGGTCACATACAGGAACGGTCTCTCGGCGCTGTGTCCGACTGCTACGGCCCGCATCGCTTCTGCTGCCGTCGACACGGACGTGTCAACAACAATGCGTGCAACAGGAGCGTTCTAGTGATCACTGAGCCTTCCAGAGCGTCGGCCGAGCCGACAATATGGATAGAACTTTTGGCAACGGAGAGAGTCGGTGGAATCAGACAGGAGAACAATTCAAGATCAAGGGATGGAAACATCTCCGAGACAGTGCTTAGAGAAGTTCCTCGAATCACAACTCGTGAAGCCCCATTTGACAGCCTTGTGTCCATATCTCAACAGTCTCAGCCTATTCTCCTTGTCACTCACGTACCAATAGCCGTAATGTCGGTGCTTCTAGCCAGATCGCGTCCATGCCAACTGTCATGTAGAAATACTCATGTCAAACACATAGATAGGGCAGTGGCAGGGTCCGAATCTTCAGGCTAAGCATCGTTCTCACATGTACCTAGCTGCGGCATCGATCGGTGAGTCTCAGGGATAGCGGCAACTGGCGCAAACAAAAGCAACATAGATCAATGCAGGACAAACGATTGCGGTAGACGAGGCGAACAGTGTATCCAGCGCTATGGTGTGATGCTATTCTAGACGCGAACAGAAACATGGTGAGATGACGCCAGGGGTGAGGATCCCCGTTGGACCTGCATGGCGCATCTGAAGGTTGTTGGAGGCGGCTGCGGAGGAGTCGCGGGATGTGGGCAGAGTGGCCGTCACGGCTCGGCGTGGGATAGGAAAACGGCGACAGAGATAAGGGATCTCGAGGCCATTTCCGACGGCATCCGGGGGGAGGGGGGGCCAAGTTTGATCGACTTTCAAGTATAGCACTTACAAACTCTAACAGAGTGATCACACCACAAGACACGAGCTCAAGACCCCAAGATTCCCTATACAGTACTTGGGAATGACAGGCTGCATGGTGTCTCTAATGGCCATATCTACGCTAAGCACGCACCTTGCCAAATACGGGCTCGCTCGGCACCCGAAGATGTTAAGCCAGGGATGGCCTGGACTTGTTCTCAAACTCCAAGTATCCGGCGTAGCCTATCAGCCGCTCTCACGTTATCACTACCCTTGCTCCTACTCTTCTCCCAAGCTGTGAACAATGTTTTCGAATCATTTCGCTGATAGCGATTGAGCTGTGCTGAGGGGGCTCGATCGACGTATTGCCTGATGCGACTTCAGGGCTCCCATGGAGGCTAGTTGCCATCACAAGGCGAAGCGAACGAGTGATCACGTCGATCCAAAAGAGATACAGAGTCACAGAGCAGCCAAAGACTATCAAGACTGCTCCACTACATGGTGGAACCAAAAATGTGATCGCAGCCAGGCCTTGCGGCAACCCATCGTAGTGTCATCCCACATGTGTGGTTCGACAGCCGCAACAGGCTCAGCGCCGCGCCCCAAGTGTGGGCGGTACCCTGCAGTTTGGCATTTTGCTTAGCGACGGACTCGTAGTCGGACATTGGCTGACATGGCCTGGGTCCATTGCCTCTCATCCCGTCACCAGCTATCAAACACCCCACTGCCGTGGCGTTCGTGCATTCGGGAGAGGGGGATGTTCATGCCTGTTTGCTGGGAGATTATCAAAGCGGCATCGCCTATCCTGTAGCGGAAGCGATGAAGCTTTGATGCTCTTTCCTACGCTCAGCCTCCATATAGCTACCACAGACCCCTCGGTTGAGGTGTTGGTTCGTGAGCTTGTCAATCAAGCGACTCGCCTATCCTTATACTTAGCAACGCGTTTGCACATGCTCCTTATTTGACCGTTCCCAGCGGCGACCTTTTTTATTTTTTTGCTTGTTCAGTATTGGGGCGGACGCCAAGGGTCAACTGCAGACTTGGAGATCCCTGAACGTGTAGCGACCGACCAATCTTCACTTTCCCATCCGCCTGCACGCAATCCCTTCTCTCTCTCTACGACTCTCTAGAGTCCACATAATTACCTCGCATCTTTTCGGATTTGTAGCCAGGAACCGCGCATTGCCGATACATGACACATTCGAGTCCAACAAACATTTAATCGAAAGAGCGACGACCCGGGAAACGACAGGATGGATCCAGTATCTTCGGGCTTGGACCCCACACTCCCTCTGGAGACGTTTGGTAATACCACAGATCCCACGGGAGGCGATTCGAGGTTATACAATCTCAATGTCTTTTACAATGTGAGTCTGGCTACCAGAGACGGAACCGTAAGGTTTTAGTGGTAACGCGGGGCTAATGCCATGTTTCTCTAGCCCGGCGATATCGCTTGGATGATCACATCAACCGCCCTCGTGCTTCTTATGATACCGGGTGTAGGGTCAGTAATCCGACTCCACTTTGAAACTTTACAACCATGTACATGGGCCTAACGGAATTGCAGCTTCTTCTATTCCGGACTGGCACGAAGGAAGTCGGCGCTATCGCTACTATGGCTGTCTGTCATGGCGACTGCAGTCGTCTCTTTCCAATGGTTCTTCTGGGGTTACTCTCTAGCCTTTTCGCACAAGGCTGGAAAGTATATTGGTGCGCTGGATAACTTTGGCCTGATGAATGTGCTGGGTGCTCCTTCGGTGGGAAGCCCGCGTATTCCTGATCTCATGTTCTGTGTCTACCAGGGCATGTTTGCTGCTATCACGTATGTTTATCACACTTTGGCCCTCAAAACCTATGCTAATTGTAAACAGCGTTGCACTTGCCGTTGGAGCTGTTGCCGAGCGAGGACGCATGCTACCTTGCATCATCTACATGTTTGTCTGGACGACTATCATCTACGACCCCATTGCATGCTGGACCTGGAACTCATCTGGATGGGTCTTCCAAATGGGTGGCTTGGACTTTGCTGGCGGAACACCGGTTCACATTGCATCCGGATGTGCTGCCCTCGCCTACTCTTACATGCTTGGAAAGCGAAGTGGTCACGGTACCCAGGAACTCAACTACCGTCCCCACAACGTCACGCACATTGTTATCGGTACTGTATTCCTCTGGGTGGGGTGGTTCGGCTTCAACGCTGGTTCGGCTCTGTCTGCTAACCTACGCGCTATCATGGCTGCTGTATGCACCAATCTTGCTGCCTGTGTTGGTGGTATCACCTGGTGCCTAGTTGACTATCGTTTGGAACGCAAGTGGTCCACAGTTGGCTTCTGCTCCGGTGTTATCGCCGGTCTTGTCTGCATCACCCCTGGTTCTGGATATGTCCCTGCCTGGGCTGCTGTTGTTTTCGGTGTATGTGGTGGTGTTGCTTGCAACTACGCGACGAAGCTCAAGTATTTCCTCCGTTGCGATGATGCCCTCGATATCTTTGCTGTCCATGGCGTTGGTGGCTTCATCGGAAACATCCTCACTGCGTTTTTTGCTGCGTAAGTCATACACGACAATTTTCATTAATGAAAATTCGCGTTACTAACCATTATGCAGTGACTACATTGCGCATCTTGATGGTTACACTGTTATCGACGGTGGTTGGCTCAACCACCATTGGGTGCAACTTGGCTATCAACTTGCCGATTCTTTCACCGGCGGCGCCTACTCCTTCCTCGGGACCTGTCTTATCCTCGGAGCTCTTGACTTTGTTGGCAGATTCATCCCTGCCTTTAGGCTTCGTGCGACGGAAGAGGAAGAAGCTGCTGGTATTGATGACGTCGAGATTGGCGAGTTCGCGTACGACTACGTCGAGCTCACCCGTGAGGTCAAGATCCCTGATGACGACATCATCGACGAGGGCATGTCAACGCATTCGCTCGAAGGTCACGGCGCTGGCATGGCCATGACGAGCCACCACGAGAAGAACCAAGACTCTGTTGATTCGGCCAACCAGCTCGCTGAATGGGCACATCGTGCGTAAGAAGCTTGTAGCTTATATTTCAGTTTTTTTTCTCTCGCACCATATATCGCTTTATACCAATTTGTTTCAATAAAGTCTAGGCAAGCTTGACGCTCTGTACGTGTGTACGTAAGTGGTTATCGACGATGTAAATGATGGGATCAGACCTGGAAAGAGTACAGCGAACTCATTATCTGTTGGCCTCTTTACCACGGCTCTATGAATATGTAGAAATAATCCTCATTATGTTATAATCATGCGTGGTCTATTTCACTCTATCGCCTTTGACTATGAAGATCCATCCCCTGACTGTGTCTCGCGTCGACCGAACCCAGCAAACATCCAACGTACGTCTCAGGGATGCTCATAGTGCATAGCAATTTCTGTGGAACACCCCATCATTAGGAATATTCTTGTAAGCGTCACATCAATGCGATACTCCAAGCGCCATGGCTTTGAAAGTAGAAACGAACAGGTAAAATTCTTGGATTCTCATTGAGTCATGCTCGGAGGAAACTCCATCAAGAATCAGCTAAGACTTTCCACCTCTTATATGTCTTTCTTTGAACAATGAGTAAAAAAAAAATCTCGACCTAATAGTCCCAACTCACTATGCTCCGCTCCCTTGTGTGAAAGTGTGACCGTGTGAAGAAAGAAAAGTGACAAGAACGTCCTCGACTAAGCCAACTCATTCGAACATGGCCTCCCTTTGGCGCTGCGTCTTTTTCGCCCTGCCTTTCAGGTACAGTGCTATTTGGCTGGTTGATAAATCTGTCCCATATCCGGTAGCATCGGGATCGGCATTCTCAGGTGATTGTGGAGACCTCTAGCCCGCAGCTGCTCCAACACCGTTGGTGTCCATTGGGCTGCCTCCACCAGCGTTGGATCCGTTCGTTGGCCGTCTGCGTGCCCGGATAGCTTTCTTTCTTCGGTCCACTGGCGCACCCTTTCCGCCTTCTGCTACATCGACCATGTTGAGGTCGTCGTCGTCTGGCCGGTCTGCATCCTCATCATGTTCTTCCCAATATCTTCTTGTCTCGTCAAGCTCAGTAACGTCCGTGGGCCGCATCCGTAACCACTTCATCCGAGGCCCTGATCGTGCGCGCTCGCTGACTCGGAAGCCGTAGATGCGTGGTTCGTAGATGCTGCCTGTGCCGAGACCAGGCGCAAGGTTGTGCGGTGCGACGCCGTTTATGGAAGTGACATTTGAGGGTGTAGTATTCCGCGACTTGCCGTCTGCGCTTTGCGATTGTAATTGCTGTAGTGCATCGATAGTGTTTGACGTGTTGTTGCGCAGCCCACCACCGATGTCGAGGTCCGTAAAGGTCATGAAGAAGAGCGAAGGAAAGGTTGTGCCGAAGAAAGCACCGTCGACGGTTTGGAAGCGCGAGTTAGGCGGGGTATATACGTCTAGACAGGAAGGGCAGAACAGCTTGACGGTCTCGTGGCCAGGGCTATCGTTGAGGCCAACGGGGAGAACTTTGCAGGAGTTGCAGTTCACGCGCGGGCAGGTGCCAAAATGCTGAAGCTCGTACTTTTCAGCCATCTGCTGTATACCTGGTCTAGAGGTGATGTAGCGTTGATGTATGAGTCCGTAGAGGAGTTCAGCAGAGCTCTCTATCACGCTGAGGTCGGATGCTATGCGGAGATGTCTGCGGTCGCCTGCCCTTCGGTAGCCCGGTGCCCTCTCGTCGCCCAGTATCTCATCTTCTTCATCTTCCTCCTCCTCTTCCTCCTCGTCGTCCTCGTCGTCCTCGGGCTCCACGTCGAGTATCATCTCCAAAGCTTCCTTGTACATGGGTACCTGCGATTGCAGGCCCGTCAGGTTGAAATCATCTTCGATGAAGTCTTCCGACACCTCAGCGAAGTATTCGTGGCCCAAAAGACCGCAAAAGGACGCGATCCACGACTCGGTGACCTGCGAAGATGACGACATGCTGTCTTGGGTGTAGAGACGTCGAGACCGCTTTCTGGACGCGGCTCAGGTTATGACGCGCAGCCGCAATGCGTGCGTGATGCCAGAGACGAGGGGTTCGAAAATGCGAATGTGGGGGTAAACGTGTGTAGGCGTGACGGAAGCCAAAGGCGCCAGATCGTTCAAGATGGCTGTGGGTTAGGGTATATTTCTTTTGTGAAGCTGCACTTGCAGCTTTGTTATCGCATGTGTGTTGGCGTTGGGGTAGCGGGCAGGGAAGGGCTCGGCGAAAGTCGTGATCCAGGTGAGGCCGGTGGGGGGAGGGGTCGAGCGAGCGCAGAGTCTGGTGAGAGGGCGGTGGAGTGTCTTGCGCCGGTTCTACCTGGCTATCAGTACGGCTAGGCTTGAAGCGTCGCAGAGCTATGTTGCAAGTTGTGTTTTGGCAGATGAAGATCGCAGGTTGCCCTGGCCGAGCTTAGCGATTGGCACGTGATCAGGCCCGGCCCTGCGAACTTGCTAGGTATAGAGGTGAAGTACGATAGTTTCTGTTACCGATACCACGTGGATTCGGAATGAGATCAAGTATTACAATAACAACATAAATGTCTAACATATATCAGAAGAAACATCTTGGCTCAACAGCTACACATCAAAACAAATCTCTCAAAATCCTTGCCAGCTCGTCATTCTCATGTGAGAACCCATTCACAAACTCCCCATTTGAGCTGGGAAGTTCATTCGCTGTCCCTCCAAAGCCGTTGAGGTTGAAGATACCTCCGGCAGCCTCGAACAAGGTCGTCAGATCACTAGCCATTCCATGCGGTGTATCAAGATTAGACCCGTTACGGCCGTTTGAGAAGAGGGCTAGATCGTCCATCGAGTGACCTGCAAGACCTGCCATTGCAACAGCAGCCGATGAATGTGCGTCATGGGTGTCGTCGTTACGTATGACGAGTCCTAGACGGGGCCCGACTTCCTTGATCGTCTTGATAGTTCTCCAGAGACGTTTCGATACGTATGAATTTGACGATAGGCCACGGACGAGCTCGAGAGCCATGTAGAACTCGTCTCGGGACTGCTGACTGAATTCAGCTGGCGCATGGGCAACAGCTAGGAACAATACTGCCAGAGCCGAAATAAGGAAGTAGTTGAACATAGTCTGTTGACTTCTGTAGATGTCCGATGTTTGGTTGATATATGTCAGTATGCGAATCGTATCCTTGGCGACCTTGACTACAACGTGTGCAAATTCAAGATTCTCCATGATGGTAGTTGCGGTATGTAGTACTGGGCGGTAGATGAGTATTCGCATCTGGTTGGCTCGAAGGTAGAGCACGACCTGTAAACGGTGGACGACTCGTGCAGGAGGTTCGACCTGTCTACCGCTGTCCGGGTGAACGAACTTTAATGACTCCGGTATAGTACGGTGCCAGTTCAAAACCTGAAAGTCAAGGAAAGATATGTCATCCTTGTTGATCTTGTCCTGGTGTCCTACATCGGCGACAGACTTCCATACCTTCGAGCCGATGACCGAGTATGATATCATGGCGTTAAGATACGGCGTAGACTCGTGTGTAGATATGTCTGGCTTCGGCACATTAGTATCAATATCCGCGTCTTGCAGAGCAAAAGGCATCCCCGTGCCGAAGCTCCAACGACGATCGAGCACGTAGATTGTCCAGAAAGTCCTAATTGCTGCTGCTTGCTCTTCGGGATCGGGGAAGAGAGCCAAGTACGTATCGCGACGATGTAAGCCCAACTCTAGACAGTGTCGCGCAGCTAGGCCAATGACGCGCCAGGCCATAGCTTCATCGTCACGAGTGAAGTGATACATGGCCTACGTTTGTGAGCAAAGTCCAGTCACAAGAGAATCCGCTACTCACCGTCAGCACCAACAGGCTGATTCCATGGAGGCTGACAGGATCGGTCAAGGCCTTGTCCACGATCTTGTGTACATTCTCGAAGAGTCTCTCGCCCAAGGGGTCCTTTCCTCCGCCTTCGAGGATCAGTGTTATTGCGAGAACGAGCTTCAATACGCTAATCTGTTCATCGACCATTGCATCTGACCCAGGATACGAGCCTTGTATCAGACCCGATCTAGCCGCTGCTTCTACAAAGGTGAACAACATGTCGGCATAGCGTAACAATTTGTCCACTTCCAGAATAGGGTACATGGTGCCCATCTCTTCGTGCCAAACATGTACCAAGCGCATAGCCTCGTGCTTGGAGATGGACCATATCGGGTCCTTATCCGTATGCAAGGGGCGTTTTGGCACCATGGGGTGGAGTATTGGAGGGGACGCTCTTGGTGTTGCGTCGCGGGTCAAGATACCATCGTCTTCACCTTCCTCGCCCGCGTTTATGCCCATGGTCTTCAAGCTTGACCTGGCCACCCCAACATTGAATGCATTCGACGTCGGGCCGTGGAAACGAGGGTGTTTGCTGAAGGATTTGGATCGCGAACGGGCGGATTGGGGAGGTAACATGGGCGTCTGCTGGTAGTCAGGGTTGAATGGGGTGCCGATTGAGCCATTGCTCTGCACGTCGACCTGAGCCCGGAGCGCGTTGAGGTTCTGGAACAGGTCATCAACCTGCTGCTGGAGGGAAGTTATGTGTGTTGACATTTGCTTGAATTCGTCGCTGTCTTTGAACGAGTTGCAGCAGTTGGGCGCGTAGGCGCACTCCAGGTTGAGGTTCCCGCAACGTTGGCATGGTGTCTCGCCATTGCACTTGATCTTTCGTCTTTTGCATTCGTTGCACGCGATGCTTATGTATCTGTTGCCTAAACCAAGCATGCCAAATCAGTCTCTGGTCGCATGCCAGGTCGTGTATCAAGTCCACTCACGCTTCGCGCGCTGTGTGGGCGCGCCATTCTCGTTTTTCCGCTTCGAGTTACTGCTGGAGTCGTTCGCTGGACTCATCGTATCGCTCGCAGTATTTCTGTCCGCTGGCGATGTCGCGCTCATGGTTAATTCCGCCTGCGCGCCAGTGTTCCGCGACAGAAGTCGATGTGTGGAGCTGTCTGATGTCTCCGATGTCTGTGCTTTGCGGGGATGCCCGAAAGATCCGCTTAGCTTGAGTACCAAGTACGAGGGCGCTCGTCTTCTCCTGACTTGTGCTTTCGAGCCCTTACTTTCATTCGTTTTGTTGTTACAGTAATGCAGAAAGTATCCAAAGTGCTGGGGTAGCAAGCTATCAAGGTACAGTCAAAGAGACACGAACCGCCTTCAACTCATCAGCCTCGGTAGTGATCGAGGCATCACGTGGGCAAAGTTATGGCATCACCTTCGCGAGTATAGTCCACAAACTTGGACATGTTCATTTAGTAGCGCAAAAGGACTTTCAATCATCATCTAACCCAAATTCACCACCGATCAAATCAGTCAGCTTTGCCAAGTGCTCAAATACCTCACCATCCCGCCTAGCTACCCTCGTCGCTCTGAGAAGCAATGGGTACAGCCTGTGCAGATGCTTTCGGTGCTTGGATTTGACTCCCGGGGCATCAGGTATCGCCTGTGGCTCGCTCTTCAATTTCTCCAGTTGTTCCAGCACGAAAATCAGCTCACGCCTTTGCGACTCTGGTGCAGGCATGCGGCCGCGAAGTGGCTGGTCTGCGATATACGTCTTGAGCGGAAGTGCGCACCTTAGAATGAGATATGGAGCCGCAGCTTGAGCTAGCTTGATGCATTCCGGACTGCTATCGTGCAGGGAGACAAGGCGAAAGAGCTCGGAGAGACAGGCATAGCTCATGTCTGGTCGCCATGTGTAATCAAGCTCCGCAGTCTGTCCAAGGCGTATTTTGTAGAGCTCTTCGAGTGGCGAAGTGGCGGTCCCAGGCAGTTCTCCCGGTAGAGGGCTATGGGTTAAAGATGTGGAGAAGAGATTGCGAGCGTATGTACGTCGAAGACTATCTGGCAGCGAAGCCGAGCCGAGCGGTAGCGTGATGAGGTTGCGAAAGTGAGTGAAAGATTGTATGTCGAACTGCTCATCTTTCCAGAGCGAAGTCTGAGCACTAGGCAACGATTGCGCTCGCGTAATGCAGTAGGCGATGTCGACGAATGTGGTCCAAATATCTTTACTAGACTCAATATGTGGCAACACTGACTCAAGTATTGCTGTAGATGTCGCAGTGGCCTTTTGCCACAGAGTCGGTGCTCTGCCTTCTCGCTGCCACACATACTTTTCCTCTATCGGCCGTGCTAAGCAGGTAAGAGCAAATGACAGTGCATTGCTTGTATACATCTCTTTCACCCCAACATGTCTGATGGCGATGTCTTGCAGAAGCGTCATTGATGCTTTCGAAAGCGCTACAAAGGTCGGCCCGCGCTTCTCTGGGGACTCAGCCAAAGAGGTATACGGTAGCGCAACAAACCGGCCCAACAAACGTATTAGATACGACGGAATGTCAGTACCTTCTGTCTTGACTGTCGCCAAGCATTCCATGATCTGACTTTGAAGCGTCGTCATAGTATCCAGATCTGACGAGTAAGCGACTTCGTCTGAGTTGACAACGCAGGCTTCGAGACTCGTGAGCATAGAAGGCAAATCTTTGATAAGGAGTCCATCTGCGAGCCGATAGATTGCCTTGAAAGCCTCTGCATATGCTACAAAAGCGTCTTGGTTATCCTCTTCGTGTGTGTCTTGCCAAGCATCTGGAGTGGGAAAGTAGCTTCTCCACACTGCCGCAGTTTTGAGAAGAGGATCCGTGCCCAGCACATTGGCGTTTTCGGCCTGAAATAGGATACCAGTCATTGTACGAAATACCGAAGCTCCTAAGGCATGCGAGCGGTAATCGAAGTAGCGTTTCAAGAGTTCGAGTAGCTCTGACCATGCGTCACCGAGCTGGGACCTATCCAGCTTTTCCATGTAAAGCGTGTTGAGGACGGTAACGGTTTGGAGAACGGCTTTCGTAGTCTCATCCCATTCTTTCAGATCGTCTTTGCGTGGTCGTTGCTGTCTATTGTCGTTTTGGATGTCCAAATTGGTCTCTACCATACCGAACAATATAGTGCGAAGGCATAGTAACCACACTTCCGAAGAAAGTTGGTCCGAACAGTTTTCAAAGATCCTTTGTATCGTTTGTATTGAAGAATGTCGCACCTCCATACGTTCATCTGTTGTGATGGATGAGAGATTTAGCAAAACTTGAAGCCATAAAGCTGTAGTATTTCCTTCCTGTGGGCGCGTGTGTACATCTCGTTTAACTTGCTCCTTGTCACTGGCTTGAGAAACAACTTTCGTCAGTAAAGAGAGGTCGGTCCGTGACTGCAAGTAATCGGACACGTTCCAAAAGAAGGTAATCGCCTGTAGCAGGTTAGGCGTGTACCATGGGCTCGGAGCAGAGACTCACAGTGAGTGACATGTTCAAATCCTCTCGCTGGGAGCAGAACCTGCGCAAAAGTTCTAGGAGCGTCGAGAGGCAAGCATCCGGAACAGCGGTCATGAAGTCCGAACAAACGAGGTTGGCTGTTGCAAATGCGGATCGAGCAAGAGACCTTGAGATAACGTCTACAGTGGGATTAGTGCTTTTGCTGAGGTCTGAGGTATCGACACCTTTCATAGCACCCTGTTCTGGTGCTGCTTGATGAGTAAAGACGCTCATCAAGCTTTCGATGACAGAGGTCCAGCCAGCAACTAGCGACTCTCCACATTGCTCAATCACGTTTTTGAGTGCGTCAAGAGCTATCTGGTGAACGCGTATGTCCGTATCAGTGATCGTGTCTTTGCTGATACCATCATAGTGATGGAGGTCAGTAATCTGTTTTTGCAATGCAGCAAGTATGCGAGCTTGGATTTCTTCGCGCTGCTCATCGGACATGGAAAGCTCAGCAATCTCCCTGACCGTCCTAGCTAGAATATCGGCTGCCAGCAGCCTCGTAGATGTGGCTTTTCGACCGTCGGTAGAGTAACGCACAACTTCTCGAATCAGGATATCCCATCCACTTTCTGCGGGATCATATTGCGACAATCTGCTTTCGTTTAGCGAAGCCAACTCTCCGATTTTGTTCAATGCGAACGCCGAATCGCGGGAGTTTGCATCCGTGTTAAGAGATATTCCAGATACGCTACCAAGCCGCCGCTGATGCAAAATCTGGGGGCGGCCAGAAGTGATCGGCGTTCTTTGCCCGCTCTCTGATGGCGATACACCATTGAGGAGTGAGCAAAGAGCTTGCAATACCTCGGAGAAGGAATCGTTAGGAAAGTCCACAGTACTCTCGAAAAGCCTGCGAGCGGCGCTCTGCACAGCTGAGGTTTCTGCCTCCATCTTCTCCGTGTTGGTTTCCATATCCATACGATTTCCAGATACAGATGCACGACTGCTAGTCTGGCTGGACAAGGATAGCACTAGATCGGCTACTTGAAGCGTCTCAAAGACGATGGACCAGGCTGATTGCAGCGTCGGGCCCAACGCGATTGCCAAATTGAGCAGAGCCCGTAGACACAATAGATTGCGAGGTCCCAGTGTAGGTGCTGACACATCGTGTGAAGGGCGCCGGTTTTTATCAGTGGACATTGAGGAAGCTTGACTCACGAAGCTGTCTACGCTGAGCATCCCTCTTGCATTAGAGAAGATACCAGGCTTTTCACCCACAGGTGACGCAGCGTTAGCCAACAGCAAGTTTGACGGGACTGCTGCCTTGCCCATGGTTGTGAGAAACGCATCTCGTGGTGTTGAGAGTCGAAGAAGTCCAGCGACCTGGGTGAATTTCTGTATAGCTCGGACTAGAGCCCGATAATAGTCTGCGTCAAGCGTCGCATTGAGAAATGTTGAACAGGTTGCAAGGACTGCAGGCCAGCATTCCGTGACCAATTTCGTTGAGATTTGCACGTAGGGGTACGCTGCGTGATCGGTCAAGTCCAGAGGGTTGACTGGTATAGTCTTTTTGCGGAAAGAATGAGTTCTCGAAAGCCTTTGAACGTTTCGATCTGGGGATGCGTCTGTGTCGTTTTCGTTCGTCTCCTCGGCCTTGATTTTCTTCCGATTCCGATTTTCATGATGTACGGTCAGAGGAAGAACAAACTTCGCTAAGCTCTCGGAAATATTAGTGATGCAAGTTAGCACCAGACTATATATGTACGTTTCAGGTAATGCAGGCGGCTCGGTTTTGTCGAGATGTTCGATACAAGGAGTCTTGAGAGAGCTCCACTGCATGCTGATACCTGAAGGACGAACATTGTTGCTACTATCGCTCACGGAGCCCCCTATGACGCCGGCCAATGCACCCGCTTCTGCAACAGCTTGGTCTGACACCGCGGCACTACTGTCCTCAAAGCCAGCGGCAGCTGTCGAGTGTTGGCCTAAGCCAATGATTGCTGGTTTCTCGGTCGCAAGACGAACGAAAGCAGCTAGATTGTCTCCGAATATGTTCTTTTTTCCGTTTTCCGCATCGAAGAGCGCATATATTGCTAGAAGAAGTCTAGAATCAGCGTAGATGCTGCGGAACACTTCGAGGCAAAGAGCTCTTTTCCATGCCTGAGAAGCCTCGGGATCGAGCATGTGGTTCAGAAGACCAAGCGCAATCTCGCATTCGGATGGAAGCGTGTCAAGGTGATATCGGATGATGAGATGTAGTATCCGGATGATACGAACAGTCACTGCGAAGGACAGACGGTCAGATAGCGAGCGAATTATCAGCGGCATCAGCTGGGATCGCATGATGTGAATCTGCTCAAGATGGGTCGTCATGATCTTATTGTGATTTGATAAGATGGCCTCGATTAGTTCCAGGGTTGAGGTTGGCGGCAGAGAAGCGAATCGCATGAAGATGGGTTTCTCTCCTACGACGAGTGCAATAAGATCAGTAAACATCTAAGCTCGGTCAGTAAAGCCTCTAGCATGGAAGAGATTTACAGACCTTGTAGGCATCGTTCGCTGCCGGCCTGACGGATACTTGGCCATCGTCGCCTTTCACCTCTGTCACTGTAGGGATCTCTAGGGACTTCTCTTTGCGCTTGGTCAGTCTACAACACGCATGTACTCTTAGTTCGACAACATACCATCTTCTGATGCAACCCTGTCGAATACAACAATGACTAGTTGTTGCAATGTAGCTGCAGCCGTGTTGCTGACGGCGAAATTCTTCGCATTCTGAAGACTTGAACAGATTTGCAGAACAGCAGATAGTGACTCGCTCCGTATTTCCGCGGGGTAGTTCTGCACCAGTGAAGGCAACGCTTGCAGTATCTTTAACTGAATATCATGACCTGGTAGTGTTAGCTATATCAAAAGCGCTCGGTGATTGGCCTTCTTTACTTGATGCCACGGATCCCCGAAATGCTTCTAGTACTTCTGTCAGCCGTTCTCGCGGCAACGACCGCGAAACACATAATCTCTGGAGACATGAGATTCCTGTAGATGCAAATTTGGAGTTCTGAGTTCCACAGGCAATTAGAAAAGGCGAGATGAAATGAGGCCGTCGGGAGAGATCTTGACTGCGGTCAATATATGTGAAGCGACGGACATTGGGCTAGCTCACCCGCCGAAAGTTGAGCCTCGGAAGTATTAGAAAGAGACTTCAAGTCTTTCAAAGCTGTTTCTGCAGCATTTCGTAGTTCTGTGTTCTTGCGCTTTGCATCCTGTATGAGGTTGCCTAATTCAGCCGCCAAGATTTGAGCTGTCATTCTTTTGGTATGAGCCGGAGCATCTGGACGGTCAATGCAAGCAAAGGAGCGACTCGAGAAAGCGGTATTGTGTTGTTGTTGTTTGGTCGAATTGCTAGAGGCAACGTATAGTTGTCGCGTCTAAAGGCGACAGGCCAAGCGATGCACGCGTGCCAGGTGAGACCCTGGCACCTCGTCATAACCATCGACGCTAGTGAGGCCGACTGGCATCTTTGGACAAACATCGAACGCTTTGACACGCAGCAAGTTACAATTGCGCCTAACGTGCATCGGACACAGACATCAACTTGTGCGCTTTCCAGACTGGTCCTCGGTCCTACCCAAACCCCAGCACAGCCGCCGACAGTTCCCAGTATCGCATAGCGGGGTCCAGCCCACTTCCTCACGCGCGACTCTTGCATTCAGCCTTCACACATACTACCGCTACTATGGGCGCCAAAGTTCCGCGTAACTTCCGTTTGCTGGAAGAGTTGGAGAAGGGCGAGAAGGGTCTCGGTGCCGGTATGGTAGACTTGTGGTATAGCTATGGGTAGCAGGTTGCTGAGAGTTCACAGAGGCCTGTTCATATGGTCTTGACAACGGCGATGACCTCCTGATGTCCGACTGGAACGGTACTATACTTGGTCCACCACACGTATGCACTTCTGTCTACAACCAAGACACCGTATACTGAGCATATTCCAGAGCGTCCACGAGAACCGTATCTACAGCGTATCGATTCACTGCGGCCCAGACTACCCCGACACGCCTCCCGAGATCAAGTTCACATCCAAGATCAACCTGCCCTGCGTCAACCCTCAGAACGGAAAGGTGCGATGACCAAAGGCGTGGATGCTGTGTGCGTGCTAACAAGGCCAGGTCGATGCGTCAAAACTGCCATGCCTGGCTCAGTGGAAGCGGGACTTCACCATGGAGACGATACTGATAGAGCTTCGAAGGTTAGAACATCTCCAGATTCCTATTGCGCAAGACTGACTAGGTTCCAGGTACATGGCGCTGCCGCAGAACAAGAAGCTTCCCCAGCCGCCCGAGGGAGCCACATTCTAAGAACATCGAGCACACGGCCTGTACCAAGAAGGCAGTCTTGGGCAGGGTGAAATCAACACCATATATGACAGTATGGCACGCAGGCAGTCACAGTGCATGGAACGGAGTTATGGTCTGCTAGCCTAGCCATTCAGTCTGGCAAGATACCAGGATAATAAGCGGCATATTTCATCCTCCATCTTGCTTTTCCCTTATGCCCTGTGAATAAGTCAAGCGCAATCCTTGCAGAAACCCAAGTAATCTGTCAGGCTGAGGTACATCTAGACACTCAGCGGGCACAATCCTGTACTCGACTCTAAGACATGGTGCGCACGTGACGATGACATCGCAGTCCAAATATTTCGCGTTGCAGCTCAAGCTTCGCAACACCACCAAGCCATCTCATGCATGCCCCGATTCCTGCAGCCTAAAAAGTCGACACAGCATCGTGTAGCAGGTTAGAGTCTCAAACTTCCAAGACCTGCTTTCATCCTAACACAGCCATTAGCGATTGCTCTATATCGAGCTTTGCTGTCGCGATGTTCCTCCGCTCCACTCCCGGATGACGACCGCGTATCTTTGCGCAACGCTATTCGCAACAAGTTCCGACGGAACAGAAAGATACAGAGTCCGTATCAGTTGGGCCTAAGCTTCAAAGCCGGCTACCAGGTATGGTGTTCGTCATGTTAATTGTTTACACAATTAACTGACAATATGCAGACGCTTGACCATCTTGATGCCTCCGCTACTGGAGACGCAACCAGCACAAGCATTCTGACGCGGCTGGTTTCCCGACTACCCTGCGCTCTGACGCGTATTCTACCAATAAAGCCACGGCGAGAGACGCCGCCAGATCCCCTCAAAGAACGGCTCGCGCGCCTACCACCCGAGAAAGCTGTCCTCAATGTTCGTCCGTATGCGCAAACTTCTGGACCCCGCCACGTTCCCATACTCGCTTCTGCAAACGGCATACCCTTCCTCCGGCTCACAAAGCCCCAGCCTCCAGCCTTGAGTCAAGTCCTCCACCAGAGACTAGAGCGAAAAACGGAGCTCTTCGACACCATGGTTCTTCTGGACAATTGGTGGCTGCCCATATGTCAGCAGGAGGATAAGTGGGATGTGCTCATGAACGAGCAATTGAAGAAGCGCGAAGATACCGTGAGATGGACAGATGCGGTTCGGCTTTCGCAGTCGGAGAACCGGGAAGCATATGAAAAGGATTTGAAGAAGGACAGACAAATTACGAGGAAGATGCAAAGGATTGTAGACATGGAGACCGAACTTGCGCTGAAGGAGGGACAGACAATCATAAGAGGAAGGAGGAGGCATCCCATACGAGTCATCAAGCCAGAATCGTGAGTACAATGAACAGCATTGTGTTGCATCTGCGTGGTGTAACATGTGTATGACTTTTTATCTTATATCCGTGATACTTGCAGCGTACTGCATCAAGGAAGTTAAGCAAGATGGGTATATATGTGACCTGACATGTCGACGTCTTGTATCATCATGAGGTCGCTTCGATCTTCAACTTCCCTACATCCGCCTCGTCTACGTCGTCATCATCGTCGTCATCCACCTTTCCGACCAAGCCCTGCTGCCACAGCTCCTTGCCCGTCAACTTTTTTTCTTCCTTGACAATCCTCTTCTTCTTATCCTCCAGCTCCTTCTCCTCTTCCTTGCGCTTCTTCTCGTCCTCCATCTCTTTCCTGAACTTGTCTCTCCATGCGAGGAATGTTTCTCGATTGACGGCTTCACCTTGGAACTTCTTGTTCTCTTCTTCCTCAGCTTTGGCAGCGGCTATGTCGGCGAGGGCTTGTTTTGCATTCTGGCGCTCGGTTATGAGGAGCTCAGCGCTGTCTTTGAGGACGGTGACGAGGGTGAAGACCATGGCCATGCCGAGATTCTCTTCAATCGTCTCGGTGAGCGAGTCTAGCAGCCGCTGCTTGTCCTCTTGTATATCGAGGTAGGCGTGTCTGGGCGCGTTGGGTGGTTGTGTTACATCAAGCCTGGGCGCTTCGTCGGGGTAGTTGGGCGGGTAGGAAACATTCAGGATGATGACGGCTGGTGGTCGTGAGCTTGTGTTTGCCTGGAGAGACGGTGCAGTCGCATACGTTGCTCTTCTTCGCTCTCATCATCTTCGTGGCGGCCATCGTCGAGCGTTATTGCGATTCGGAACTCGGTCTCGGAAACATCTGCGGATTGTCACTAGACGGTCCGAAGATGTTGCGTAGAGTAGTACTACCTGTAATCTCGTCGGGGAAAATCGACTCGAGCACCTCCCGCTCTTCTTTCTGGTCTTCGATGCCCATTGTGTAAAGCCAAGTATGGAAACTGTGGGAGTGATGGCATCTGTAGAGACACTGAGGCTGCTTTGGCGGGGCGCGCTTTCCCCACGTTAGCTCCGTCCGACTGCCGATCTCAAGAAATAATTTTTGGTAACCAGGCTTCTGACGTCCGCAACCACAATACGCATAATCTCACATTATGGCGAAAACAAAACCTATCGATCGCAAGACGAAGAAGAGCGCAAAGAGCGGCGAGTCGAAAAAGTCGAAAGCATCACCAGAGGAACTTTTGATTCAAGCGGCTACACTCCTACAAACGTCACAACCCGAAGAAGCGCTCGTCGCCGCGCGAAGAGCCTTGAACCTACTCCAGCCCGGCACATCGAAGCCTTCTGCTGCAGCGCTGCCTGCACTGAACCTCCTCGGCGAGATCAATGTGGAATTGGGCGATCCAGATTCTGCGCGAGAAGCTTTTCAAGCGGCCATCGTAATCGATCCAGAAGGCGCAAACGACGGAGCCGAGAAGTTCCTATGGCTGGCACAACTGAATGAAGAGGGAGGCGCCGAGAGTGTGCGGTGGTTCGAAAAGGGCATTGAAGTGCTGAAGAAAGAGATCAGTGAACTAGAAGGGAAGCCGGCGAAGAACAATGAAGTTGAAGAGCTGCTGGAGGAGAAGAGGCAAAAGATCGCAAATTCGCTCTGTGGTATTGCTGAAGTCTACATGACAGATCTCTCTTGGGAAGAGGACGCCGAAGCGCGATGCAACGCCGCAGTCACCGAAGCGCTGCTTTTCGCACCTGAAAACCCAGAACCACTACAGACGCTCGCATCGATACGCATTTCGCAACTGAAGCCGGACGAAGCGAAATCTGCGCTGACAAGGAGTATGGACCTTTGGAAGGAACTCGATCCAGATGACCCCAAGGTTCCAGACTACTCGACCAGAATCAGTCTTTCCCGCCTGCTCATGGAGGCTGAAATGGAAGACGAAGCTATTGAAGTGTTGGAGCGGTTAGTGGGCGAGAACGATGGCAGCGTTGAGGCATGGTATCTGGGCGGATGGTGTCTTCACTTGCTGGCTGGGAAACAAAAGACTAAGGGAGAAGACAAGGTTGCAACATCTCTACTCCGTGCCAGTCGCGATTGGCTGGAGAATTGCCTCAAACTCTTCGCTATGCTGGAATACGAGGATGAGCGATTGAAGGAACACGCCGATGAGCTATTGAAGGAGCTCAACGACGTACTTGGCCCTTCCACTGGCGAGGAAGATGAAGAATGGGAAGATGACGTCGAGGAGGGGGACGACGACACTGATGATGATGATGAGACCATGGAAGGCACGTGATTCCGAGTATACGTGATGTTGATGGAGTCCGATGGTGACGGCTGTTCGACTAAGCCGCGATGAGGAGACCCCTGGGTCAGCAAGAAGTTGGAAAGCGGCTCCGATGGTAATGAGACCGAGATTGGGGAAATTGGGCAGCAACGTTGAATTTTGACGACTGGAGTAACACAGGCTGATTATGTCTGGGATATGTCAGTGTGGTACAGGCTGGTCTAGCAGCTCTTAGACGTCTTCACATGTACTGTAGATTTTTCTTGATACCCAGCGTGCACGGATGGATAGCAAGAAGCGCTACTTGAGGCTATGGACATTACCCAACCCCAAGCAGTTGGCACAGCGTGGACGGTCCCTGCATGTAGGATGCCGCCGCGAACCCACGATGGGCGCTAGGATGCTGTCAGTTTTGCCGTGACAGCTCCTGAATAGACGAAGCCACACGCCAATCATTCCCCACTCTGCATGCTACCGCGTTCGCGTTCGTGTCCCGCCTCGAGCTGCTGAACAGAGCGGGCGTCGGCGACTTGGTCAGGATCTGTGTGTAGGACGAGATGACTTTGCCCGTGCCTGCAAGCCCGCATGTGGACGGTCTGCGCCTGTCGCTTGCAGGGAAGCAAGCCCATTGGCGAGGGGAAGCTGAGGGTGTAACACCAAGTTGCGCCGATGCCATGAGACAGGACCGTTCTTGGCAGCGAACTCGACGTCGCCGGCGCCCCAACGCCACGAATGATCAATCATGCACATCGAGACCGAGACGGCCCTTGGAACTTGCCGCAAAGTCAAAGTGACGCTGCGCCATCGCCATCGCCCGCCGACGTCGTGCCTTTAGAGCGCCAAAACCAAGTCGCGCCTTTCGGCCGTCCCTCGCGCCTGCTCCGACAGATGAACGAGCCGCCCCACACTCGTACACATCGCATTCGACGAAGAGTGCGTCGCAAACCCTCGGCCGCAGCTGAGGCCTCATCCAATTCCAGCCCGGGCATGCCCTTGGAGAAGAGGCACCGCGACCCCGAATGATCTGGTATCTTCTCTATCCGCTGCGTGGGTGAGTAGCCGCCCTGCGACGAGCACGCGTCCGATGCGGGTGCCCATGGATGATGCTAAACGGCAATATGTAGTACCACTGAACCACCACGGCTATCCACCTCGCACCCCATCCGACGGGCGTTCCAGGCCCACGGCACGGCAACTGCACGGCATTGGCTGCTCTCCATCGTCCTGACCATTACCATATCCGTCCTCCTCTGTTACCAGGCGGTTTTCCAGGCCGACAGCTCTGCCGCCGCCGCTCTACGCAACCTCCCCAAGCATGTCTGGACATCGACCACCGAGGTCGAGGGCGGGCGACCTGCCGACGTCGTAGTGCGTCAGGTCTGGGTTCATGGAGACTATATGAACGCAATTGCCCTACCTGTGTTGCGCGAGGCAATGCATGTCCAGGAAGTCCTCATCAACGGTGGCTTCGATACAAGAGAAGGCGCTGCATACGACGACCAGCACATGCTCGCCCGCCATGGCCCAGGCTGCGTTGTAGCACCACCGGGAGAGAAGTGGGGTTGGCATTCGCCGTTGATGTACTGGGACTGCTCTTTGAGCGCGCTGGAGAAGGACCCCGACCTGCTCGGAACCATCAACGCTCATGCTCGAATACGCTCGCCACTCAACGTCACGCTGCGACCGAGCACCGTTTTTGCCGGCAAGTCCTTCTCCAACACCAAGCTTCGCGCTGCAGATGCCTTGGTCATCACGCTGTTTGACCAGACCAATTCGAGCCTGGGAGATGCATGGGACGCAAGGTCGCGCCTTCTAGCGGAAAAGCTATCCCCGGACTGGACCATCTTCCCGCCTGATGGCCAGGTAGGGCGAAGCCGACTCTATGAATTCCGTTTCAAGCCAATGACCCTGAATGACGACTTGTTCCTCGCGGCATCCTACATGGTGACCGCTGCCTATGTCATATGGAGGATGATGCAGCTGCGAGCAGTCAAAAGTTGGTTTGGCCTGCTTGTAACGATATGTGTCAAGGTGAGTTCAGTCTCATAAGGCGCGGGTGCGATTGCTAACCACTGACTAGATGACTATATGCGTGATTGCAAGTTTTACTCTCTGTACCTACCTTGGAATCGATTTAGCACGGATACCCCGGCCATGGTTTCCTGGAGTTGTTTTTTGTTTCGGGTTAGGAAATATGTACGTACGGTTGCGGCTTCACGTTCGATTTGGCTAACGGTACTAGATTTCGTCTGATTAATGTCGTCCTAGAGACACCCCCCGAGATGCCTCCCCAACAGCGAATCGGAAATGCGCTAGGAGAAGTCGGTCACTTGTCCCTTGCCATCGCCTTTCAAAATCTCGCCCTATTGTACATTTGTTCTCGGCTCGTTTCACCTTGGGTAGCTGACTTTTGCGTCTTCGCTGCCGTTACACTTGTATTCGACCTCGTTTTCCATCTGACCTTCTTTGTCGCAGTCTTGAGTGTGGACGTGCAAAGAATGGAGCTTTCGGACTCGCTGGAGCGCGAGGATCTCAACCAAAGTAATAAGAAGAACCGAGCAGAACGACAATCCTGGCTCGGGGCACTGTTTGAGGGTACTCTGCCACTAAGCACGAGATTTGCCGGGACTGTAGCCATTTGTTCCATTATTCTCGCTATCAACTGGCACTTTTTCGACAGCGATGGCAGGCAGCTGTCTCTCGATACACTTCGTCGGAACCTCACGTCCAGAAAACGCAGACGCGCCACTGATACATGGAGTCCACCACCAATCAATCAGGCTAGGACCCCCGCTGATTGGCTAAGAATCCAAGACCACAACACTGCCCGGGAACTGTTTGGCTTTATCAAGCCCGATGCTCCGAGTTTTGTAGCTCGTATCCATGACCCCATCCTGGTTGTTGCCAAGGGGGCGTATGGACGCGACCGACCCCAGCCACCATTGTCTTTCATGGATGGCCTCCGACGCTTTGCGCGTGGACATGCGTTCCCAGCAGCCTTGATCGTTGTTACCCTTATTGCGGCTGTAACACTGTTCATGAACTACCTTCTTTGGAGTGGACTTCCGAAGACTGCTGAAGAGAGCGAAGAGGACGAAGAAGTCACACTGTCGATCAAGACGTTACCAACGCCGCAGAACCTGGACGTTGTGCACTTGACTTCCTGTTCAAAAGGCCATCTCGCTAGTATATCTCTTGACAGGAGTACTGCGCTATGGCTACACGGTCGTGGAGGATATCTGCACACTACGCTGCAGACAGCATCAATGAAACCAAAGCTTTGGCCCATTTACGCTACCGCCATGGATGACGGTGGCAACATACTTGCGCTCTGTGCAGAGAGCGGTCAAATCGGCTTATGGGACATCCCTGCATCACGTTTCCTCATGTTTCCAAAAATCGACATCCGCGGACAGGCGCCCATTTTATTTACCTTTGTCTACCTCAAAACACGCCTGGATGTTGAAAAGCTCTACCTCATCATCGTCAGCCGGGACGGGCATCTAACGAAGCTCGAAGCACGTACAGGCATCCACTACACTAGACGCGTATCATCCAGTCCCATCGCCTGTACCGCAACATACACCTCAGTTCATGGAGACACAAGCATTGTTTTTGTGACAAAACCCGGGGAAGTACACATCTTACCGCTGACAGAGGACAACAACATAATGTCTGAAGTAGTCGCTGGTCTTGACCCGGGGCCACCTCCAGGCAGCAACCCTGCGAAGATTCGATGCATAGAGGCAGTTCCCAGCCTAGGTCTTATTTTCGCGCTGCGTGACGAGGAGGCTGAAATCTTTGACTTTACTAGTCGAGCTCTTGTGCACGCCTTCCAGATCGGCCACATCAAGCCGCATTCATTCAGGGTCCTGTATCCTATGCGACGAATGTGTCAATGTGGAGCCCCAACAGTGAACTCCCTTGCTGTGGCATATACGGAATTAGACACTGGCCACATGATCATGCAAAATTTCTCCCTCGACGACAATACGTCGTCACAGATATGTCTCGGAAAGCCATTGGACAGGGAGAAGCACCGATGTCGGGGGCTCGATCAAGCAAAGGAGGCAGTGCATTACGTCGAGCCTGCCGGCGTGTGGGAGTCGACGGATGCACTCAGTGTTGTAGGGATCAGGAGATATGCGCAATCACCCACACCATCGTCAACGGCTTCAGGCGCTGACGATAGTAATCAAGGTGTTGATCCATCCGCACTTGCATCGGCGCTCAAGCAGCGAGCTCAGATCCAAGGCAATCTGAACCCATCCAAATCTCTTGAGACGTCGTTCGCCAAGGGTAATCAGAGAAGTCACGCTCCTGGCGACGTTGATACGTGGGAGGCGTGGACACTATCCAGCACAGGGGAGTTTCGCTGTAGGCCGCTTGTTCCTGATAACCTCGATGGCACAACGGAGGGCTCGTACGAAGACGAGCTTTTCGTGGCAGCTCCTGGTCCGATGGCCAGACTTGGCAAGCGCAGCGTCGTGGTAGGGTTCGGCAATACTGTCAAGGTCATCACTCTGGGCAAGGAATCATTCGATGGGTTGACAAATCTGCAGAGCAGTGCTATGGATATTGGCCTTGGATCATACAAGTGGAGAGCCCGCAAGGGCACTGGCAGGAAAGTGCAATGAGGGCTTGTATATGTTGGGCGCAACGGTATGGGCGGAATGAGTGTTGTCTAGGATGAGGTTCAGCTTTGGTGTTTAGACTACGGATATACCCTATGCGCAGCAAGCGCGGCGTTTTCAGTGAGGTTCTTTTGGCCTCGACCTTGAGCAAAGAGATTTAGCAATAAACAAGATGACAGTTTGCAGCGACTGCCGCGTTTCACCTCGACGTCATGGACCACCAACATGTACATCAACATGTGCTATCCCTCCATCAAGCAGGTGGTTTGCCGACACCCAATCGGCGGTATAAAACGCACCCACAGGTGGCATAGTGACATTGTAAGCCCCGCAGCAGACGTCGCCATGCATAGACAGCCACAAGTTGCACATACCAAGCCGGGTATCCGCCTTAGCTGACGGCAGTCGTGGGCAGGACAGGCTATCGAGTGTAGCGTAGACGAGCTGGATCAGGTTGGGTTGGGAATGCAGGTTCAGATTGCATTGATGGCCGCGCACGAAGACGAGGGACGTCATGTGGCTGAGGCAGTTGCACAGGGAAAGGGTCTGTGGCGCTTTGCGGGGCCAGGACAGGGGAAGAGAGCGCTTGAGAAAAGGGCCCACGCGACCCCCGTGGGTGTCGATCGAATCGGCACATGCTCTGCCTGCACCCTTCGTCCATACAAGACACCTTGACCGCCCGACAAGCCGAATCCTCTTCTTTTTGCTTTTTTTCTCTCGAGCGGAAGCATAGCTATCCTCAATTGGTACGTCATGCAGCCAGTCCATTGCGACTGCTGTCTGTTTGGGACTCGCCCTTTCACATGCGACGGAAGGATCTCTCCATGTCTTCTTAACTCTCCTGCCGCACAGCCAGCACCACAACACACCAAGGAACTAACCATGGAGTAGTGTCAAGACATCATTATGAGCAAAGCACAATCACCGTACGACTCTCTCCGGAACATACCGCAGTACTACGACAACTCCGACTCGCACAACTCTGCGCTCAACCTCATACTCGCGCTACGGCCAGAATGGCGGGAGTCTCAGGATACAATTGAGTTTGTGAGGTTCACCGACGGCATTACGAACACGGTATGCATATGCTAGCAGTGCTCTGCTGGCGACGGCCCCCCCCCCCCCCCTTTCTGTACGCAACAGCTAAGACGACGGATAGCTTCTGAAAGCGGTGAACAAGCTGCCCGGTCTCTCCAAAGTCGAGGTTGATGACGATGCGATTCTGCTGCGCGCATATGGAAAGGGAACAGACGTCCTGATAGACCGCGAGAGTAGGTGTCCATCCGCAACACCCATTACCGAAACTAAACAAGTTCGCAGAGGAAACTCGCTCCCACTCGCTCCTCGCACGCCACAACCTCGCACCGTCTCTGTACGCCCGGTTTGAAAATGGTCTCCTATACAAGTACATTCAAGGCAGTGTGTGTACGCCCGAAGATCTGCGTCGGCCAGAAGTATGGCGAGGGGTAGCTCAAAGGCTGGGGGAATGGCATGCCACATTACCTATATCGAGTATTAGCAGCACATGTCCTGCGCCCGCACAACTCACTTCACACAACAACAAGCGTGCGTCTCTGGCGGCCATGGCCACACTCACGCCAGGCAAGCCCATCCCGAATGTGTGGACTACTATGCAGAAATGGATCCTTGCGCTGCCGACAAGCACCACCGCGCAGTCGGAAAGGAGAGACCAGCTGATGCAAGAACTCGAAAGCTTAGTTGAGTTGCTAGGTGACACGCCTGGTGTTGGTGGCTCCAATCCGTTTGTCTTCGCCCATTGCGACCTACTATCAGGCAACGTGATCATCGAGCCCTCGCCTTCGTCTGCTGCTGCTTCGCGCCGCTCTAGTGTCTCGAGCGCTTCAGACGAGCCCGAGACCGCAGCTGCTACAGTGTCCTTTATCGACTACGAGTATGCTACGCCTGCTCCTGCTTCATTTGACATTGCAAACCACTTTGCCGAATGGGGCGGTTTCGACTGCGATTACAGCGCCATGCCCACACGCACCATTCGCCGCGCTTTTCTCCGCGAGTATCTCCGCAGCTTCAACGCCCACCAAAACAAGTCGTACAACGAGGAAGAGCTGCAGGAGCTTTTCGACCAGGTCGATCGTTTCCGCGGCATTCCTGGCTTCTACTGGGGTATTTGGGCGTTGATTCAGGCTCAGATCTCTCTGATCGAGTTCGATTATGCGAGCTATGCTGAAATTCGATTAGGCGAGTACTTTGCATGGAAGAAGACACTTGACGGTAGCAAGGAAACGGAAAATGAACGCATGATACAGAGAGAGAAGATTTGGGCGCAGGAAGAGTAGAGAAGGACTGTCGATAGACATGCACTGCACTGCGAAGGCTTTAAAGAGTGGAAAAAGCTAACACAGCTGAACATTCAACATGGGGTCTTGTTCATAGGGCGCTGAGGCGCTTCTTTTCTTTTTCTTGTTCGCTATCAGCTAGAGCACTCACCTTGTTCACTGTTTCACCACCCGCTTAGTACGTTTAATACCAATCGACAGCACATTCGTTATGTTATTGATATCCAGACCGTCGTCGCATGCATCGACAAATCAGCACACTGAACAATAAATTGAATGGTTTTTTTACTCGGACTTTGCAGAGGCAGAAGAGGCAGAGGTGCACGAAGACCGTTGTGTAGCGAGAGATGATAACCATACCCGTAAAACGGAGTGCAGGCCCACCAAGAAGCGTTCTCTTTTCATTCCCGCCGATACTTGGGATTCTGTCTTCACACTCTTCTACAGACAGACTGTATGGCTCCCACAGTACACTGTGCGTAGGGCGTCTTCTCTCTTCCTTCTCCTTAAACATGAGCGCTCCCTGTACTATGTCTCTTGTTTCCTCCACATCAAGCTTCCATCTCGTATCGGTGGCTTCGTGGAACACAATTATGCAAACGTGCTTGTATGCCTGAAACACCATGCCCATGTGCCTTCGTATCCTTGTGTAAAAAGGCGCTGGGGAGAATACACCGGACTATCGCGGGTCTTGCAATCGTCACCTCAAACTAGAGATAGTCAGCAACCGCCCCTTCCCGACGTAGCTCCTATGTACGTACCATCCAAGTAATCCGCCGCAATCAACAGCTCCAAGCAGAGTTCAGGCGGAATATCCATGTCCGAGACATCTTTACTTTCAGCGTTCTTTTGGTTGTAGTAGAGGTATTCGCACACTTTCTCCAAAACTACGCCACTACGTTGTATTAGTTAGGATTTCCATGCATATCTCGTTTGTTGAGGCTATGGTAATCGGCCAAGGAACGCGTCCGGGGAAACGTACTTAATCGTAGCTAGGTGGACGGTGTTCTCCTCGTTTTCCTTGAAGCCGGCTGAGGTAGATCGTTAGCTTGTGATGTGGTGTACATGTGAGGTGGATATGTTTACACAGCGGATCCAGTGCCTTCTTAATCGTCCCTGCTATGCATGCTGCTGAACGGAGGATCTTGAACTCGAAGCCGTCGTTAGAGACCAGAGTGACGTACTTCGTTGATTTTTCGTCAGCCATTATTGTCTGTAATGTATGCTGGGACTCTGTTTAGCGCCGGAGATAGTTGGAGTGTGATATGTCGAGTGGAAGATGTGGTGTGTGACGTTGCGCAAGAGAAATGGTGGGTTCGCGGGGAAGTTGTGGAGGCGCGCGCTGTCACGTTTTCTCGCGCGGGCAGAACATGGCTTACATCATCTACTTTTGTATCTCCCTTCTAGCTTGTTCGTTGGAAGGCCATTAGAATACAACCATTGCGATTGCTTCTGAAACGAAAACTGTGTCTCGGGTACCTCTCTCCCCTGACCAACGTCTCGACTGCAGTCCAGGACCGAAAAGTACCAAACCGACCATGGCAAGTCGCCCAAAACACGTCCTCATCACGGGCGGTAGCCGAGGCATCGGTCTCGCAATCGCGCAATTATTCTCCAAGAACGCATACCGCTGCACCCTGATCTCTCGCTCAGAAGAAAATCTAAAAAAGGCTCTAGCAGGCTTATCGCCTTTGTCGTCTTCCGGACTCCAAGCCTCACCTGACGATAGTGAGGCGTCCAGACTATCCGGAACATCGAGCTCGCCATACCAACATGGACATATAGCTGGAGACATATCTAAAGGCTCGAACTTTTGGTCGCTGAGTCCCTCTTGCCAATTTGCTGCTCGTCTTCCCCGACCTGACACGCGCAAGTATCCTACTCACCCCTCACACATCGACGTAGTAGTGAATTGTGCCGGTGTAACGCAGGCAAAGCTATTCTCTGCATTGGATGAAGGCCAAATTGATAACATCGTCAAAACCAATCTAACTTCTGTGATGCAGGGGACGAAATTCCTCTTACGGTACTGCAACCCACTCAATAGCTGTGTAAATGCGCACGCTGGCTCCCTTATTTACGTGTATATGTGCTGACCATATTAATTTTTGCACAGAAATGGCTACCTGGGAGGCAGGACTAAGGAAGACGCTGATGTCCCAATCATCATTAATGTCAGCTCGCTGCTGGGCCTGCAAGGTGGTTATGGGGCCGTTGCATACGCAGCATCGAAAGCGGGAGTATTGGGTTTCACTCGCGCTCTGGCCACCGAGTATGCCAGTCACAAAGTCCGCGTCAATGCCATTGTACCTGGATACGTGGAAACGGATATGACAAAAGGTGCGTCGAATCATATGGTGATGCAAGATGATCTTTTCTTGACGATCAATAGACTTGAATGCCTCTGAGCTTCAACATCGTATACCGTTGAATCGTTTTGGCAAACCGGATGAAATTGCTCACGCAGCACTGTTTCTCGCTGAAAACAAATATGCACACAATTGTGTATTGAATCTAGATGGCGGCTTATCTGCCGTCTAAGTCATTTACTACTACAATGTTTGAGATCTTCCCAATGAGTTGCCATTCCGGCCTTGCAAGACGGCCTGGTGGCTTTCTCCAGACGTGTTTCCTTCCACCAAATGCTCCTTAGACTGGGGTATGCCTATGAATCCAGAAGACGTCCATGGCGACGACTCCAAATGGCTGGCTGATGTATAGTACAAGAAAAGAAATCTATATGCTGCAAGCGCATCGAATACCGAGCCGTTGTTCCAGGTGCAATGGACATAAGCAATCAGGCTCCAACGCTTATGATCCAACGGCAAGAAAAAAAGAGTGAAGTATATCGTATACTTTAGTAATCGCCAATAGAGCCAACGACGAGACGTAAGATGATGGTTCGCTGACTTGCAGCCAGCAATCAAGCTTGTCGCCAAGTCGTTCAGTCATCATCAATGACAATCGCTCCGTCATTCTTGTCGTCTTCGATAGTGATATGGCCATCGTCTTTCTTTTGTGACTCCTCGATGACCTTACCCTTCTTCCGGACGAGCTCATCCTGGAGACCTGCTTCGCTGGCTGTGCGCTTCGCAGCACCGTTCGTGTTTCCATTGCTGATATCCTTGACATCACCGTTCAGAACGGTGCCGTTGACAGTCGCATGGTCATTGGTCTCTGGTATAGATATCTTGGGCTTTGTCGCAATCTTGACCTCATCCGGTAACCTGAGTGGGTTTGCGTTCTCGGTGAAATCTTGGTGTATCACAGAAAATACCAAATCAACCTTTCCATCTTCTTCCGAATCGTCGGAGATTGTGAGGAAGGTGTCGCCGTTAAGGCCGAGTTCCTCGAATGTCTTGTCGAGATGCATGTCCTCGTCGACATCGTAGAGGATATCCGAATCTCGTTTGACGCTGAATTCTTCTCCATAGCCCAGCTGTTTCTTCAGAATGATATTGACCAGATCGCTCAGTTTCGCACGCGGTAGATCGACATGCAGCGTGGCATAGCATACACCGCAAGTTGCACAGCGGGGATTTGGTGGTCGTAGTGACTCGCTTGAGACGACGCGCTCGGTGCTACGGGTGAGGAAGACCATCTTGGCTTTGTCGAGCTGTTCGCGCATGACTTTGAAAGCTTGTAGAACGCAGAGACTGGCAGTCATGGCGTTTGTAGTCGCAATCGCGGGAATAATGTTGCCAGCCATTTCTGCATCTTGTTAGCAGCCGTTCCGACAGTGTACATGGTTCCCCTACGCTTGATGTCAAATTTGGACCGCATTTCTATGCCAAAGATATGTGAGCGCAGGTTTGCACTTGCGACGACAAAGTCCAGCGTGTCCACGTCGTCCTTGTCGAAGCTGAGAATAGGAACCGAGTTCCCAACATCAGCGTTTGCGCGCGTCTCTTCCAGCCGAGTACTGAGTCGCTTGATGCTGTCCACGAAGACGGCGAAATTCTCTGCTACATTCCACGTGACTTGGTCTTGCTGTGCGATTCCTGTACCGGCACCCAACGATTCCTGCATAAGCGTGTCGTAGTCCAATGCCTCGGGCGCTTTCCTAGTCTTCCACATGTCTTCCATGCTCCGTAACCGCTCGATATCCTCGTGGAAAACCTTGTCGAAAACCAGTCGCGGGAAGTCGTGGGAGCCCATGGAATCGCGAATTCGCTTCAGCGCTTGTGCTTCCTTTCGTAGGTTTGCGACTTCGCTGGCATTATCGGCATATTCGCTATGGTCTAGCTCGGGCGCTTCGTCTTCTGAGGTGCCAAAGATCTCGGCGAAGAGATATGACTTGGCCCATACTATGCAGTGGATGGGTTGCGAGGGCGTGCTTCGGATGGTGCATACGGGAAACGACTTGGGGGCGTCTTTGGGCGTGCAATCGTAGCATTCGGTTTCGCCCTGTAGTAAAGTCAGCATAGGAGCTTGACAAGGTATCTGAGTGGTGTTGCGCACCCGCTTGATAACCTGAACTTGGCCGTTGAAGCCAGTGGTGCCACTCTCAATCAGCGGGACGTTGGCCGCGAGACACATCTTGTTGACATGTCGCCGCGCGTCCAGATTGTCCAGCGCATTGAAGACGAGGCCGAAGCTCTGGAACCAGGCGACACTGAACTGGCCATCCTTGATGTTGTCGTGGTACGCTACGATGCTGACGTTGGGGTTGAACTTGCCGGCCGACTCTTTCGCAACCTGTCAGGCAGTTAGCGCAAGGCGGGAGACGGCGGCGCGAGCAGGACCATTGCCGTACCAATGCTTTGGACTTCTTGATATGCTCGTTGCGGAACAGGAACTGGCGGTTGAGGTTGCTGAGGTCGATGGTGTCGAGGTCTACAATGTGAATTTCGCCGAAGCCGGTGAGAACGAGGTTCTTGAGCAGTTCGCAGCCGATGCCGCCAGCTCCTACCATCAAGACGCGTGCCTGCATGTGATTAGCGACTGGCACATGGCATGTTTGCGCGTGGTGCGAACTACCTCTCTGATGCGCTGATGCAGCGTGCCACCGAGGCTCTGCCGAGCAAACCTGTCGCGTGCCATTGCGGGTTCGGGGGTGGAGATGGGCGAAAACGAAGTCGTGTTGTGGGCGAGGCTACGACATGCGAAACTTGGACAGCTGCCGTCTCGAGAGAAAGGCGACAGGTGAGAGACGTCAGTGCAGCTGGGTAGCGCCGCTCCACTGGGCCTGCGCCGCTTGCCTTCAGCCTCCGAAGCTTGGCACCTAAACGAGCGCCCTACGAGTGGATCGTCGACCTTGAACGCGCCGGGACACCAAAAACTGGCTTCCCACCATAATCATGTCCGACGACGAAGTCGACCTGGAGCTGCTAGACCTCATGCGGAAGCATTGGGGCGGTGGTGCCAAAGACCAAGGTCCACCAGAAACAAAAGTCCTGGAAAATGCCCACTTCATCTGCGATAATAGCATGGACGTTGCTCTCGATATGCGATCTACCAAAGTCGCCGCACAGCTTGTTTTTGACGAGATGGAGAAGCGCAACTACACAACCAAGACCTGGTCGGAGCATGAGCTACACCCCAAAGCAAAAGACGAGACCACTGTAAACTTCATCTTCACCATGGACCTCCTAAACTTTAGCTTCTGGAGCGACAAGAACGACGAGGAGCGCTTCGCCGTAGTGTACAAGGGAAAGAGATGGACGGGATATTGGAGTCTGGTTGCAATATTACAACGAGCCTTGGAACAAGACATCCCAATCACTACTCCAGCTTTCTGGGTTGACCAGGAACAATGTTCAGACCAAGTCCTGCGAACCATCTTCACTTCTGGTACCGACGAGGAGATCCCCATGTTCGAGCAGAGGGTGCGATGCCTTAGAGAAGCCGGACAAATTCTAGAGGAGGTGCGTTTGTTGTAGATCACCATCACACCCACAAACAGTTTTATTTATGATTAACTTCGCAGGAATTTGATGGCAGTGTAACCACACTCATTGAAGACGCGAACAACTCTGCAGCCGGTCTTGTGAACCTACTCGCTGAAAAGTTTAATTGCTTCAGGGATGAAGGCAGATTTGAGAATAAGAAGGTGCGCTTTTTGAAGCGAGCCCAGATCTTCGTTGCAGACCTATGGGCTGCGTTCGACGGTGAGAGCTATGGCGAGTTCGATGACATTGACAAGATTACCATCTTCGCAGGTATGGTTAAATATTATCTATGGTCGTAGTCCAGACTAACTGGCGCTTCTACAGATTACCGCATTCCACAGATGCTACATTCATTAGGCATAATCTGGTACTGCCCGTCTCTCGAGAATAAGATACGCCGTCAGGGAATCATCGAATCTGGCCACTCTTGGGAGATGCAGATACGGGGTTGTAGCATCTGGGCTGCAGAGCTCCTTCGTAGGGAGATTCTAAAGCTTAAACCAAACGCCAAGGTCAACGCTATTCTCATCGACTTCTTCCTATACGACCTTGCGAAAGAGAAGGAGAAAGAAGAGGCAGAGGTGATACCACATCATCGAACACGAAGCATATGGTATTGAGTGCCGAAAGAACGGTGGTGGAACCGAGATAAAATTATACTTTCAGTCTCCACTACGGCTGCCTGGTGAGAGCGTAGATCAGCAGTTGGTTACCTTGTGTAGACAACAAAGGTGGGGGCAGCCTGGAGCGATCTCTGCCTCGCGATCTACACCTTTGCCACTTCCAGGTTTACGCGGTCTCTCAAATCCAGCACACATCTTCTCAGTTGTCACAGAAAGGTACGCCACTGACCATCGGATTGGCTGTAAAGTACTCCCTACGCGGCAGGCCGAGACTGAAACATGCATTGCAGGCATGGCACTGTCACGCCTTGCCAATTGTCGTTAGATACCCACGTAAATGCTGCCCATTCACGCTTCGCAGCCGCCTTGCCCAGGACCGTCTATCCGGTATTTGTAGACTTGTCGCAACCATGCGGGTGACACTCGAAGCGCAAACAGCGCTCTTGGTCGTACGGTCAGAACATAGGGTTGACAACCTAACTCTATTCGTGGGTAGGGTGATTGGGCGAGTGTTTGCTAGGCATCTGGACGGTGAATACATTGCCTATTCTTAGCATCGTTCTTAATGTCTGGACGGACTTTTATATCCCTTGGATCACTGCTATTCCACCTAATACAGAATACACTTGCAAGTCAGGTAACGTCAGTGACTCAGCTAGAAAGCAACTCAAAGCCACGCTCGAACGCCTTCACGTATATTCACAAGCATTCAGATTGACAACGGGGAACCCCTTCAGTACATTCAGTCCCAGCGCAGGATTAGCAAGCAGCTGACATTCTGACTAGACATTCCCCTTCTGTACCATGGGCAATTCCTCCAGTTCTCCTGTGCAGAAGTGTCTCGAGAACGCGATTGGAAAAGAGAATGTTGCTTCCAAGAACACGCCATTTTTCCAACTCTCACACGTCAAGCCATACAACCTCGATATACCGCTGACGCCAGTGGCTATTACGTACCCCAAGACTACCGACGAGATCGCCGCAGTCGTCAAATGTGCCGTGCATAACAGCCTCAAAGTTCAGCCGCGCTGTGGCGGACACTCCTATGCCAACTACGGTATAGGTGGTCAGGACAGCACCATTGTAGTCGACATGAAGTCTTTTCAGCAATTCTTCATGGATGAGTCAACCTGGCAGGCTACTATCGGTAGTGGAACGCTTTTAGGCGATGTCACGAAGCGACTACACGACAACGGCAATCGTGCTATTGCCCATGGCACTTGTCCACAAGTAGGTATTGGAGGTCATGCAACGATTGGTGGCCTAGGACCAACATCTCGGATGTGGGGGTCCTCACTCGATCATGTAGAAGAGGTAGAGGTGGTTCTGGCCAACTCGACAGTAGTGCGTGCTTCGAGAGAACAGAATGCAGATATCATCTTCGCGATGAAGGGAGCCGCAGCCGGGTTTGGGATAGTCACCGAGTTCAAGGTCCGCACTCAGGCTGAGCCTGGTGAAGCTGTGCTTTACTCGTACAATTTCCACGATGGCTCTTCTGCAACAAAGGCTGAAGCGTTCAAGAAGTGGCAAAAGCTCGTCTCCGAACCCGAGCTTTCTAGGAAGTTCGCGAGTCAATACATCTTGACGGAACAATTTGGCGCCATCATCACGGGCACTTTCTTCGGTAGCCAGACTGAATTCGACAGCCTAAACATTACCTCTCGTCTTCCTTCGAGTTCAGGATCTGACTCAATAGAACTTAAAGATTGGCTTGGTGTGGTAGGTCACTGGAGCGAAGATGTGGCTTTGGAAATTGTGGGGGGCATCCAGTCCAACTTCTACGCCAAATCTCTCGCATACACAGAGAAAGACATAATACCCGACATCGCAGTCGACAAGCTCTTCACGCATATTGAAGGAGCAGACAAAGGTGGCGCGCTGTGGTTCATCATTTGGGATCTTGAGGGCGGCGCTATCAACGACGTGGCATCTGATGCTACAGCGTACGGACACCGCGACGCGCTCTTCTATCATCAATCGTATGCTGTAAATATGTTTGGAAAGGTAAGGACTTCACATGTCTTTAATTAACAAGCATGCTTATTGACAACACGCAAGGTAAATAACAAAACTCGCAAGTTTCTTACCGATGTGAACGATATCATCATCGATGCGTTACCAAACCACGACTAAGGAGCGTATGCAGGTTATGTAGATCCTGAACTAGGTGACAACAGCGCGCGCCTGTATTGGGGTGGCAATGTCGATAGACTGGAGCGCATCAAGGCGGAAATCGATCCGTTAGACGTGTTTTCTAATCCGCAGAGCGTACGGCCAGCAAAGAAATTATCAAAAAGGCTGGTGTTGTAGATTGGACAGCTGAAGGTCAAAGTAACTATTTTGGCTGGCCAGAAGACTCCTAGTCTTGATCCACCATGTTCTCCCGGTTTTTTCTTCTTGTACCGTACGTGTCCTTCTCTCTTGGCGATAGAATGTAACGCTGGGCTTTGGCATCAGAGGAGTTGGTGTGACCTACATATGAAGCCAGACCATAAGTACGAACGTCGGGAGTACTCTTGCGGTTCGTGTAATTCTTAAATGTGATGACATTGACAATACAAAAGCCCTCTTCGACTTCACTACTATACTTTAGAGCTCAAAGCCATGTGGTCATGTTGTTGTGGAATTGACGTATATGACGTGTGATATGACACGCAGCACGTTTGAGAAACCAATTATATTATGCGTGATGGATGGTACAATGTGGCCATAGGTACATCCTCCGAGCAGCCGTTCATTGTATGCCAATTCGCCGACGCACTTGCCAGTAGCTCACTCGCGCAAGCATACGCCACCACTTCCAATTATACAACATGACTTAGAATCGCTTTTCAATCATCTTTGATCAAGTATCTTCGACAACCTGATCGCGGAACTGACGGCTAGTCAACGGCCAATAATAGTTGTTTCACATGGCTACCATCCGAGCCCAAATCATACAATGCATAAGAAGCCCAAGTCCAGATAGTCCTGGTAACGAAAGAGGCGTCAGGTAAGTTGACGTTGGTAACTACTATACTATTTTCGTGACTGCCTGCATTCTTGGCTCTTTTTTTTTCTGTTGAGCTTGATGATGAGCCGTAATGTACATCGTCATTTTGAGTATTGTTGATGGAATTTCGAACCGTGCCTGGGTAACGTTTGTCTTGAAGGGGTAGCAAGGATTGTCTGTGCGGTCGATGCACTAAGGATTCACACTACTGGTGGACCATACATGTCTCTCATAACTCTTCCGTCATCGACATCATCGAAACCAAGCGCTCGATCCACCCATCTTAAGTGTGGCGTAGAAAAAAACTGCTCTATCCCAGCATTCGGGTATAGAACACTCCCTCCCAATTGACGCTGCGCTGGTACGTAACGTGCGATTTGTACCCCGTCGACCAACCAGAACGCCGCGTTTCTGGTAAAGCAGACTACTGACATGGGCCAGTCTTCCCAAGGTGCAGGTTGCGCAACTTTTTCGGGATGCCTCCTAAGCCCAGGCAATGGATGTCATGTAGATTGCAGAAGTGGCCTAGACCACCGAGACGTGTTCGTTGCCGCCTCCCAGCGAAGCTCTCCGGCAGGAGCAACCCATTTACATGGCATGTAAAAAGATCCTTACACAACCGGAACCACAAAAGCATTTGGAGTCGAGATGATATTCAAGAGAACAGCACGTATTCTAATTTTAAAGCTCGTAATCCAGACCTGTTTCAACGAAAAGATCAGGTTTTCCAGGAGCTTGAGGCCAATCGGTTGCAGTGGCATACACCCCCACCAATTGTCTACCATGATCTAGTTGATGTAGCGGCGAAGGTTGGGCGTGTCGAGGAACGTATAGGATACAGTTTCAAGAACAAAATGCTGTGCATCGAAGCACTAAAGCTCACATCGTCGGCTACACCACTATACTTCGACGGTAAGACTTATCATGTCGAAAGGAACAACCGAATGGCACTGCTAGGTGATCGCCTTCTCACGTTGGCTTTGTGCGATACTTGGTTCCAAACGGGAAACCCTGCAGGTATGTTCGACGTGCAGCTCACATATCTGAGCTGAGACAACAAGCAGTAAACTACAATACGATGCAAAGGAATTCAGAAAATCGAAAGGTTCTTCTCAAAAAAGGGAAAGCACTTGGTATACGCGAAAATTTGGTATGGTATGATCAGCGGACCTCAAAGCCCGATGCCAGGCTCGATGCCGACAATGCGTTTAGCGAGGCGATTCCCGAGGCGGTTGAAGCTATCCTTGGTGCTGTGTGGTTGGATTCCGGGAAAAGCATTGAAACTGTCAAGGAAGTCATCAATAAAGCCGCGCTTGATACACACGAGCAATTGAAAGTAGATGTTCAGTCTCAGGACATGCATAAGAAGAAAGAGCTTTCAAGATTCCGGGTTTTTGAACACATCGTGTCCAGGAAACGCAAGAAGGGATCGAAACGACTCAGGATAGAATACGAGACAGAGCAGAACGAACTCAGGATAGACAGAGAAAAGAGTCGGAACCTGAAAGAAGAAGCACAGCCAGAGAGCCACAACCCAGCACTAAGACCAAAACTAACACACTTCCTAAAGAGAAGCCTTGGCGCAATGGTAGCGCGTTGGTCTTCGGTTGAAAGCATAAACACCGAAGAATCGAAAATGAATCCGTGCGCAATCGCAGCTGCTAGCAGGCTATCAAAGGAGCGCAATATGTTAAATGATAAATCCGGTCATGACTACCTCACAACAGATTCTGGACGACAGCTTTCATCGATATCTCGCAAAGAGGACGAAGAAAAGGTAGATACTCTGTGTGAGTCAGGCGACCAGGATCCACAGACATCGTCGCACGCGAAAAAGGCGGGCCGCAGAGCTAAAGGTCAATCGCAACAGATCGATGCTATGAGTACAGGTTTGAACACTGGAGACCAAAGACGTAAAGAGACTCTCTGGCTGCGTGCACTTGGGATGCAAGGGATGTTAAAGATGCGGGGTATAGACATAGATGTTTGGAATTTGTACCAAAATATGACAGTAAGCGCGCGACAGAACAGCAAAGCGAGAGACAGGGTATGGTCACCTGTGGAAGAGTGGCGGGGTTTACACCGTGAACACCGAAGAATTAACCTGAAAAGCCGGCTGCGTGCAGTTGCGATACGACACATGTTGAAGACGCGGGGTATAGATATAGATGTTGAGAGTTTATACCAAGACGTTAAGTTCATCTCGATGAGAAACTTGAAATCTTTGACGGTAGAGGAAGCAAGATCTATACAGGAAAACTCGGTTCCTGTATGGAAAATCATCGGACAGGAGAAATTTTCTACCAAGATCAAGTCGGCTTCCCCTACTCTTGAATCGAGAAGCAACGGCACAATCACATCTCCAATCCCAGTGTCAGGTCAGAAACTCTCGAGTTCCCCGGAGCAGCCCAGTCCCACGAAAAGAGTTCGGTCAGCTAGTGAAATCCGTGAGAAGACTCTTCAGGAGCTCTCAAGACATCTAGAAAACACAGGCTTTGAGAGCGCTTCAGCTGTCAATAGTCGAGACGAAAACAAAAAGATGAAATTGCGCACTAAGGATGTCGAACAATTAGAACGAGATATCCTTAGCTCGCACAAAGACATATGGCAAGCGAACGGGACTGCTGATTCATCATGGAAGCCTACCAAACGCTCCTACGACCGTATCGCCAATATACAACTTTCACGGGATTATCAAATTCTTGCAGAGCGGTTGGCTAGGCGCACTCCAACAACCCGTGAAGCCACGAATGAAGAGGACGCTAGACTAAGGAACTCATTACAGGAGGACCTTCTAGAGGCGGACATAAATTACAGACCATTCGTTCAATTAGAATCCGATAAGTCAGCAACGGAGGTGCCTGCTACGCCCGCTACGCCTGCTACGCCACGACCGGGGCCTAGAAGAAAACTTACACTATATACCCCCAGTATTCGAAGGCAAATGGTTCTATCTGCTCTTAGTCCAAGAGCATATTGATTATTTTCATCGATGCGGATGCATTGTTACACGTGTAAAGTTTGGATGTACGATCAGCTGAGGGAGAAATAAATGCACAGCCGTACATTTGCGTTTGAAAACGTGCCTGTAACACATATATCCTAGCATCGAGTCTCGAGATACTGGAACTGCATGAACACTTCTTCAGTACATCTACTGTCACCTCACCAAGTACGACCGTTGGTAAAGGCAGCATCTTCAAGGCTAGGGCAGCTGTGTCACCCGTTGCCGAAAGACATACAGGGGCTGTCTTTACGGTCGAGTTGATATCACGTCTGTGTATAGGCAGAAACGTCGAATATGCTAGTATGGTTGCTTTAGCGGTACGGTGGGATAAAAGGCTTCAGCACAATCACTCTGTTGCCTTCTCGGAGCTTCGAACCCAGGAAATTAGATGGAGTGGGAGTCTTCAACATGGCGTCTAACAAGGTGTATGAAACTTTGGATATACATGATCGAGAGCATGTGCAGGTTATCAAGAGCATCTACCGGAAGTGTGGATGGCTGGGACAAGAAGGCTAAGGCGTTGATACTGGTTGAGAGTTGCAGACAAAGTATCCTTGGGAAGGTGTGGTGCAGATATTGCATCTAATAGAAACAAAGTTGGTGGTCAGGATCAAAGATCGATCCCATATATACTCTATTCTAGCTTTTCACAACGGAGGCAGTTGCACTTGCTAGGGTGGCGATTGCGGTAATGATATATCGCCACGCATTAGTTCTCACCCATGTCTCAGCAATAGCCTTCATATCCACTTTCTCAGCCCACTTCTTTGCCGCCTCACTTGCCGTGTCTGTATCAGTTCCCTGCCCAAGTCTCTTCAACACAACTCCCTCTTCATTCAATATCTCCTGCACTTTCCACTTCCCTGCACCGTTCACTCCAGGCTCCATGTACAGCGCCGTATACGGGATGATACTAGCATTCGCCAGTGCAGCGACAACATACAGTACTGTCGCCGAACAAGAAGATCGTTTGGAAGTATAGGCGAGGAAAGCAGTACTCGAAGTGCCTGTCAAGATGAGGGGGGCGACAAAGATGGGTGCGAATTGGTAGGCTTGAAGCCATTGTTTGGCTAGGAGTTTTGGCGGGGCATGCGTGATGAGGGGCGGCATGACGACATGGCTGTATGCGAAAGTGAAGCCTGAACGTATATGTTTAGCCAGTCTTTAGATATTCTGGCAAAGTTGCATTACCTGTGTATACGGCTGGCGCAATGATTGCGACTGCCTGGAGGATGGGTACGAGAGTGCGGGAAGGCTCACTCATCGCGGCTGATAACAAAAGGCACGAATTTGAGCTTCCAGGGAAATATAAGTGTGTCTACGTAAGAACGCAGGAAGTTGTTGCAGTAAGATCTCAAAAGATATAAATACAAGTGCATGAAACATGATGTTTCAAGCTAGCGCTGTAGTTTAAGCGCACCAGTATGACCTTTGGCTACATATTCAGGAAAAACTACAAAACTGCTGTCTACTTCACTTCACTTGAACTCGCAAGTCTAGAGCTTTGACACGGCCTGCATTCAATTTCTCATATAAAGTAGAGTATGCCTGCTTGATGCACCGGCGCTCCAATCCGCCGTCAATCTACACTTAGACTCTGCTGTACAGGTAGACTACAACTGCTCCAGCAGCCCCAAAACTTCCTGTCTCAAATCATCTAGACGAATGTCCTTTTTGAACCTTAATCTTCGGCACTGTACCTCAACTTCCCTCCTGTCTTTCCAACTCCTACCCAGTACAATGACGACCGGGTATCCGATCAAATCGGCATCCTTCAGTTTCCATCCTACGCTCTTTCCTGACCGATCATCCAACACAAGGTCTACATCTCCGTTCCGAACTTCACCGTAAAGCGCATCATACACCTCTGTCGCATCCCTATCCTCGGTTTGTGGAGATGTGAGAACGATGGCTTCATAGGGCGCTATCGCCCTCGGCCAATTCAGACCTTTGGCATCTGAGAGGAGCGAAGCCACGGCTCCAATGATACGCGAAACGCCGATGCCGTGACAGCCCATTTGAATTGGTGATGAAAGGTTTTGGTCTGGCAACGCAACTACTGCGTTAAGAGGCTTGCTGTATCGGGTGCCGAGGTGGAAAGTATGGCCTACCTCGATAGCCTTTTGGACGTCGAGCTTTCCGTTGGAACAACGAGGACATGGATCGCCAGTCTCGATGGTTGTAAGGTTCAGGGCGGAAGATTGAGGATTAGAAAGGGATTTATCGTGTTTGTCGAAGGTGAGGGAGGGATCGAAGAGGTCAATGATGTCTGTGGTCTTTTGGAGCAAAGCAGTGAGTGATGAGGATTCTATGCCAGTATCTAGCTCAATGTTCTCTGGAAGTGCTTTTTTGACAGCATGTAGATTGACACATTCATGCCCTTGATTCGCTTTTGTTGTCGCGGTCGAGGACGAACGCGGGATCCATACATTGATCTTTGTCTTCTTGTCGACGCTAATACCAGTGAACGCATGCCAGCTCTCGTCATTTGACGTGGGGTTTTGGCTGCTCTTCTCCGCAAGCTCTTCGTTCGCAATGTAATCGCATGAGTTGCAAGACCACACATTGTCTTCACCTTTGGGTGAAACGAAGTGATATTCATGGCTTAGCCTGCCTCCCATGTTGCCAGAATCGGCGTCAGCAACAAGGTAAGGCAGTCTGAGCTCGTTGAAGAGATTGTTGTAGGCATTCCGTACTTCCTCATAGGTTCTTAGCGCAGATTCTGTTGAGTAGTCAAAAGTGTAGAGATCTTTCATCATGAACTCCTTAGCCCTTAATAAGCCCTGTCTTGGTCTTCGTTCGTCGCGGTACTTCCGTCCAGTTTGGTACAATCTCAATGGCAAATCTTTATAAGAATGCACCATACTGGCTACAAGTGCTGTGATCTCCTCTTCATGAGTCGGCGATAGCAAGAAGCCGGATTCTCTCCTATCCTTGATGCGTAAGAGTTCTGAGTTGGCGGAGTAGCGACCAGTTTGCCGCCATAATGCCTCTGTGGTTATTGACGAAAGCGCGAGCTTTGAAGCGCCGATAGAGCTCATATGCTTGTCGATCAGAGCTTCGAGCTTGTTTTGTACGCGTAGACCTAGGGGCAGAAGGTGGAAAACTCCAGAATGTGCCTGCACGTGATGAGTTAGGGTGGTGGTTGAAATGGAGAGATTCTAGGTATTTACCTGGCGCAAAAAGCCACCCCGAACAAGGAGAGAATGAGAATCATCTGAAGATTGTCAGTCAAGACGGATTCGTACTGTGTAATGTTGGTACCTTGCTCGCTGTCTTGTGGTGATATACCACCGGTTGGTGCCCAGAATTTGGATAATCGATTTCTTGAGTCGGTCTCATTGATCGTTAGATGTTGAATCCAAAGAAGACTCTCAGCTAAGCTGACTTACCGCTATATATCTAACATGTCGAAAGCTCTGAAATGGTGTTCTTTGTATTCGCGGTTGCCCTGCAGCCCTACAGATGGAAGCCGCCATGCGCGCACGACTATATGGATGTCTCGCCAGAGTCACGACGGAGAAATGAAATAGCCCAGTCAAGTTTAGACAGAAACGAAACAGTTGAAACGTGATATGCGTTGTGGATGATTCCCGTGCGCGGGAGATGTGCCCTCTCAGAATCGTGCACAGACCATGCCGAATCTCAAAGCGCATGGAAATATTTGGAGATGCGAAGCCGTCTCTCAATTGCTTCGCGACCACATCTCACGTAAGCATTCCTGCTCCTCTATAGAGACTGGGTTTCCTGGAAGAATACTAACTGTCATACAGAATGCCTCCAAGGATACGTATTAGGCCGCGTGCCCTCGGCGCCTGCGCTTCACACCCTACCCACCCCATCTCTCTACCCGCAATCGCGACCTACGCCTCGGTAGCAGCTGCCTCAGCGACGACACCCGCACCTCCCATTCAGCAGACACACAAAGCCGCGCCCCCAGTGCTACGATACCCGCCCACCCAACCGCCCTCTCACAAGCCGCCGGAGGTCCGCAAAACGCAACTGCACCGGCAGTATCAATCGCTCCTCAAGTCGTCGCCTTTGATTTTGATATTCCAGCACAACAACGTCAAAGCGGTAGAATGGATGAGCATAAGAAGGGAATTGGCTATTGCACTACGCAAGCTGGATGCGGAGAGGGCGAAGAATGGACAAGAGACGCTTGCAGATGAAGTTAAGATGCAGGTCATTCAGACAAACATCTTTGCAAGCGCATTGAGAGTTGTCGAGTTCTTCCACCCGGAACAGTCCATGTTGGACCATGCACAACACCCCACAGACCCGCGCACACCCACGAGCGCGCAGATACCGCAGACGAGTAATGACGCAGAGGACGAGCGCTTCACACACGGTCTCTCCAGACGGGCACACGAAATCGCAAACAACAGGAAGCTAAAGTTGGAACTAGAGCCTCTACTCTCGGGTCCTCTCGCTGTTGTCGCCTTCCCCGATGTCGCTCCCCAGTACCTCAAGGCCGTCCTATCCATCCTGTCACCTTCCAAGCCCGACTTCCCTGCGCCAAGCCGGAAGGCGAGTCCAGACTACTACGAACCAGCGGTACAGGCTGGTCTTCAGAAGTTGATGCTCTTGGGTGCAAGAGTAGAAGGCAAGGTCTTCGATGTGGACGGCACGAAATGGGTTGGCAGCATTCCTGGAGGTCGCGACGGACTCCGAGCACAGCTTGTGCAGATGCTGCAAGGTATCGGTGGAAGCCTCACTAGTGCTTTGGAGGGTGCGAGCAAGAGTCTGTACTTCACCGTCGAAGGGCGAAGGATGGATATGGAGGACAAGGAGAAAGGACCTGCTGGTAACGACAATCAGTCATAGAGGCATATTGAGCTGTGTACATTATGATCTGTAAGAATCAAGAGCTCCGTCTTAGACTCCCATGGAATCCTTGGGAGCATGTGACTGCGTATCCCATAAATGGTAGTAGCACACTGTGGATCAGTGACGAAGCAGAAGCTTAATTACTTACCGGAACAACGATCTAGATCCCGATTATTCCGACACCATGACCAGTCCTTATTACGGTTGCAGCTTGAGAGAACAGCCAACATACTCGAATACTCCTTGGTCGTCTAGAATATAGTCATGTGACGTTAGGCCCGCTACAGCTGCCTGGATGTTGACTCACTAAGTTTTTATAAGAAGCAGCCACACGGGAGAAACTGCTTTGCTATACAGAAGTACTTGTGTTTGCAACAATGCACCTACCCAACGAAGTCCACGACCTCATCATTTCAGACCTTGAACCGCGAGAACGCTTCAACTACCGCCTTATCGGCCACTCATTCGCACAAGCCGCAATACCACACGTCTTCAGGCGCATCAATGTCTCGCCCGTGGTATCCAGTCTCCGCGACCTGGCACACATTGCGACCCAGAAGCATCTAAACCGCCATGCGACACACTTGCAATGGGACAGCGATCGATCGCGCCTCAGAAAGAAGAAAGGTCAAATTGGTTTTGGAGACAAACAGTGGGAAGCCGTGAGAGAGATATTGCCCCGAGATGCAAACGAGAGCGAACATCATGGAGACATTGGCATGCGTATCCTAACACTCATTTTCCGCCACTTTCCCAATCTCAGAACATTGGATATTGGTATCTGGGAAAGCTCTGACACTACTGAAAGATGTCCTGATCCTTCAGACTCTTCGTCTATGATTCAGGGTGAATACGAGATGTATACACTCCTTACAGCAGCGCATGCTGTGGGATGTCAGATTGCCGAGTTCAAGCTCTCCAGCACTGTAGGTAGACCGCATCCACTTTTCCGTTCGGAGATCTGGCCTTCCCTCGTTCCCGTGTGCAAAGACCTGACATCTTTAAAACTTCCCTTGAACTTCGCTCTCAGCGTCGAGGAGAAGGAAACATGGTTGAGGGAGTATAAGGAAATAGAAGATCAGATACCAGAGGATGAGCGCACGACAATGTTCACAGGGTACACAGCAGTCCATTCAGTCCACAGCACAGCGACGCAGATAGCTTCATTCCGGGCATTCCTTAGCACATTGAGTAAACTACAGACGCTTGAACTGACTCTCAAAGCGGAGCAGTGGGATGAACACGTCGACATGGATGCCCATCTCAACCTGCGGGCTCCTTCTCTCGAGGACGTGCTTCCCCCAAACGCTTTTTCTCATCTACGTACGCTGGTGTTGGATCACCCTAACACATCAACTGCATGTCTCAAATCTGTGTTGACTAAACACAAGAAGACGCTGGAGGTGGCCAAGTTCACCAATGTCGCGTTCGCATTTTGTGAAACGCGATTAATGTATGGGGGATATGAACATAAGAACCAAGGGTGTACGGCGTTGAAGGAGTGGGTAGAACTTGAGTTAGAGTTGGACGAGTTTGACTTGACTTGCCTAAATTGTGGATGTAATCTGTGGCCGTGCTGTGTAGCAGTAGGCGGTATGAGATATTGTTGCTGACGGAATAGCGAGACGAATGGGATGTAGGCTTGGTTTTGTGGGGATTCTTGGTCGGGGAGACGCATATTTAAGAGATATAGAATGAACGATGAAGTCTAAAGATGCTTCCTTCAATGCGGAGGATTTGAGATGTACGGAATATGCTAGCCATTTGTGCAAACCTAGAGTGGTTTCGCGACGGGGAAGTCATAATCGGTATCTTCCTATTTCGTTACTTCCATTACGCAACCACTGCATCTTACGTGGGCGCAACAAGTACAGCTATTTTGCCACGTTCCTATCGGTCCCTCTCCGCAAGAACTCTGCGATGATCAGCTTGTTTCCGACCAGACATCTATGAACGTTGACTTACGCAATACCACACCACCGTTCCACCACGTTCTCGAACACCATAATAGCAACTTTGTGTAGACCAATTGGCTTTCTCGTTTTTTTGTTCTGATCGGCTCCAGTCCGATATATCATCTGGGTGGGATACACAGATCCGATCCGTCTGCTGTAATGCAGTCCAGTCAGCCCGCATCTTAGATAAGTCGCATCTCTAAACTAACCACACATGATAAAAGGCAGCAGCAAAGAACGCGACGCCCTTGTGGCATTCTCGAAGCAGAATATCCAGTGGTAGAGACGTCGAAGATGGAGGGTCCGCGTGTTGTCTCAAGTCCTTACCTGCTGACTCTAAATGCACCTAAACACTGATTGGACAATCAGATCAGCCAATCAGCCTGAGCACGCCACCTACCTGGATGCATGCACATCGCCCTGCTATGCTACTCATGGACCTATGGGGTTCCGCAATGTTCAGCCTTGTCGCTCGTCTCGTGCTTTACGAGGACAGAGAAATGCCCCGCGAAATTGATTGCGATTTCAACAGATGCTATGTGTTGGGCACGATCCGAGCACCCCAAACCCATCGCCAGAAGGACACCGCATGGAGCACGCAACTTACCAGTCAGACAGTCCATGGAAGAAGTTCACCCATCGGCAAGAAGCAAAACATCGTCCTGAGGATGATCTCAGGCTGTGTACCCTGAACCAGACGAGCGCCCAGGTGATCGAGAGGTTTCTGTCGCCTGAACGAGATAGGATCCATCTAGATGAGCTTATCCATCTAGATGAGCTTGTTCCTCGTAGAAGACAAGTTCTAAGGGACTTCCTAAACGGAGTTCATCCGGAAATCACGCTCGGAGTGGGTTCTTACCTGCAGGACGTGAAGGATCGTAGCAACGAAGACAACATCATTGCGCTTGTGGACGATCGGCAAAACCACGAAAGATGCGACAAGATTATCGGAAAACCTTGCAATGACTGTCGTATCTTCTCAAGATCTGTTGGCATACCCGAACTCTGTAAACGGTTACAAGAAAAGGTGAAGCGGTCCCAACAATGTTGACGTGTGACACAAGGCTCAATCAACGACAGAGAAGCACACACAAGGCCGAAAAGCGATTAATGTACGATAGTCAGCTTGGCAAGTAGATCCCAACGAAAGCATGTGTATTGACCTTCACAGATTCATACCGAATATCACATCTGCGGCAGCTGTAGGTTTAGCTGCGACAGTGGCGGAGCGATCAGCACCCCCCCTCCGGGACTTTCTACACAGATACCTTAAGAGAGAGGCTATCTTCAGTGCGACAATAGTAAGTTTATCTAGACCGATTCCCTTAGTTGCTGACTGTGCTAGTCGTGGGGGTTCTTCTTCGATATACATATACCATATCATGCCATGCGCCGCGGTCCACTTGCGGGCACTGAAGATCCAAGATTGATAAGGGGCAAACGCCTTCGAAAAACTGAACCTCTTCCACTTAGATGTCAATCCACTGACCGGGAAGATCTGTATTATCACGAAGCGTAAACTTCCTCACTCTCCTGGGGTGCCGATGAATGGTTTTGGACGGAGCTGTGCCTGGTAGACACATATTTTGGCTCTGAAGAGAAGCATAAGATTTACTTCACTGGGTGCCAGGAAGGTGATGGATTTGATCCTTCCGTTGGTGGTAAATTCCGTATGACTACACCGCGATTCGATCCAAGAGAATACTTTCTTCTCAAGCTTCGATTTCGGACTGAACAAGCAGTCACGGAGTACAGTGCACTCATAGAAACCTTCAACAGCAGAATGGATGAATATGTGAGATACTTGTACATCAATTCAGACGCCCGTTACTAAACAATCTTGAAGGCACGAACGATCAGACGCATCTTCGAAGACGATAACAAGAGGACAAACACAAGGACAATAAGCGATGTCATCGAAACAGCACAGCTTTTCATTGACGGCATCAGCGGTATAACCGACGCTTGGGATACGTTCAGTCGTACTGAGCTCGAGATCTTCACTACATATCTACCTGACAGATCAACCTGGCCAACATATATCAATATCATCGTTCGAAACATTGCAGAACTTGATCGATTACGCAAATTACTCCTCATTAGGCGAGATCACTTCAAGTTCAAACTCGATAGCGTAAGTCCAGGGGTGCTTCAATTTTTACCATTTAGTGCCTGCACACTGACTCAATAACTAATACCATTTAGCTCCACACTGTCTCCAGTCTCAGTCAAACCTATACAGGGAACCTCCAAGCAGAGACGGCAGTGAACCAGGGTAACGACCTAAAAATACTTACCAAGATGACAGTCGTAAGTTATGTCAGACCAGCCCGCTGCACTTGTATAGATACAGCGACTTCAATAACTACACCAATAGCTAATCACTATGAGCACAGTACGTCGCCTTTCCACTACTCTTTACAACAGCACTTTTCAGCATGGACTTTGTTAGACCGAAGTACCCATGGGCTGTGTTCTTCGGAGTGTTAGCGCTGATATCGTTGGTGAATTATATGATTGCTTCGCCGCGGAGCTCAAAGAGAGTGTGGACGAAGTGTAAGGCGTGGCACGATGCAGCGGTATGGAAGTTGAAGCATAATTGAATACAGCATATTGCCATGCACCTGGAACTGGTGTACTAGGGTATACCGTAGCCTGGATACACGCTGTTCGACGTCTCATGAACTCAGGACGAAGAAGCTCGCTTCTGCAATCATATTTTGGATGCAAAGTCTATCCTAAAAGTATACGCTGTGTTTCACATCATACGATATGCATAGGGAACATGGCGGATATCTCCAAGGTGTTACGCAGAAAACATGAGCGTCTTTGTGGGATCATCAATACCGTCAGTGTTCATGAAAAATTGTGGCAACATCTCATGTCCCGTTGTCAAATATTAGGCTTGCTCTAGATCACCACACAGAAGACGAAGCAGGTTTGACTTTACGATTCGATTCGTTTTATATAGATATCCACATATGCTGCGTGGTATCCTGAGGGTATCATGAGGGATCTGCCTGCCCAAATATGCACACTTTGAAATGGTTGACAGTGAGTAAAAAAAGGCTCAGAAACCAAGAGAACGCGCGCGCGCACAAAATCACAAACCAAAACATTCCTGGCGCCCCAATCTGTGTCCTCATGTATGTGTAAGAGGTAGGAGAATGTCATGGTCGTCATACCTCCAATCGCTCAACTCGATCGCTTCTGCCACTCGCATTATGCCAATAAGAATAGTTTGTTGTGTGGAGGTCGGTGAGAAGCCTTTCAGTCGAGCAAATGTCGCCGTCGCTTTCGTGATGGATTTTCCGTAAACGCCGAATTGTGGAGAGAGATCCGAAACCCCGATGCTGCTAAGTTGATATGTGCGAAAGAAAAATCCGACGTCGCTATCGTCGTGCGCCGCCTACTTCGACTGAGTGTGATGTTCGTTCAAATTGGAGCTTTCGTCTCTTGTTCGCCATGTTTCCCCCCGGTGTGTCTTCGCCTCCGGTCGAGTCTGCGTATTCGTCTCCGAAGCCCTCACCGTAGCCTTGAAATGCGGCGTCGGTGTAGCCGCGCTTTGAACTAGAACGCTCCGGCCTCACTGCACCTCTGTTCATGTGGCTGGTTGGTGTCGGTGCTGACGATGTGAAGGAAGTTGCTCGCTGTGGTGGTATGTCTTGTGGTTTTGGCTTTGCTGTATCGTCTGTACCGAGATAGGCCTTGTATTTGGCAGCTTCTGCGCTGGGGAGAGTGCCTGGTGCAGTGCCCGTGAATGCGTCGTCGAGCAGTCTGCTGAAGTCTGAGCTCAATGCTGTACCGTCTGGTGTCAATGCCTTCTTCTCAGGCTCTCTATTCTGCACGTGTTGCGACTGCCAAATTTCTTCGGGCATCAGCAGCAGGTTCCGGAAGACACCGTCCATCTTGGTGGCCTTTGGCTTGCCGGCAATCTGCATCTTCTTGATCTGACCCTCGTAGGACTTGCGAAGCTTGTTAATCTTCTCGCCTGTTACCGGGTCATTGCGCGCTACTGAACTGGCGAGCGGCGTGAGCCTATATAGTGTAATGAAATTTTCCGAGGGGTGCGGCCGCGCCGTCTCCAACTTGTCGTTGTTGAGTTTGAACAATTGGCTGCCGCTGATGCCTTGGGCAGCTCGTAGTCGGCCGTCTTGGGTGTATGGTGATTCCCCTTGCCGGTTGTGGTTGGACAGCCTGTGATCAGCCAGCCGTGTAGTGTCATCGTCTAGGCTCTCTTCCATCGTCGCATCGCCATCGCTATCGATGTTGGCACTAGACATGAAGCCTGCAGTGCTCGCCGGGGTGGGAAAGGGATGTTGGTTCGATGCCGATGTTGCCGACTGTGAGAGGGAGTGAGACATTGGCAGCGAGGACTGCGGGGAGCGGTCCGACGACGCTGTCGAGTTAGTCGGGGCGAAACCTCCATGAGATTGCGAATTCATCGAGGAGTAGGGCGGTGAGGTGGGCGTGCGAGGGTGGATGGGCGTCTTTGTCGGCTGGCCGCTCGCCTTGGCAGCGACGTCAAAGGGCGGGCTGGCGGGTGAGAATCTTCCTATCGAGTCCAAACGTTGCCGTTTTGCGCTGTGATCCGACATAGAGAGCGTCTTCGGGGGTGGAGAGGGAGTGGAAAGCTCGTAGGCGGGTGCTGGGGGGCGTGCAGGAGTGGTGAGAGTAGGGCTCGTAATGAAGCGCTTGGCGTCCTCCGCGCGGGTCGACCGCGGCAGAAAGATGGGCGCTCTACTTGATAGTGCGCATTCGAAGAGGGCAGGCGTCGGCGCTGGCGATGATTCGGGTGCGGCAGATGTGCGGGGATGTGGTGGTGGCGGGATGCGCAGGTGGGTTCGAGGCGGCTGGAGGTGCGAAGATGTGAAGGAGATGATGGGGTTGACCGGCGGTTTGGGCTTGGGCTCAGCGCTGTCTCGACTGCTCACGTGACACCCCGGGGCCATCTAAAACCGCGTTTCTTGTTAGGCTGTGTCAACCATTCATCGCCGCTGCCAAACACAACAATAACAACAAAGCCGCCGTCCGCGCTTCAATGCGTGCACCGCTCGTCTTTGACCACCATGGATGGCAATAGGCCGCGCCCCGGTGGCTCTGCTTCGGCCGTCCCAGCAAATGCAACGCAGCCTGCGCGTTCCGAGGCATCGAATCCACCCGCGCCGAGCAATGCGCCCAAGGTCCAGCAGCCGAAACCCCAAGCACTGCCATCGCGATCTGGTCCCAGCTCCATCCTAGTCTCGCCGCGACAGAAAGGCAACCCCATCCTGAACAGTGTGCGCTCAGTCGCATGGGAGTATTCAGACATTCCTGCCGATTACGTCGTTGGTGCCACAACATGTGCTCTCTTCCTGTCACTCAAGTACCACCGTCTGCACCCCGAATACATCTACAACCGTATCCGAGACCTGAAGGGCCAGTACAGTCTCCGCATCCTGCTTACTATGGTCGACATTGAAAATCATGAAGATCCACTAAGGGAGTTGTCTAAGACGTCATTAGTCAACAACGTTACCGTCATGCTTTGCTGGAGCGCACAGGAAGCTGGCCGCTATCTAGAGCTCTTCAAGACATTTGAAAATGCAGCGCCAACCAGCATTCGCGCTCAGCAAGCAGGGACCTATTCGGAGAAGATGGTCGACTTCATCACCGTACCACGCAGTATAAACAAGACGGACGCAGTTGGCTTAGTATCCAACTTTGGCAGCATCCGCACTGCAATCAACGCCGGGCCGGAGGAAATTGGTCTGATAGCAGGGTGGGGTGACAAGAAGGTTCAGCGATGGTGTAACGCCGTCAGGGAACCCTTCAGAGTCAAGAAGGCAGCAAAGCGAACTGTCGGACAGAATAGCAACCGAGCGAACATGTCACGCGACATCTCCATGGCAGAAGACGAAATTCAGACGCCTATAGCAGCGGATGCTGGTGACACAGCACACCGTAGAGTGGACGATGCTGGACCTCTTGCTATGGAAATGGCAAGAACCGCGCCTTTTGCAGCTTCAGGGTCAGATGCAGACCGACGACCGGACCATCGTCCCGCTGAGGATATCGATAAAGACGACGAAGAGGCAATGCGCGAGGCAGAGCTAGGTCGTGTCTCGGACGGTAATAAGGCTAACTCATCCGCTCTAAGGCCAGTGAAAAGGAAGCAATTAGAAGATGAGAATGTGAGCGAAGGCGTCATGGCCGCGCTCAGCAAGTTGAGGAAGCAGTGAACATAAATTTGGATATAGAACCAAAATATAGTATGTGACTCGCTGCCCAAACACGACACTTGTATATTCCTTCGAACGGCTGACATTCAAATCTTGGACTTCGCCTTTTTGAATTCGCTGTGATTACCACGTTATGGTTTGCTACTTCCAATCGCGAGTCTTTTCCATGCGTAATCGTTGTTATGCGCTCTCGCCTCATTGGTGACCCTGGTTTGTTTGCCTGCATGCACTGCACTTGGCAGCAAACACCAGCCTTGCTCTTCCAACTCCGCCACCAATATTTCAATATGGGCACATTGACTCACCTTGTCTCTGTCATTGCAAACATGTCAAAGGTTAGCGCTGTGAGATTACATCAGAGGCCTAGCAGCCGCTGAACAGTACAGAATTCAACTACCCATAAGATGGGTCTCTTTAATAGGCTACCCGCCGAACTGCAAATCGAAATCTTTGACTATCTCCCAGCTACTGACGTCAAGGCCGCGAGAGCTGTCAGCAGAACCTTTCGGGACAACGCCACGCCTGCGCTGTTTCGCAGCATTGTTGCTTGTGCAAGATACCAAGCGCTGGGAGCCTTTCAGAATGTAAGTGATCCTCGTGTACGAGAATCCATGTAACACGATTCATATCCTGACGGTGTCTGCGGACTATCACGTCGCTGCCAAGTCAGCGTTCAGGAGACCTTTCGGTATCAGGCACATGGAATTTGCGAATACAAGCTAAACTCATAATCCTAATGGAGGTCTCGTTACATTCGGTGTACCCAGGCTATGTCAGAGAGATCATCTTCGATGGGACACTCTACGATGAGGTGCTCGCGAAAGATCATCGCTGTTATCAACGATCCGAGCAGAAGACAGACGAGTTCAACTCGTCATCCTTCTACGCAATGCGAACCAGGTATGTAACGCGATCATATACGAAGGAGCTCGTTTGTCTTTTCTCATTAAGTCCTACCCCCTAAAATTCAAGCCTGCCATCAAGATATGTGGCTTTATTTCTCTATCAAAATTACAATAGATATATCTACGAATGCCTCTAGGGTAGGACTCCCCGTTCCAGCAAACAGCACTAGCAGATTGCTAGATGGAAACGATACCATGATTTATAGGAGGAGCAAGAAACTATGAATGTCGATGGCGTTCTTCTGCAACCAATTGCACGCGGCCTTGGAAACATGCAGACCATCTCATCGATCGTGTACTCGCCGCACCAACACGCTATACCCGTGGAACGCAAGACACTGGGTGACTTGCTCACAAGAGGGGCTCTTACTGGCAGACTCGGCAAGAACCGCATTACTCATTGGGACCATCCTTTCCGCCAATTCATCGGCGCTGTCTTCATGTCAGGGTATACTGGGATTCGACAGCTCACTAGAGAAGCACCTTGCGAAGGACATCCATACACAGAGCTCTCCTTAGAAATGTTCAGGTTTCCAGAATCAAGCGATCTGCTCGCTGTGAAAGACCTCTTTCGACGTTTAGTCAGACTGAACTCCAATTTGTCTATCCTTAACACCCAAACTAGGAATTTACAGCCGCTCACCGACATCGATCCACCCACCCGGCAGCTCGAAAATCTAGCCAAAGCTCTTGGGCTGCTCAGGATCTGGGACGTCTTTCCTTCGGAATCTTGGACTGGAAACATCTTCATGAGCCCATGTAGGACGGCGGATCGATTCCGGAAGAACGCTCCATCGTTGACTTCATTGGTCTTGGAGCGACATGGCCAAAACTACGCTCGTTGGGACTTGAAGGAATCTATGCCAGGGAACAAGACTTGTGTCAAGTGGTCACCCGACACAAGGAGACCTTGAGATCTGTCATCTTTGTCAAGTCCGCTCTTTGTACGCGTTTGGGGATTGAAGTGGTGAATGAGGTCGTTTTCAACGCATCTATGATTATTACGTTTGTGTTAGACAACGTCAACGAGGATGCCGGCGCGTGGTCTGCACGAGCGGATACTAGAACAAAGCGTATGTCAGGTTATGAAGGCCACCTTGTTGTGGCGAAAGATGGAGATCGTGAATTTGTACAGGAAAGATCAGCTCTTTGTTTCATTCATATTTACTGACGCTTCACAGGTCGATACCAACCCAGACAAACCCTCGGTGGAGAACGACCGGCATTTAGTGCGGTGGGAGTGAGATACCGCTGCAATGAAGGTTGTTTCGGGTTAGTGGGATGATTCAATGAGCGACAAGGGCAGTGCAGTGATATTCATATGGAGTGGTTGAGATGCCACAGGCTGTTTACGATAAATTTGATTGATGAACATATGTAGCCAAAGCTCATCTAGTAACAAGTACTCTTCCTTTTTTTGGGGCCTTTGCAGCACCGAAGAGATATACAAGAGCTTAGCATATGGTGCGAGTTGAAGTCACAAACGCTAGATACTCACAGGCATCCACACAAGCGAAGACGTTGAAATCAGACTATCGCCTTTTGTAACCATCATCCTCTTAGCCGCTCTTCATGTCTGAGAAAACCAGCATAACCAAGGATTGAACCAACTCGACAAGTTTAGGAACAAATAGGATTATGGAGTTGCAATCAATTGCCTTGGTACTAGGGAGCAAACGTTGGCTTCTCCTTACAGTAAGCAACACTATCTCTATCGTCCATCCCTCTTCGTCAACACCGTCAATGCGCCCAACCATCTTCTGCCTTACATTTGCTCTTCTCTGCTTATCTGCTCCTCGAAACCCATGACCCTACCTCCAGCCCAAACGTAATCTGTCTTACCCATCTTCGCCTGACTATTTACTACACGTCGATCCTGCCACGCCCTTCGCCCATAGCTTTTCACCGCAGAGTAATTACGCCTTTCATCGGCGCGGTGGTGCATTCCTTCAGAGAAACCTCGCCAGGTTAATTGTACGCGGATTTTGAACGACAAATCGCCATGAGTGGGCGTACCAATATTGATGGATAGATCAGGGGCTCACTCTAGCGACCTGAAGAGGAAGAGACGACAGAGCTTGAGGCTTTTCGATAAATATGCCAAGGTTAGGTAGTTATGCGAGTGTTGAAAGTGGCGATAGTTTGTTTGTAGAAGCGTTTGTAGGTGCAATTAGAGAGGCTCGTGAGCATGGTATCGATGCGAAACTCTGGGAGAGAAGACAAGGAGCCATGTTTGGAGGCGAAGAACCAAATTCAATTGTGGATTGAGTCGTGTTCGATGTCTTGAAACATGCGGAGAGTCATGGAATTGATATTTCCATGTGAGGAAGAAGAGACGAGACTCGATGCGACACGGCATAGTAAGTATAACGCGAGGACATATGCCATGCTGAGCCATGATTGTGCTAGAGGTAATGAGACAATTCCGTCACAAAACGCACGATGGGTGAACGCTGTAGTGCTGGTTTGAAAGATTGGTATTCAACCCTGGTACGCTATCTCAGTACCATGTGCTATATGAATACACAAGCAGCAGATCGAACTATACAACAAGAAACCGTCACCAAAAGCCGATTAGACTCTCTCGACTCTCTCCGAAGCACCCTTAGCGTCGTTATCAACGACAACACTGTGGTGCCTTGCCGGGTCTTTCTCCTCAATGGCGGCGCCCTCAACAACGTGGTTCTGGCCACCAAAGATGGCGTCCATCTCCTCGAGACTAACCTTCTTAGTCTCGGGAACGAAGAACCAGACAAAAGCTGCAAGCAGAATGTTGATAGCAGCAAACATGTAGAAAGCATAGAAGCCCTCGTTCTTGAGGAAGACAGGGAAGAACTGCTGGACGATGGAGTTGACAACGTTTTGGGTTTGCGAGCACATGCCAACAGCTTGGGCACGGATGTTCATGGAGAAGATCTCCGCGGTGAAGATCCATACCGTTGCGCCCCAAGAAGGCTTGTCTGAAATGGATGTTAGTAGATGTTTTGTTAAGATGGTAGTGGGAGAGAGGGTGACATACAGAATAGAGCGAACAGGAACATGAGGAATACAATCGCGATACCAACGGGCTCAGTCTTTGCGCCGTTGGGAAGCGTAGGTGTCTGAGTCTCCACAGTAGCGGCGATAAGCATACAAACGCCCATGCCGATACCACCAACGATGAACAAGAACTTGCGTCCAAAGCGGTCGACGGTCCAAGTAGCATTGAGTGTGAAGAGAATACTGAAAGTGGCATTCAGGGCGTTGATCAGTGAGATAGTGTCGGCGCTCGTGAAGACCTTCTTGTAGATGATGGAGCTGTAGGAGTTGAGTGTGCCCTGTCCAGTAATCTGCTGACCACCGTTTACAATCATTGCAATGTACATGCGCTTTCTGACAGACTTGTCCTTCCACAGAGCAGAGAAGCCGGATGAGATAGCCTCGGCTTCGAATTCAATAGCCTCTCGGATGGTAGTAATCTCATCTTCGACATCTTGCTCAGTGGCACGGACGCGGCGGAGGGAGCGGCGGGCCTTTTCGTAGTTGCGGTTCTTCTGAACGTACCAACGAGGAGACTCTGGGATGAAGAAAACCTGGGAGAGGATGATGACGGGTACCATCATCTGGAAAATGACGACCATCTTCCAGTCCCACTCGCCGAGTTTCTGAGGGTTCTTCGAGGTACCGAAGGAGATCCAGTATGCAATGAAAGAGCCAACGGAATAGAACATCTGCCAGAAGGACATGATCTTTCCACGGATCTCAGAAGGAGCAAGCTCTCCGATATAGATAGAACCAGCAGTAAGAGCGAGACCTTGTCCGATACCGATGAGGACACGACCAGCGATGAAGACACCGATTTGTCCACGAGGAGCGAATGTTTGCATAATGGTAGCGATGATGACACAGATAGACCCAGCAGCCATACCGACTCGTCGTCCAGCGAAATCAGCAAGAGGACCAGCCTATACAAAGCGAAGTTAGCAAAGAGGTGTGGGTTTATCGGTAGCATCGAAGATGATACATACCATGAAGAAACCAGCTACAACAGCACCAACAGTATATGATGTGTTGATGGCGCCGATGATGTTGGGTCCAGGGTTGTCGTAGTAGGCGATCCAGTGCTTCGAGTTTTGCAACGCGTTGAAGACGGACGCATCGTAACCGTAGAGCACCATGCATGATGCTGCAACGAGCGAGATGTACCAGTTGTACACTCGAGTCTTGTCGACCATCTTGACGGTAGTCTCTTAGGGATTCTCCTGAAGCAGAAGTGACGGTAATGATCGACTTCGTAGTGATTGACGAAGGCTTCCGGCTCGATCTTCGCAACGATACAGCGAGAGATCCGTAGAGCTCTGGAGTGGAGAGCAAACAACGGAGACTGCGATGGGCATATATACATACTACATGGGATGCCACCCCGGGGAGGGCTATCTTGCCCCATGTCAGGTCCCATCAACCCCATGGGCCCGGAGACGCCAGTTCCAGCATCTGGGATCCGAAGCCAACGCCGCTACGAAACGCCTCCATCCAGAATATCACCACGAATCAAGACGCCCAGCGCGCCTTGAAAGCTTGCTCTAGTGCCAAATGTATCCATGCCCAGCCCTCCAGTCTCCGTAGTCCCTGAATCTGGGGAATCCGGGGCTTGGGACTTCAGCGTCGACGGAGGGATTGTGCTCATCTGATGGACGGGGAGGCGTCCTGTAGTTTTTCCACGAATGGGCGAAATCGAGCTAGGTGTTGAGGCGCCGTTGTTTTGAGGAGAAGCGAGCCGGATTGATGCCGAGATGGTGTTTAGTGCACCATCTAGCCCGTGAGCAGCTAGGTTTGCCGGCGACAATGTCAACATCGGGTAGATTTGTTCGTGGTCGCAAGCATGCCAAGTCTCGACACAAGAAAGACGCGGCGAAACAAAGCTTTTGGCTGCCGTCTGGGTTCTCTTATTTCTGTGTTTTTGATGCTTAAAACTACCGAAGTAGTTCATCAGGACCATAAGTGCGGTGTCGCTGCCACAGTTTCATCGTTGCAAAGCAGCTGGCCATTCCGGCCAGCCTCATGATGACGGTGAAGTACAGAGATCGCATGATTCGTGCTAGAGAGCATCGCTTGATAGCCAGCTGTGGAGTTCGGGTGGGTCGGCACATTGGTTGCGTGTGGGCGGTGACCATATCGCATCCTTTGAAGACCACGCGGGGAGCCAGCGCTGGAACGAGCTTAAGCCAATAATTCTTCTACATGAAGTCCACGGAGAACAGCACGCGACGCGCTTGTATCTCTCGGTGATAGACTGTTGCAGATGCACATGATATGCCGCGGTATCCCCGGTCGTAGATGAATCTCATCAGCGCTGAGATGAGCTCCAACCGTGACACCTAGCGCGTAACGACAAATGATGTGATCACGTGACCATGCGCCACATGGGGCGATACCTGTGGCTATGCACATCCCACTTTTCTTAGGCGTCGAGACCCTTTCCCACCGCCTGCTACCGCCTAACGTTTTCGACGACTGCGAGTAAATCTCTCGACCTTCACCTACACACCGAAGACCGGACCAACAAGACAACCGACTTCTACAAGATGCCTTCAGGACAAGGAGGTGAGCGCCAAAACTTCTGCGCAAACTGATGCGGGGTCAAAGGCTGACAAAATACCACAGCGGGTACCAACCCCATCCACAACAAACAGAAGAAGAAGAAGGCCGTCGAGCTCGACGAAGATGACATCGCGTACAAGGCGAAGCTCGCTGCTGGTGCGTACCGCCCATGTTCTGCTACCAGGAGCCTAGAGCGCCACGGGCTGCGAAGCGCCACTACAAGAACAAGGACTACGACAGACGTGCTAACGACGTACAGAGAAGAAACAGCGTGAGGATCTAGCCAAGACCGTGGGAAAGGGCAAGGGACCCCTCAACACCGGTTCCCAGGGAATCAAGAAGTCGGGCAAGAAATAAGCGCTGGTCATACCAACGGCCGACCGGGCGACGAGAGAAAGGCGATGCGATACGACGACGATTTGACATGAAAGATACCACAAGCCAGGAGTCATGACTTGGCAGGGCGCTCATATACACATCACATTGATGCATGGGAATAAACTATCAACACTTTTTACGTTCTTGGTGACCCTAGGTGTTCCCACTATCTCCTAAGCTACAAACTTGCTTCTCAACTAAACTTACCCTTCGGATGTGTTCTATCTCCTTCCTCCCTTCGTGTTTGCTCCTTTCAAGTCAAACACAATTTCTGCATTTCCCCAGGCAACTCTTTCCCACTCCACCTGCGTCAAAAACCCACTATCTCTGAGTTCATCCATCAACTCCTTTCCCCTCTCTTCAAACGGGTAATTACTCGCGTACAGCACTCTATCCACTGGTATCTGTTCTAGCAGCGCCCTTAGACTTGACATGTCTTGCGCATCTGCCGTCGTCAGGTAGATGTTGTGCTGCCAGACATCTAGAAAACTTCGCTTAGGTTTATCCGCAGCAGGAATAGTGGTGAGGAGCATTTCGATGCGTGGAATGAGAGAGGGAAGAACGCCGGGATGCGCAAGTATGAGACGTAGACCAGGGTGTCGGTCGAAGACGGAGCTGAGGTAAAGGTGTAGTAATGGGAGAGGAGAAGTAGCATGCGACGTATGAACGTGTGTTAAGAGGGGCGCGTATACGGTAGAAGGAAAAGTGTGTTTGTAGTCCGTCATCTGTACATGTCAGTCTACATCTTGTTCCCTTTCTCTCTTTTCTGGTTTCCACAATTTAAGCTGCAACATACCTCAGATCCTACCGGCCACGTCTCCCTTAATAGAATCGGCACTCGATATCTTTCTGCAGCATCCCAGAGCTCCTCCCATTCCACCCCCTCCAGTTCAGTCTTCCTACTAATCCCAATACAACCCCCAACAAACTTCATCTTTCCCACACACCTCGCCAACTCTCTTGCTGCCTCTTTGCCTTCTAGAGGCAACATGCTCAATACAGAGAACTTTTCCGAGTTCATGATAACCGCTGCATGCATCGCGTCGTTGATTCTGCTGCATGTCTGCGGCGCAGCGAGAAGGGGAACATGACTGATGATTTGTTTCGACTGGCCAAGGAAACGCATGTCTTTTACCCGGCCGGGGCCTATGTTGCGCAGTTTGGTGAGAGTGAGTGGGGGTATCAGATGGAGGGAAGGTTGGGAGGGGGATGTTGGTGGGGATGTAAAGGCCAGGGTCGGTGTGAGGTGGGATTCTAGGGTTGCGATCAGGGTTACTGGTGTTGTTGCAGCCATTGTGTTCTCCTTCCTCCTGGCGATCGATGGTAGGTGATGAATGAGGTGTGCAAAATGATAGGTTGTAGAGATGTTGTAAGGACTGGGACAAGGATCAAAGAACTGTCAAGCAGGCGGTCATTCTAAGCTTGTGAGCAAGGGAGGCACGCAGCTCAAACTAGATAGTTGCGAACCATATTGGCGGGGTAAGACTACCACCTGCGTGAGTGTAAAGTCAGTGACGAGTATCGTTGCTGCCAACTGATGGCAGACGCGATTTCGCTGCTGCAAGGTACATTGCTACGTCACTCTTTCTGAACATGCTGACAGAATATCCAAGGTACCAAATCGTTGCAGTAGGAACACATTGGTGAGGATAAAGTGTATGATTAATAGATAGTTGTGTACTAAAGTATGTTGTCGTTGAGATCAACAAATGTCTTCCGAGAAAGATGACCTTGAACAGTTTGGTGCTTGATTGCCCAATGTTCCAACCAATAATTTCCGTCGCGACATTCCCTCGTAAAACACTCATCGTGGCTGTGTAATGATGATGATGGTGATGATGATGATGATAGTGATGGGGCGCGGGCGGTGCGTGGCGCTAGTGACCATGCTATGGAATGTCGTGATAGTGACGTCCGAATAATCGTCCGGTCGTCACCTAAGCGACAACAACTGACGGTTCGGCGCTTGTCAGGCGACAGACTAGTCTCTTCCAACGCTTGGTCGAGAAAGTTTTGGTGATGTCGTTATGGTCTGATAACCGTGGTTCGTGAATTCGTAATAGATGTGTAGAACTGGTCCAGGCGATGGACGTGTCGACTTTCATTCATGAAGTTCGGCGACCCTTCTTGCTGCCAATAGTAAAAGCCCGTTTGAGCTTGCTTTCGGTGTTGATGGGTGATGTTGGACTTGGTGTCGAGCTGCTTCCTGATCGACGCGTCTCCGAGCTGCCGGATGATTGGGAAGAGGACCTCTTGCGGCTCTCTTCTGCGAGGATGTCATCCAGTGAGACGTTGAGATGGGGATGACTAATTGGGACCTCTTCGAGGTTTTCGACAAAGCGTGATGCCATCGTATTAACAGTGGTATTGAAATATTTTAGTGTGTATATATGTGGTCGATGTGTAGACGGTTGGATGTGAGGAGGGATGTAGATGTTTATAGCACCGGCAAACTTGTATAGACGTGGATGGCTACTATGATCTACAGGTGATGTGTCGCGGGAGGCGGCTTGTGATAAATGGTCCAGACCTGTGTGGCAATGTCCGGATATAGTATACCAAGGTGGTAAGCTATAGCGAAGACCGGAAATAGGTAGTAACGAGGGCGGAAATGTGAATGCTAGAAGCGATAGTAGACGATATATGCCGAAATATAGAACAAAGACTGGGTAAGCAAGGGCTGCGAAAGGTTTTTAAACTCATCCAGGGCGTGTGTGGATGAGCATGTGGACAGGTCCGTGTGTCCACGGCAGAAAGAGGCCAGGGACCAACGATTCAGGGTCTGTCCCGTCGATCGCGAGGCCTCGACGCATAATAACGGCGGCGCTAAGGCTAGGATATGACGTACCGACGCGTTCTGGACAGCGTTCCGCTGGCAGCCACTCGGTTTTGGTGTGGCCATAACGGGCGCGTAACCGCGTGCGACAAGTGTTCATGTTGCACAGTTCCATGATTGCGAGTCCCCGAAAATAGGTACGCTCGCAGGACTGTCACAGCTGTAAGGGTCGTCCAAGCCGCTTGGAAGTGTCAAACCAGACTTCGGACGTCTTCGCACGAGTGTTGGAAGGATTGCGCATCCGACACGCCGCCTCTGCCCAGTCATGCGGAACCAAACAGCGGCGACCTTGGAAGTCTTGGGGTTATTCTTGAGCAGCACGCGCAACCCTTTCGCCACAGCTTGCGAAGATTGGCTTGCGGAGTCAAATAAACTCTCGACTAGTACGTCTAGGATCAGCACGATCACCAGGCAGTCGCGAGACAAGACCGAATCCTCGCACTTTATCCATATCACCTATATTGAAAACGTGTCCGCACGACGGGATCCCGCCTGCAGTGTTCTCGTCGGGTCCGCTGCGCCCATCGCGTGTATGGCCGGCCTCTGACGTAGGACGAGAGCAATTCAATACCACAGCCACCGCTTTGGCTATAGTTTCCAGAACACGGCCTTGTGTGTGCGGCTGCCGGCTGCGCTTGCCAGCGAACGATTGCGACAGCTGTACAAGCTCCAACGAAAATGCCTGAGCTAGATGTGCGGTGTACGCGAAATGCCATACTCGGCAACTAGTCTCGACATCATCGTGCAGGGACCTCGTTCAAAACGTCCGGCGCCCGAACCCTTGTGGGTCTTTGACAACGGTAGACCCCAAACTTCTGCACCATCCGTCATGTCAAATGGTGCACGGAGCCGACTTTCGATCTCAAGTTGCAGATATAAGCGGATACACAACGCTAGCCGCGTGTGCAATCTGCTAGTCTTGGGCACCAATAGTTCCCATCATGTATACAAAGTCGTGGCCAGCATACGACTACACTGGCGTGGTGGAACATATCGCAAGCCCATGAAAATTGCGTATGCTACCGGACAGCTCGGAGTTTGGGATAGAGTAGTGAGGCTCTAAATGAGCTGGCCTGATGACGACTTTCTTCGCATCATCTTAAGTGTGTATCGGCCCACGCGGATGGTAAGTTTTTACCAGCGTCCACCACGGCCACGTCCACCCCTTCCGCCCCTTCCACGACCTCTGTGCCCTTGGCCACGTCCACCCCCTCTGTGTCCACCTCCGCCTCTCCCCCCGCCTCGATTAGACCGCTGTTGTTCCGGCCTCGGACCGTTTTGCGCTAGTTGTGCCCGCTCTTCGTCTGACGCATGAAATATATTCGGGATCTGCAGTAAATTGCAGAATGCCTGTATGTGCGGATTACTGTACTCTTGCGGGGACTCTTGGACATGAATGCCTAAAGCAGGCTCGTATACCGGCGCAGTCTGTGTGAAATCCTCTGGGATGGTCATCTTGTTGGTAGCAATGATATTCTCCTCAACCCAACTCATCTCCTTCTCCACAAGAGGTCGGTAAAAAGCATCACCTTTGTCTGCAGGGACTTGCGCGTATGGATCCCCTACCTGGAGGTGATCGGCAAAGACGCGAGTAATGGCAAGCCATTCTTTGTCGTACTGTAGCTGCAAAGGTCTTTGCAATTCAGCAGGTGAATGTGGCTCTATTTCCAACAACTGGAGAAAGCTTCGTTTGGGCAAGCACTTGTCAAGTGCGAGAAATTTGGTTGTCTTATTCGTAATGTCTTCAGGGAAGGGCAAAGTTTGTTTTGGCTCAAAGGTTGAGCGTGAGAAAGATTCTGGTAGAAGACTCCGAATGTCATCAGGGATTTGGGATTCGCTCTCCGTTGTGTTAGATTTGGGGAGCTCCTTTGACTCTGCGACTGGTGCAGGCGGCGCCTCATCGTCACCCAAATCCATATCGAGATCAATCTCCGCATCGTTCTTGGGCGCTGGGATGGGCTCCTCGTCTACGTCCTCCAGATCGATCTCGCCGTCATTCACGACCGTCGGAACAGGGTTGTCGGTATCGGGTGCCATATTCGGAGCTTCTGCGTGGTTCCATACAGCTGGGAACTTAGCATGCATATGGGCGCTGAACCAGTGGGGTGGTCGCAAGTGCTCGAGGACGTCCTTCGCGGCAACGCTACCGAGAGTGCCGTCCTTGGCTTCTTGTTCAAAGTCTGGCTTCCAGCTAAAGAGTTGTCGGTAATTGCCTTTCCACTCCATACCACGCGGCCAGTCATGGCTTAGACCGATATCCACCTGTGTGCGTATCTGAAGCAGTTTCCGCACGTCAATTTCCCGAACGTGGTAGATGCTCCTAACGTCATCACTGTTGTAGGGCAAGCGCTCGTAGTGCGGCTTCTTGTAGTTGTAGCCTTTCCAAATACCAGACAACCCAGCAATGCGCAATGGCCCTAGCCGTATTACGTTGGCGGCACCCATGTAATATATCTTCGGGGCGGCCCAGCCGCCGTAGTATAGCTCCCACATGTAGTTGCTCGCTTCGTGGTTGCCGCCAATAAATATAGTGAGGTACGGGGCTGTGCGCAAGCCTGAATAGTATTCGTGAAAGTCGTGCATCGCATAGTACTTGGAAGGCATCGATACTGCCTTGAGATCGGACGCATTTCGAACGGCCTACGAAGTCAGTCGCTGGGTGGACATTGGAATCGGTTTGCATACCTGAAAGTCGCCGCCGATGATCAAGAGATCAACGTCTGGCCAACCTTTCAATTCACACGCTTTTGCCACAGATGCATAGATTTCGTGTAGCACTCCGTGACCGCAACCTTCTACTGCTATACGCAGGTTCTGCTGTTCTATTAACTCTGGGGCGGCCATACTCAATCAGGTTGGTAACCTGGTAGTTAGTAAGAACGAGCGTTGTTAGCAGCGCGACTACAGAGATGCTGGTGAAATCTTTGTTGCGCAGTGCATAGGCGCAGAAGTCACAATATACTCGCAGAGTATCTGCTGCAGTGGAGGCTGTTGTCAAAGAAAGTACGATCGAGGGACCTGCAGCACTAGTGTCGGAGGTCGGAGTTGCGATAAACTAGCGAGCACGTGGAGATACTGGACCTGCAGGGAGCTTTCCAAGACCTGCACAGAGATCATTTAGGTCCTCTCAACACATGGCTTCAGCAGACCAAACTCAACTAAGGGCGAAGTTCCTCCAAGAAGCTGCTTATATCCTCGCAGTTCCATCGCCAACGACGGCAGCGTTTCTGGGCAATACACGCAACAAGCTAATTGAAGATGCTGAAGTCGACACATCGAGCAAAGAATCGGACGCCTATCGTCGAAGTGTTTGCGGCGCATGTGGGAATGTAATGATTCCAGGATGGTCGTGCAAGGTCTCGAACAAAGGAAACCAGAGAAGTATTGGCAACAAGTCATCGGAGCCTGAAAAGAGTATCTGCTATACCTGCTTGCGGTGTCAGCGAGAGACACATCAAACGCTTCCACGAGAGCGAAGACGTCGCAAATTGACCGAGAGATTACAGCCGCCAGTGGACACGGTCCCAATCTCGGAGGCAACGACTACGACCAACAAAGAGGAAAATGTCGCTGCAAAGACTATAAATGCGAGCAGCAAGCAAAGACAAAAGGCACGAAGGGGCGGCTTGCAAGCTATGCTTGACAAGAAGAAGACGCAGGACTCGGGCGCGGGCGGGCTCGATTTCATGGACTTTGCGCTATAAGGTCCGTAGGGCTGACTGAAAGCGCACCTGCATGGAAGGGTCTAGCGACACCCCGCTATGCAAGCGCGGGGCTCAAAAATTTCCAGACGTTATGTCATCACAACTTGCGAAAGTTAATCCAGTTACACGCACGATTCCTCTATTCAACACCACCTACAACGTCAATAATCGATTGCAAATATGGCACAGCAACAGAGCCTCGCGAAGGACCTCTTCGAGGATATGGGCCGCAAGGTCGCAGAGGCGAGCGCCCAACAAGGAGACGACGACACAAAGGTCGTCGATGAGATTGAAAGCATGTGTATGAACTGTCATGAAGATGTAGGCGCGTTCGCAAGACAATGGTCGACTCAGCTGACACTCTCAAGGGTACTACACGCCTTCTCCTCACTAGGATCCCATTTTTCCGCGAGATCGTTCTCATGTCCTTCTCATGCCCACATTGCCACTTCAAGAACTCCGAGGTTCAGCCTGCTGGCGAGATCCAGCAACGGGGCATCAAGTTCACCCTCAAAGTCGAATCAGCCGACGATCTGAGCCGTCAGATCATCAAGAGCGATACGGCGATATTCCGCGTTGAAGACATCGACCTAGAGATACCATCTGGCCGAGGACAATTGACGAATGTGGAGGGCATTCTCGCGATGGTAGCGCAAGATCTGGAGCAGAAGCAGGAAGAGAGGAAGCAAGTGGTACCAGAGGTCTATGAGCAGTTGCAGGGAGTCATCAACACAATCAAGCAGATGGCAAGCGGAGAGAAACTACCATTCAAGGTCACCATCGACGACCCCGCCGGCAACTCCTCGATCGA